GTTTGGATGCTACGGGCTCTCAAAGTTGCTCAATTTCACTATTTTTACTGAAGATTTAAGCGCTTGTTTAAGCGTATCAGGGCCGTTTGAAGTAGACCATCGGCGATTTCGCTCCTCTTTGTCTTAAATGGTGCCTACCCATAGGTAAACACCCCCACAAAATTTCAGCCATGTCAGGCAATTATTAGAGGAACTGTCAACAATTTAAGTTTTGGGTTATTTTACCACTGGGCTAAGGTGGTTTTGGGTCCGGAAAAAAATACTTTTTTTTAGCTATCTACTTTTGATCAGCACCTCTTGAAACGCCTCTTAAACATGGTGCCTCATAACTTTTTTTCGAGGACAGACTTGTCTTTTTCTAGCTGTAATTGGAACATAACTTCGACAACATAACCCTCGAAAACAGCTGTTTTTGGGGTATTTAGACCCGTACCAAAGCCACAGGGGGTGTTTGATTTCGTCCAAGTGTCTTTTCGGCAGTTCGTATTCATACAATGGACCGATAAAACACCAACACCACAAGCGCCCGCTCCTAGGATGTCGCCGACCAAGTGGCTTTTTTGGTCTGGAGCTTCTCTGTGTTTTTGAGGCTGCTGATGACGAAAATAGAACACTGTAAAAATTAATATCCGGAATAAACGACGGCCCTAAGGCCAAAAAATTGCCAACGGTTCCTTCGTTAATTTACGAAGGTCTTCGTATATTTACAAAAACCTTCGTTAATTTTTTGAAAGATCTCTGCTGATTTTCCAATCCCAATGGAAATTTACGAAGCACCTTCGTAAATCTACAAAGATCCTTCGTAAATTTACAGGGAACCTTCGTTTATAAAGAAAGAAACTTCGTTAATATACAGAGATTCTTCGTAATTATACGTCTGGAATTAACGACGGATCCTTCGGCAAAAAAATTGCCAACACTTCCTTCGTTTATTTACGAAGGTCCGCCGTAGATTTACGAAGACCCGTCGTAGATTAACGAAGCCCGTCGTAAATTTACAACAGATTTTGTAAACTTACGACTTTTCTTCGTAAATCTACAAAGAACCTTCGTAAATAAACGACGAACCCACGTTGATTTACAAAAGTTCCTGTAGGAAAGAAACATTTACAGTGCACTTTTGGACATTCCCAAAAACCCTTCGGAAAACATTCCGTCGTAAATTCACAACATATTTTTTACAGTGAACCCATCCTGGACCCAATCTTAAGTCCCATTAGTGTAAATTTTGATGACGAAATGCTATTATTTTAAGGTGATCACGTCCATTCCCGCGCGGAAGAATCTGCAGTCTGAATTGTACCCACTCTACAAACTGAAGTGTGTACTCAGTATGCATCTACAGATGCATACTTGCAAGTACACACCTACAGATGCGTACTCAGCTGAGTACACATCTACAGATGCATACTCAGCTGAGTACACATCTACAGATGCATACTTGGCTGAGTACACACCTACAGATGCATACCTAACCTCTCCAAGTATGCATCTGCAGATGTGTACTCAGCTGAGTATGCATCTGTAGATGTGTACTCAGCTGAGTATGCATCTGTAGGTGTGTACTCAGCTAAGTATGCATCTGCAGGTGTGTACTTGCAAGTATGCATCTGTAGATGCATACTGAGTACACACTTCAGTTTGTAGAGCAGGAACTGATGTCGCACCATACTTTGAAGTGAATAAGGGGGGCAGTTGTAGTGTGATTCAATTGTTCTTATAGTGTTCACAAATGTGCCATTTTGTTTGTAGTATGAAGTATGCATTGGCCACAGTATAACTGCAGATAACCGGCTGCAGTTCGAGTGCAGTCGAGTGCAGTTAAAATGCAGTTTAAGTACACTCAACTGTACTTGAACTGTGATCTAACTGCCGAAAAAGTAGTAGTTTTTTCGAACCGTTTCAGTTTCAACTGCAGTTTTGCGGACAGTTCATAACAGTTTTGACAAAAATACGATTTTGCTAAAAAACAATCAAAATTTTTGATTTTTAGCCTCTTAATGCCTCCCTCCCTCCCTCTCTTTTTTTTTTTTTTTTTTTTTTTTTTTGGTAGTTGTTGTCGTAGTTTGTCAGTCAGTAGTCGAACCCGGGCCACAGGGTTGTCAGACCGCAACGCTGCCAACCGCGCTACGGAGACGTGTGAGGGTCTGGCGCCAGCGCGGGCGATCCCACTGGCCATGCCCGCGCGCTCAGGTAGACGAGGGATTACCGCAACTCCGCGCTTGGCGCGCTCCACTCCACGAGGAATTTTCCCGTCATTTGCCTAGTCAAGCTGATCTGGAGGCAGTGCGGAGCTTCACTCGGCCCAATTTAGAACATTGGAATCATTCCATGGCCGTGACGTGAAAGGGCATTCAGGGTGAAGCTGCAAGTACCCTTTGACTTCTACAGCATTGAACATTAATTACAGTTTTTGACTGCATTCCCAATTGACCCCGGGACTGCATATGTCATTCACTTTTCTTTATTCTCCATGTGTAGGAAAAAGAGCAAATTAGAAGTATATTTGTCACGACATTTGGATTTGAAAATAAGTTGAATTTTGACTGTGGTCCTAACTACATTCCGGACTGCCAGAGCAAACTGCAGTTTGATCTCACTGTGGGAAAAAATCACAGTAAATCCTGTAGTGATTAGTACAGCTGTCACTGTAGTTCAGAGTACAGGATTTACTGTACTTTTTTACAGGATCTACTGTACTTTGTACGGGATTTACTGTTACCACAGGAGTGGAGTACGGAATATCCTGTACCAGGTACAGTAAATGCTGTAACCAGGCACAGTAAATACTGTGTCCTGAACTACAGTAAATCCCGGCAAAAAAATTAACGGGATTTACTGTGGTTTTTTCGCACAGTGCTGGCAACAAAAACGCAGTTAAGGGGGGATATCACTCCAAAAACAGTGCTTTTGTAAAAACGCCACAAAAACCAAACGGAAAGAGAAAAAATGTTCATATTTTAACAGATAAAGTATAAAACAACACTAAGTCAATCCGCCCGGGCAGTACAGCGCTTTCGTTGAAAACGCATTTTTGAGTGTTAGGTTAGACCATTTCGCACGGTTGCAGCGCTGGACGCCAAACGGTTTGACCTAGAACAACGAAATTTTGTGACAGCCTTCTTGAGATGTCTGGCCATGGTGGGTACCTCAATCACATTTAAAAAATCATTTTAAGTTGTATTTGTTACAAACCAAAAAAATTGTTCAATTTTTTGGGTCAAAATTGTTCAATTTTGAACGTTAAAAAGATAATAAAAATTGACCAATGCAAATTATTTTGCTACCCACCATAGCGGCATGTCGTAGGAGCTTCCATGCTTAATCTCCCCGCTGTAGCTCGAAAACTGCGCCCTAGAGGCCTGCAACCGTTCGCAATTTCATGTTCCGAGAAAAACGCGATCAAAGTTTGGGAAACTGGGCTTTTCCCCTATGCATGTTTGCGGCCCACAACCTCCCAAAACTGCAATTTTTTGAATTTCGAAATGCGGTTTTCGCCATTCGACGCAGAAAAGAATGGTCTTTAGTATAAACTAATAAAAAAAAGTTGCAATTTTTGATCATTTTGGAGTGATGTCCCCCCTTAAAGGACAGTTTCTGTCCACTTCAAAGCACATAATTGACTGCAGCCAGCAATACAGAACTGATGGCACTTTAAATGCAATTTAAGGGCAGTAAAGAACTGCAGAGACGAACTGCAGATGCGCCACTGCAGTTTCAAATACAGTTTGACTGCTGATCCTTTCGTGCGGGTTTCTACGGTCTGTCTAGCAAAGCAGCCTGTCGAAGGCAGGTTAGCGCCGGCCAAGGTAGGTGTATACGTAAGGTGTGGATGGCCGAAACTGGCGCAGCATCGCGAAGCTTGTTACGACAAGACACGGTCTGGCGTATACCTACCTTGTTTAAATCTTGCTGTTTTGTATCGTTTTGTTTTTAAACTTGAAGTAACTTTTAAAAAACTTTTTTTTTCTTTTCGTTCCGTGTTTGATTGGTTTGAATAGGAAGAACATTCCCCCATTTCAAATGTCACTGAGCCAGCAAATGATGTCGGACGGTGCCCTAGCAATGCGCACATTATTTATTAACCGAAGGAGGAAACTCACCATGTAGGCTCGTGCCTGATGTGCTGTGGCCGGCCAGTTGGCGTACAGCAAACCTGCATCGATTGGACCCTACGCGCGACAGTCGGACAGACCCCGACTGTCCCCATGACCCCTTAATGTGGCTCTTGTTTTTTTGTTGGTTTTGTTTTGGCTTTTATTTGCGTCCCGCTGTCGCCCTTCCTTTCCTTCTTTCTTCTCGCCCCTTTCACCCGCCATCCTCCTCTTCTCTCTGAAAAACCAAGAGGGCACAAGTTCAACGCCCAAGTAAGTCACTGAAGCAAAGCGGAGCTCTGTTTTCGTTCCCTCAGTAAGAATGAGAAGAGTTGAGCACAGAGGACGCAAGAGGAGTCGGGGGCTCGTTGCTCAAAACCTTACAAACTATTTGAGGCCTTTCAAACTAAAGTGGCTTGTTACAAGTATTTTGAGAAGTTCACTCATAGGCTTACAAAGAAAATTCTTCGTTTATTTAGCAGAATAGCTTCACCTTATATGCACGAAACACTTCGTAAGGTTTTAAGCGTGCAAGATGCAAGCTGCGGCCCGGCCCTTGATTCTTGCGGGGCGCATTCTGGGACTGGTGCCGCTTGTCTGTACCACGTCAAATGTGCAAGGTTCGACATTGCGCACTCAAAATATATTTGTACAGTGCTCTCGCACAATCTCAATGCGAACTTTTCGTTGCTATTCTTTACGCTCAATCGCTCAAATTCGTACAAAATTGTCTGTACCTTTTTACGAAAAGCAAAATTGTGTGAGACCACGCACAAAACAGGTACCTTACGAGGGAATATTAGAGCATGCTCTGAGAGTCGAAATGTGTTAAAATTATGACAAGGAATATGTTTTACCGTCTTGTGATGAGAATAAAAATTCTGAATTGTGCGGACTAAATTCCAAATGGGTTTTATCCGCTGGGACTCGAACCGAAAATATCTTTTGGCGTTGCTGCGTATTCGTAGAACTCGTTCAGAAGCTTACCAGATTTGTCAAAGTGAAATAGATAATAATGTTCCTGAAAGAAATGAAATTGTTAATACGCTTATTACTCTGCAAACTCAACAGTGTGCTCAGCACACTCTGTTCAGCGTGTACTCACAAGTAAGTACACTCCGACAAAAGTGTACTCAGATGAGTACACTTTGACGAGAGTGTGCTTGGATGAGAACACTCAAACGAGAGAATGCTCAGATCCTGGAAATACATGCAGTTGAGTACACGCTCGTGGGAGTGTGCTTGTGAGCACACGCTGAAGAAAGTGTACTCGTCAGTACACGCTGAAGGGAGTGCACTCGTGAGTACACGCTAAAGAGAGTGTACTGAATACACTGTTAAGTTTGCTGAGTATACGCTCAATAGTAAGTACCGTCAACGGGGGTAACTTGGGACAGTCTGCCCTGTACAGCTTGTTGGTGCTGCCATTCAGCAACGGGGGTTCCTAGCGTTAAACCCGCCGCAGGGTTTTGTTTCAGAGGCCTCAGGGCACGCGCGGAAAGGTAGAAAAGGCGCATAACATCACAATTAGTATTTGAGAAACGGGAAACTGCATAATATGGTTTTTGACAAAATATGTCAATCATTGACAAGTTGACCTTAGTGCAAGGAGTGAAATGCAGATTTGGCCGATTAGTCTCTCTGGGTTTGTTAGATCATACACAGACAATAACGTTCGCCAAAGGGCGTTGATTATTGTTTTCCCATCTTCGGTCCAGACTTCAATTTATCTAAAATCGAAATTTTACGGGGTAACTTGGGACAGTCTTTTCCTCATGTTTCCAGCAGTCCTAGCATCCAAGGAGTTGACTGACCCGGTCCCAGACATAACATAAACTTCGGATTTTACGCTGATGATGGAAAGAGATGCCTTGCTCTGCGGTTTTGTCTTCTGGTAATCCATATTTTGAAATTTTTAGAAAATGCTTGGATAATACCAGTAGAAAAGAGTTCCACCTAGAGCCCTAGATATAGTCCAATATAGGTCCTACAAGAGTTCCTAGGCCTGAATTCTTGGTCTATATGTTGTGACCTAAATTTATTACATCCATTAACATCAATAGATGCATGGGAATGTAGATAATTACCTACTGTCCCAAGTTACCCTCGGTCATGGGGTAACTTGGGACACTCTTTCGAGACCGCTTGGAAACGATATAATCGAGGCAAATGAACCAGACAAGCATGAAATCATGGGGAAAGGGTCAAACTTGAACATAGTTAGGATCCATTGGTCTGGGTTGAGAATCTTGCCTCTGGCGTTCAAAAAACGTGAAAAATTGTCCCAAGTTACCCCCGTTGACGGTCGGAAGAAAAACCCAGTACGCTTCTGAGAGTGCGCCGAACGAGGAATCCGTTAGTGGGGTCACACGTTCGGTTCCAGCCGAGGAGTTTACCACTTGAATAATCGTGTTTACACTTTGTCCAGCAATCACTGGACATTGTCGCTGTTTTTATCGGAACGGAAATAGACAAAAAGTGATCTTGAGAGGCCAAAATGTTTGAGTTTTTAGAGAATTTTCTAAAGTTACCACCAGTAATCAGTGAGTACCCTTTTGAGCTGCGTGAGTGACCTCTCGGTTCGATTCCTGTTCAGCGACTGTGGAGCTCTAATCACGTCGGGAGTTTAAGCCGCCGCCGGTCTTTGACCGAATGTGCGTCGTTCTGGTAAAAAGTGTCATGGTAATTCTTGGCAGATGTTGCAGGGCACGACACTGTGGCACGGGGTCCCTTTGCGCCCTCAAGGGCTTGGAGGGTGTACTCATGGGCTGTGACTGCAGCTCTGGCCCTCAGCATGTCTTTGGCCCTTTATGGGGAGGTGCCGGGGAACGCGAAGTAAGTGCACTGAGATTGAAAGAGTGTTGATCGATATCGAACTTGTTGCGAGGTACCTCATCACCTAAATTTAGGTAAGGGTTATTTTACTAGCCAGGGGAAGGCCTTCGGCCTCGATGCTGAGCTGGATTCTGCTGGAGATGGAAATGCATTTTCATCAGTAGTAAATTTGGATGTGTTTATTTTGAAAATGCGTCTCTTTTCTTTTTGGGGGGTGATAGCCAGGAAGTATGCATTTTTGCACGAAGGATTGTGATTCAACAATGGTTGGTTTCTCCTTGAATCGAAGGAAGGGTATTTAATAATCTAAAACTAAATTGTCCAACCAATCCTAACCTAACCTAACGGGCTCGTGACAGATCTTACTCTTCTCGTGACAGATCTTTCCCTACTCTCGACAGATCTTATTTTCAAACTTAATGGTCCAACCAATCCTAACCTAACGGGTTCGTGACAAATCTCACTCTACTCGTGACAAATCTTACCCTACTCTCGACAGATCTTATTCTCAAACTAAATGATTCAACCAATCCTAACCAAACGTAACGGGCTATTGACAGATGTTACTCTACTCGCGACAGATCTTATTCTCAAACTAAATGGCCTATGAAGCTTGGCGTATGGTGCTACGACTATGGAGGTTGGACTATTTAGCTGGGATTGGGGAATATGGACTATGGAGCTTAGACTATAGAGTTTGGAGTATAGAGCTTGGACTATAGAGCTTGGACTATAGAGCTTGGACTATAGAGCTTGGACTATTGACCTTGGGCTATTGACCTTGGGCTATTGTCTCTGGGCTATTGACCTCGGGCTATGTATGCATATATGGATATAGGATTAAGATCAATAATAAGATACCTCTAGGAAACTAAAGGTATCCGGGGGGGGGCGGACAATTGGGATGTCGAAATTCCCCAACAGGGTGCTTCGCTTCGCTCAGCAATTACCTAAATTTGGGCAATGATAGTTTTTTCACCCAAATTTAGGGCGAAAGGGTGTTAACAGGAGTCTCCAGGTCGGCCGCCGGCCGTGCCTCCGCGCGGGGAGCCGATGCAGACCGAAATGAAAATCGCGATTTCTCGCAAACGGCTGGCCCAAAAAATTTCAAACTTGGTAGAGAGACTGCTAATAGACCAGGCCCGCCTCCGGTCAGGTCAAATCCGGTCCGACATTGCCTGTTTGCCTACTGGCATGATCGGCTCGAAAAACGGAGACCGCCGTATCTCGGCTCCTGGGCACGATATCGAAAATCGGGCTTCTCGGCGTTGTAGTCCAACTCGTTCCCTGCCGCCTCTCCAAATTTCAAGTCAAAATCTTGAACGGTGTGGCCGTAATTTGGGAAACGCCGAGACGAAAAACGCGACTTTTCGGCGACTGGCGTGGCGAAGGCAGGCTGGAGGCAGGCAAGCAGGCCTGATCAAGGGACCGGCCCCCGAAGTGCCCCCGCCACACCTCCCCCGCCCCGCCCGCCCTGCACTGCACTGCCAGACTGCCATTGTAATGCGCCCGGCCGTCTGAGGCTCGCGCCTGCCTGGCTGCCGGGGTGCATCCACGCTACCTGCTCTAGCAGTGTCTCCGTCGCACTTGCAGTGACAGACGGCACAGACAAAGAAAGTAGCTGTCGACGTCTGGGATGGCTATGCGGACGCCACCTTTGGCTCCGGCGAGGAGGCGCGGTGCGGTCCCAGCCGATTCCGAGCCAGCCGGCGGCAAGGCAGAAAAGTTCATCAGAAACTGGCTCAAAATGACACGTTTTTCAACATTGGTACCAATATGCGTTTCGAAGCGCGCTGATCAATTCTATACCCATGAAAATTGTTCAATGATTTATTGTCAAAATTGTGCTAGCAATTTCTCGTTTACACGCAACTTCCTAGTTTTTCGAGCTGATTCCGCCACTATCCGTAAAATATCAACTTTCCGAAAATTTCAAAATTTTACATCCGCTCCAAGTCCCTTTTGTTTGGCGATGGCAATATACCTGCTCGAGGGTCGGAGCCAGGCATGTGGCCCCGCCTGCCCAGCCCAACCCAGCCCCATTCAGGCCAAACAAAAGGGACTTGGAGCGGATGTAAAATTTTGAAATTTTCGGAAAGTTGATATTTTACGGATAGTGGCGGAATCAGCTCGAAAAACTAGGAAGTTGCGTGTAAACGAGAAATTGCTAGGACAATTTTGACAATAAATCATTTAACAATTTTCATGGGTATAGAATTGATCAGCGCGCTTCGAAACGCATATTGGTACCAATGTTGAAAAACGTGTCATTTTGAGCCAGTTTCTGATGAACTTTTCTGCCTTGCCGCCGGCTGGCTCGGAATCGGCTGGGACCGCACCGCGCCTCTTCGCCGGAGCCAAAGGTGGCGTCCGCATAGCCATCCCAGACGTCGACAGCTACTTTCTTTGTCTGTGCCGTCTGTCACTGCAAGTGCGACGGAGACACTGCTAGAGCAGGTAGCGTGGATGCACCCCGGCAGCCAGGCAGGCGCGAGCCTCAGACGGCCGGGCGCATTACAATGGCAGTCTGGCAGTGCAGTGCAGGGCGGGCGGGGCGGGGGAGGTGTGGCGGGGGCACTTGGGGGGCCGGTCCCTTGATCAGGCCTGCTTGCCTGCCTCCAGCCTGCCTTCGCCACGCCAGTCGCCGAAAAGTCGCGTTTTTCGTCTCGGCGTTTCCCAAATTACGGCCACACCGTTCAGGATTTTGACTTCAAATTTGGAGAGGCGGCTGGGAACGAGTTGGACTACAACGCCGAGAAGCCCGATTTTCGATATCGTGCCCAGGAGCCGAGATACGGCGGTCTCCGTTTTTCGAGCCGATCACGCCAGTAGGCAAACAGGCAATGTCGGACCGGATTTGACCGGACCGGGGGCGGGCCTGGTCTATTCCTAGTCTCTGTACCAAGTTTGAAATTTTTTGGCCAAGCCGTTTTCGAGAAATTGCGATTTTCGTTTCGGTCTGCATCCCCGGGGGCCCAATGCCGAAAGCACGGCGGCCCCGACCTGGAATCCTGTGAATATCGGGTTCCATGGTAGATAAAAATCCCTCACACCATATTTATGTCCAGGAAAGGTAAACCCAGATTCAATTGAAAAATGCCTTCTCACCCTGATTTGGTGTGATAACTCAACTGTTGTCATACCGTTTTACCCAAACCCCCTCCAAAATTTTTTGTGTTGGTCTTTTTTTAAGACTGGAGCCCAAAATTGCCTGGGAAGAAAAAGAAACTTTTTTACTTTCCAAAGTTATAGTTCATGGGCCCAAAAACAGAAATATAAACAATAGTAAGAGGGGGATGGATGACCTTTCCTGTCAACCCCAAAACCCTGGGTTAAATTCAAAAGTTAATTCCCGTAAAAATGGAAACTTTTTTTTTAAAAATTTCATTGAGGTTCAAATTTTGGGGGACTTTTTTTTCCCCCAAATCAAGTTTTTAAATTTTTTTAGGGAATTGGAAAGGGGGTTTCGGTTAGGGGAAATTTTTTTCGGGAATTTTCGGTAGGGAAAGGGTTTCGTGAACTCTTTGGTTTTTAGCAATTTTTGGCCCGGGGTTTTTTGGGGGCAGGGGTTTTTTTTCGGGCCCGGCTGGGAAAAATCCTTCGGGGTTCCTTTTCCCAACTTTGGTGGAAAAACCGTTTTTCTTTAACGGGGGGTTTTTTCTGTCAAAACAGTTTTACTTTCCCTGAATTTTTCTTGGGCCAAATTTGGTTTTTTAAAGGGTGGGATCACTACTCTGTTCAGCTCAGCTAGACTGTACAATGTACAATGTGCGCGGTAAAAACTGCGCGCATGCTATGCATACAACACAATCCAAATGTCTCTCCAAATCGAGTTTTTGGTTTAGAATGATAGATGATGTAAAAACAGAATTAGAATACATAACCGAGACACATTTAAAAAAAATTACTATTAGCTATAACAGGCCAATACATTTATTTATAAGAAAACGACAAAGATGTAAAAACAGATTAAGATGAGGAATCACTAACAGCTAACATGCTGTACATTTATTCATTGAACTCTCGGGATCTCAGAGTGAAACCAAGCACGCCAAACTCATATCTAGGAACACATGCATCGCAACTGCGTTTCAAACGAAAATCATGTCCAATTGTCACCGTCATAATTGACAACAGTCTAGATTATGGTCTACTTCCGCCAACATGGCGACTGCGACTTGCTTCCGGTCCAGGATTCACGAGAAGTACCATGTTCCTAGCAGTTCAGGAGAAAATCTAAAGGGGAAAAGGATAGAATGAAAATTGACCCCTTTCAAGCTCTCGATTCAGCGGAAAACGGATACAACTCAACGTAAGTCCTCGTTCAAAATATTGTGAAAGGACATAACACAAATTGTCCTGTTATGAATCTATGTCTCTATGAACTGCTGTACTGTGAATAGTAATAGAGTTACTTCAAAGAAGCAGTTGTTCTGTATATAGTGTAATCAGATGTCTTCCTGTAGTTGTGGACAGAATCAAATGTTAGTCTTGGTTCGGCTTCGAACATGGCATGATCTCTGAACTCCAGTTATCCGAGTTAGTCCAAAACAACACTCACAGTATAAGTAGAACTATGAAGCTCTAGTCTACATCACAAACTATTTCAGACCTTGCAAAGAAAAAAAGCTTGTTACTACAAAGTATTTTTAGCATACGAGAAAATACTTCGTATTACGAACAATCTGTTCGTATTACAAACGCTCAAAACACTTTGTAAGGTTTCTAACGTGATCATCCACAACATCCGTTATAAAATTCCATCAACAAAATATCTAAAATTGGGTTGCTAGGAACATGGTGGTAAATAGTGCGTGAACCAGATCACACCCGTGTTTCCTTAAAAAACAAGAAGGAAAGACATCAAAGAATTGATATCACATGGGAGGGACTCGTTCTTTACAAAGCTAGATTGATGTGTCAGTCGCTGATCGTTACATGAATTGTCCTCAGACGATTTGTAATTTTGCATTTCAACGAACGCTTCCGGTTGGTTCTCCTCTCAGGCAGGGAACATCGATGCATCGCGATATCTCGAGATATCGATTCTCGTGCATAATCGAATTTACACTAGAGTCCGTGAGTCCGTGCCAAAAACCTGCTTTTTCCATGACCAAAACCCTCAGAAGGACACATTTCTTAAAAAAAGAAGTCAAATGAAACTTATTATTTCGTCTCTCATCTCCAACATAAGACATGCAACACCTGCCAAGAAATTTTCATTAGGAAGAAACCGCTAGCAGTTCTGAGACATATATCACGATTAGCGTGAAACGATGTTTCTTTATGACCAAATTTCTCAAAATTATCCATTGTCACTTGGAAAATACCCTCCTAGTTTTTTGTTGTCCAAAGATCTCTGGTCGTTGTCGTTGTTGTTTGCGTTCCAGTGGCGTTCTATATCAAAAGATGCAAACACTTGAGAAGAGGTTAGTTTCACATAATGCACTAAAAACGTCTCTCTTTCATGTTCATTTTCTCAGTATTTCTCATTGCAAGCAAAAAAAAAGTTCATTTACGATCTAGCGACTGACACTCCATCTTTCATTTGATACCACTCTCATTTTCCCACATGCTGTCAGATCTGAGATGAAAGATGTCCCCCCAAAACTCATTTTTGAACACAATACTCGTTCTCTTCACATAGAGTTTTGTATGTTAGTGAGTGGTGTGTAAAGAACGAGTAAAAAATTGGAAGGGCTTTAATGGAAACCCTCTGCATCACAGATCATTTTATGCAAGACTTTCTCTCTAATTCCTTGTAGGCGAACTCGACCACTGAAGCGCTCAACATGCTGGTTTTTGCCGAGAGGATGGCGGGAGCTCTTGGACGCGGCAGTGTGTGGCAGCGACGGGTCTGGCTGCAGGTGGGCTGTGCGATTTCACGACATATCACGGTCGATACGATATCGTCATGATTGGCTGAGCGATAGCGAAGCCTGTTACTCCAGTGGGGTTGAAAAACTTTTTCTGTCTGTCTGTCTGTCTGTGTGTCTGTGTGTGTACACTACTCCTCCCGAACAGCTCGGCCGATCTGGCTGAGATTTTGCGGGCTTGTTAGGTATGTTCTTGGCTCGGCACACGCGAAATTTCACTATCCTAGCTCACGTGGTTCTGTTTTTATAGGCGAAAAACACCTTAAAACGGCGAAAAATCGAGTTTCCTGGAGGCAGATCAATTCTGTCTTGAAGAAAGGGGGGTCTGGGGGGCGGAGCCCCCCGATTCGACGAGTTAAAAAGTTACAAGGGTCAAGATCGTGTTATCTGTAGATGAAGGATCTCTATCTAGAATGGAGGGGGGTCTGGGGGGCGGAGCCCCCCACCATGCAACAAGTAAGAAGCAACCGCCGACGGACAAGCTAATGCCTGCCGAAGGCAGGCTAGCGCCGCAGGCCAAGGTAGGTACGCCAGGCGCGGATTGGTGGAACAGGCCGCGAGACATCGCGAAGCCTGTTACGACAAGACGCAGTCTGGCGTAAACCTACCTTGTATCGAGGGGTACAGTATTCGTTTTTGGAGGAAATCCATAAATTTCGAGGGCCTGATATATCGCGACATTACAATGTCATTCGGTACGCGATGTGAGTTATCGACTCGATATCGACCGATCTATTGCAGTTGATTTATCTAGATATGTGGCGATCGCTACAGTCGAAAATTATCAATCCCGATACACTCGATATGACGGTTTTTCTCGATTTTCATCGATATTTTTCGCGTTACGAGATGTCGACCCTAAGCTTACTTGGGGCCAATATCGTATTGCGATACCGAAAAGTGGATATCCCTACAGGTGGGGCTAGTGCTGCTAGGAGTGTTCGCCTACCTCGGGGCCGTGGCGTTCGTCGTCGTTCTGTCCGAAAGCAGCGCGGCAGAAGATTCGGCCGCCGTGGCCGACCCGAACGGCAGAGCGACGGAGCTTTGGGGGCTGGCCCACATCTCGAGCCTCCCGCTGCAGCTTTTCTTCTGTTTGCTCTTCGGTGACCAAGTCAGTGCACAAAAAAAAATGTACTTGTACAATTTTGTAGGCGGCCTCACACAATAAGCATGCGTATTTAATGTTTTTGTTCAAATTTTGTTATTATCCACATCTAGACAAAATCCATTTACAAACATTTAAAAATTTGGTTGCAAGGACCAGACCACACATTAAATATTTTAGTGCAAATTTTGCACGAGACATTACAGTTCTTTGAGCAGACGAACATTTCATACAAATATGTAAAAGGTTTCGCACAAAAATTAGGAAATATGTGCAGTTTTTCGTTCGTAAGTTGTACAAAAAGTTCATGTGCCAAAAACAAAACCTGATGTCTTGTACATAATTGTTAATAACATTTGGTGTGTGTGACCTTTTTCGTCCAAATGTGTACGAAAAATCGCACAAAATTAGACGAAATTTCGTACAAATTTGGACGAAAAGCACGTCGTGACGTGAGAACGCGTACAAAAATTGTTTTAAGAAATTTAGTGTGTGGAAAATACAAGTGTATTATCAGTGCTGCTAATTCAAGTGTGAGACAGTCTCATACTTTTACTGTTATTCATCGAATGAATGTGAACTTAGTCACGATCGGTTTATCGTGAAATGGCCGCATAAGTAGGGTGTCTCATTCACGAATATGACGTCACATTCATTCAATAACAGCGTTGTACGCGTGGGACGTTTCGGCCATGCTTACAATTGGGAACCACGTTTTGCGTTTTGCTCACGCTTTCAAGTGTTGTCACAAGGTTTGTCCCGCACCCACCATGCACTCTCATTTCAGGAACGTGACATCACGTTGAAACGATCGACAAAATGTCACGTTCGTTTAAGCATTGTGTCACGTTCGTTTGAATGTAAACAAGCTGATTTTTGGCGAATTCACACCCAAACGATCGTGACACAATGCTCAAACGAACGTGACATTTTGTCACATTCGTTTCAACGTGATGTCACGTTTCTGGAATAAGGGTGTGGCGTTCACCAAAGTTCTGGAAGCATGTTTTAAGATGTTCACGGTTGCAAATGACACAGGAATCAGCGTAGCCGTCACCAAATATCGAAGAAAAATATGTTTTTGGCCTCCCTTTGACTGATGCAGGTGTGCGTCGTCTGGCTGCAAGTGCGTGCGCTAAACCGTAGACTGAAGGCGATTTGCACCGAGCCCCTGAGGGACCTGGACAGTCGTCATCACGGAGAGGTGCAATGCTGGACCCGCAAACCCGCGCCGTGCGTGCTGACCGGTAGCCTTCACCACGACGGATGCAAGGGCGCCTGTGCAGGTGCAGTGCACAGATTTTGTACAAATTTTGTACGAGTCAGCGCAGTTTTTGTGCACACGAACTTTTCGTAATAAATTGTACGTGATTTAGCACAAAAATGGGCAAACATGTGCAGTTTTTTGTACGAAATTCGTACGAAAAGTTCGCGTTTACACACTAAACTGTGATGCCCCGTAGAAAATTGTACATGACATTTAGTGTGTGCCACTCTCCCGTTCAACTTTTCCCAGCCCTGACCCGATTTAAAATCAGAGTGTCAAAGTTACAGAAAGTGTTCTCTCTGCCTTCAAAGGAAAGGGGGTGAGGACATAGAGGTGCCTGTGACAAATGCGGCTGAAAGAAGCTTTCGGTTCACGAAGGTATTCGGCAACTGATTGCAGGAGTTTCCTGTGCCATTTATGAAACCATTGGAAAAATATTTCATTTGTGCACTGGTTGTCGAAATGTAATAATGAACTCATTACAAAAGCAAAAACATTTCTATTGCATTACTAGCGCCATGAAAAAGTTATTGCAATATAAGTGCGATGAATATTGTGTTGCATTGGCGCCTTTGTAACTTTTCTAGCGTAGTTATCACTTTATCATGCCAAAACTGTGATAACCTGGGCCTAGACCGGCCATAAACTTGTGACTAGAATGGTCTATTTTGGTCAATGAACGAGTTACAACCTTTAACTATCACTCCAATTTGAGAAAACAGTAAGTACCCGAAAGTGATTGGTTACAACGCCACTACAAAAGAAAAGTGTAACAAAAGTACATCAAAAACTGTACAACGAAAGTACTTCAGGGATTGTAAGTACAACGAGAATTGCACAAACCACAACGAGGCCTGGACTGCCCAGCACTCGTCCATCGTTCTTTGTACAACAATTGTTGTCCTTTGAAAGTACAATAAATTCCTGATAAAAAAAATTTGCCAGTAATTTGTGTGCCTTTGTTGTGGTTTTTGTTTCTTTCAGTATCGTGCATTGGCAGTGTTTCATTTGCAGGTGCGGATGACAGCCTCCAGGATGTGCACGCTCTTCGTTCCCTTTACTCTGAGCTTCGCCACACTTTGTTGCTCCTGAGCTCGGCTCACGGCTTGGAGGTGAGGAGGAAGCAACCTTACTTCGAAAATGTATCCATTCTATCGTGTCATGCCTTGATGAATTTTAACAAGACAGCAAAAACTAATAGAACCAAAATAATTGTGCTCAAAATTTAATTAGTTGCGCTGCGCACCTCTTTAAGATCAGCTTAATTTCCGTCCTTGAGCTAGAGCTGTCGCCATTTAGAACAATCTTCCTAAGTGTTTTCCACACCCAGTGTGTTTTCCACACTTAGTGCGTCTTCCACACTTAGTGCGTGGTTGTTGCCAACCAGCCCGAGTACGGTGGCGCAATAGTCTTCGAATTTTTCCCTTTCGGTGATGGTTAGAAGGTTGCGAATTCTTCTATAGTCATCTTTACGTGCTTGGTTAGCTGGGTAGAGTTTTGTGCGCTTATGCAATGCATCCTTTCTCTATGGGCTTAATACTCATGAATCGTTTGATGCGCTCTCCTCAGTTGCTGCTCATGGTGCTGTCGACATTTTTGGCCACAACAACCAGCCTGTACATTCGTCTGACAAACAGAGACGACGGCTCGAACCTGGCTCTCGCGTGGTCCGTCCTTGTCGCCATCATGCTCCTGGTAGTGCTGCACGCGGGAGAACTAGTGAAAAGAGAGGTTTGTTTTCACTGTTTATCCAAGTGTAGGGACACGAAGTACACACTTCAACGCCTCCTAACAGAATCAATCATCCATTATGTTCTTCAACGAATGTGATGTCATATCAGTTAGAATTTGAATTCTATCTCGGTCGTTTGAATATAAAGTCATAATCGTTGGAATGTTGATCCACGTTCAAACCAATGTGACATTCTAATTTAATGGCCGTGTCAGGTTCTAACGAACGTTACATCATTATCAAACAAACGTGACGAATATGACGTCAAATTCATAGACTAACAGTGTGCCAGGGCAGATCCAAGACTATTCTGATCACCAGTGTCTACACTAAAAACTCAAAGGTGAGAAATTAAGCCACACTATGGGTCAGAAAAGAATTCTCACCTCTCTGTGGCGAGAAAAAAAATTCTTACCCCTGTAGCGGTGAGAATCGAAATTCTCACATCATTAGCGGCGAGAATCAGAATTCTTGCCATGAAGTGGTGAGAAATGGCTTCCAAGAAAAATTCGTTCCAGAATTTTGTGAGAATTTTTATTCTCACACCTCAAGACGGTGATAAATATTTGTCGCCAAATTTTGGTCGCGATTCTCACCCTTCAGTTTTTAGTGTAGTTAGTACTATGCACGAGAAAAGTAGCCTTAGGGGAAGGGGGGAGCATAGATAAATTCCTACAAAGAACTGCTCTTTGTAATACGAAGAAAACGGAGGCTTCGCAGCCCGCGAAGGAAATCGTTTGTAATACGAACGATTTTCTTTGCAATACAAAGGAAAAATCCTTCGCAGGCTGCGAAGAAGTTCTTCGTAGGCTGCGAAGAATTTTTCCTTTGCATTACAAAGAAAATCGTTCGTATTACAAACGATTTCCTTCGCGGGCTGCGAAGCCTCCGTTTTCTTCGTATTACAAAGAGCAGTTCTTTGTAGAGTTTTAAGTGTGAGGGGCAAACACAGTTTACCGCCTGAAAGTCTGTTCCTTTTCTGGTTAAGTTTCACTACGGGTTATACTGCTCTCAAGGTACGGCGCACGCACTGGATAGAAACATACCTGGCCCCAAATAGTCGCCAAATGAGCAGATATGCTGAATGTTGAAGCGAATTACGCGAATAAAGGAAATGCCAGTGTGTTATGCGCCACAAATCAAATATTTTTTTTTTATTTCAGTTAAGAGACTTTTAATAAACGACTTTCTTTTTCATGCAAGAATACATTTTGAATCAAATCCTCGGTCGTCAAAACTACATTCCTCGATTGAAGAAGTCGGTATTTTGGGTGTGGTTGCAATCGACTGAACCTAAACATGGATTTCTTTTTCGCAGTCGAGGTGTACGACGGAACTTACTCAGCGCATTCTTATTCACCATGAGCTGCCTCCAGTGCTCCGTCAAGAGGTACTCTTTCAAAACTGGTGCAATCAATCCAATGGTGCACTCTGTTCACCTACCATCTTGTTTACTGCTCTAATGAGAGCATTCTGCAAAGGACACTGCCGTTGCCGTTAAGATGTTTGATAAAAAGTGCACTCCCGTTATTGTGCATTTCGGTCATAAGTGAATTTCTGATTACTTGTCCTACGTAACTTCCGCTCAATGGCGTGTTCAGATACACTGTTATGTTTACAGAACATGTGATATCGGCATTTAAAACTCAAATCGAGTTGACGTTCATTGCCTGCACAGGTACGCAGCTTCTCTCGACAGCTGCTGCATCAAGGGCTCCGGGTTTCAGTCTACGGATTCCTGCAACTGGACTACTCCATGTTGCAAGGGGTGGGCATCTGCATGGATCTTTGTGGCCTCTACACTCACACTTCGTCGACATTTTGTCAGTGAACCATTGACGTTAGGATGCATTAAAAGATTTCGTTTGTAAGCTGCATAAATGTCAGTAACACTGAAAATACGAAGGTGAGACTTTTGATCCTTTCAGGGGTGATACTGAAATGTATGACCGAAAAAGGGTCACCACACTTTCGGTGTGTGACCGAAAAGGAGTCATTGTATCACTTCTAACGGTTTATACATCCCCACCCCTAGCTGGCCAGTCTCGCTGATCGGACAATTCGGCTGTTCAAAATCCAAAACAGGGTGCTTCGCTTCGCTCAGCAATGACCTATTTTCGGTCACCCATTTCTTTCGCTCGTCCTTTTTGTATCGCCAAAAATTGGTCAGATGTCTCATCATTTGAGTTTCAGTGAGGTTATTAAGTAAAAGGCAATTTTTACCAACAAATCTGGTTTTAACCCTATTAGTGCACCCTAATGTCAACACGTTACTGACGAAATGATCGCTAAGGGACAGAGAAACGCGCATGAGGGCCAAATGAATCATCAGTACTTTTAGGGTACTGTCAATTCATACAAATTCACTCTTGAAAAGAAAGGCATAAAACTACGCCCGTAAGGACATGAAAGTCTTTCTCGCCTTTCGGGGGCGAAATAGGAGCATTAAAATATTCCCGCATTGCCCTGATTCACAGCCGTTCACAGCACTTACGAGGGTATGAAGCGATTCAAAAGCTCCAGATGCCTCAATCGTTTACGCTTCATAAAGGCACACTTTTTTCTTTCCCTAGTGTTCCCCGACATTTCAAAGCCTACGTGTGTGTGCACATGCGTGTTGGGACTAGTTTCAGTACAGTCCACCTGGAAGTTGGCAAGGTGCGACATTGGCTCCTTTTACTTTGTCTGGTGCTGAGCAAATGACAATCCCAACATGAGCAGACATGCAACTCAAGTCCAAGTCACCAAGTCTAAGTGTGGTACAGGCATGCACGACATGAGGGTCAGACTGACTCACGCTATCGAACAAATCCGAGTCTCACGTTACCGCACGTTACCTAAAGCATGGACTCTAATGCATGCCTGTCCTACACTTGGATTTGCTGTGCCTGGGGAACGATATTGTACGATATTTACAGAATTCTAGAATGCCATTTATGTCATGCTTCAGATGATTGGATCCGTTACCACGTACCTCATTATGGTGATCCAACTGTCCCCAGAGGAGAATGACAACAGCGAAGACGTCCATGCTGGCAGCGCTGCGACGAAAACTTGAACCTTCTTAATTTGCGCTGCCTCCCTCGCACTGAAAATCCAAGTGTGGGACAGGCATGCACTAGATAACGTGGGACAAAATGTCCCACGCTTGTAAGCGTGTAACACGGTTTGTCCCACGCTTACAAACGTGGGACAATTTGTTCCAAGCTTACAAGCGTGGGACATTTTGTCCCACGTTATCTAGTGCATGCCTGTCCCACACTTCGATTTTCAGTGCGGTTCACAAACCATCCCGTTTAGTGACAACTTTTTTTTCTTATTCGTGTGACATGAAATGCAGCCCTTTCAATATCCTAAAGGTACACGGATAACGACTGCCGTTAGTCGTGGCGCGCCTGAACTGATATGAGGTTTTGCTTATTTGTTTTCGAAATGTGTATAATTGTCTATTTCGTCTTGACAAATCTGTTAAGCATGATAACGAAATTTGATTAATGCGCAGAAACGTAAATGAATATTGATAAATTGTCGATTGAAGGATGAGACTGTATTACAGTATGATCAGGTATACTCAAATAAATCAGATCTAACAAATGAAAACTGACGCAAAACCGATTATTTAATGTGCTCACTTAATGAAACCGCCATGAGAACCTCAGCGCCGAGAGACTCAAAGCCGGTATAAAACACATGGTAGGAAACTAAGTGACCACATCTCACCTAACAGAGAGATATTTCAAGATTTTTATTACAGTGTAACCGATACTGTTGTGTGTTGAGATGGATGGACTTCTCCAGTAAAAGAGAGAGGAAAAACAGTTATGAAAGTTCGTGAAGACTGGAGGCTTTAATTTTGTGCTCGGTAATGAGTAGCCTTCTATGCTCCAGAACTTGATGAAAATTTTATGTCAGGGAGGCAGTTTGATGAACATAAATTTAACATAGAATGAAGAGAAGAAAGTTCTAGACGAGTAAGAAGTTTTCTTTCCCTGGCACTGGAATCAACTTGTTAAGATGTACGCAAATGTACAGCCCTAAACTAAGGTCAATGACCTTTTGGGCATGCCTGGATTGATTTAAGAAAAAAAAGATGTACGAAAAGAAAGTAGAAGAATACGAGGTAAGAAAATTTGGCAAGAAAGAAGAGGAAGTGAAAATAAATAGCAAAAGAGCTTCCATTGGGCTACCTGCAAGAATAGGTCATTTGACGCATAGTGAAGCCTCTGGAGAGAGAGATGATTGCGAAACGTGTCTGATGAGTAAAGCAAAGAAGAAACCGTTTCCTGGAAGACAGAGCCGTACACACCATGCCGCAGGTTGAAGCGTGCCTGCGTGCAGTCAACCAAAAGCCTGTCGTGCACACTCGTGCTGAAGCACGCTTGCCACTCTGTAGCAAAGCATGCTTGCTAAGTACACGCCAGGTGGCGCATACCTGCAAGTAGACGGTTGTAAAGCATAGCAACATAGAACTTGCGGGAATGGGCCACCTGGCGTGTACTTGCCAAGCATGCCTGTACTTGGTAACGGTGCTCCAGCGTGGCGAGTACTTGGCAGCTTTGCTCCAGGTGGAGTGTACTTGCAGGCACACTAAGAATGAATGGGTCACCACCATCACCCTTAAAATGGGTGATGCAATTTCATTGCCCAATTTTGGGGTGACGAAAAATTCATCACCCGAAATTTGGTAACAGGCGTTAGGTCGGCCATATGTGGGTAACGTCTTCTGCGAAGCCGTGAGGTCCCCGATGACGGCCTTCCGGCGCCACCACGATGACCGGAGGCCTCAAAGCCACTTGGCGGTCATCGTGCTGGCCCCGGAAGAACATCATCAGGGACCTCACGGCTTCGTTACCCGAATTTGGGCGACGATTTTATGGCTGCCCAAAAGTCACCGCTGGCTCGTCACCCAAATTTGAGCGACGATGCGTGCGATGCGTGCGTGCCCCAGGCGTGCGATGGGGCGATGATGGTGACTCTTTCATGCTCAACCTGAATCATGTCTCGTACGCCTGAATTTGTAGAGTATGCATCTTCGTAGGCAGTATCTTTGAGTTCAGCTAATTAAAGACATGCTAATACGAAAGATTGTGAAGTCCCCATGTTTTACTGTTAAAAAACAACATTTTAAAAAAATGAATAAAAAAAATCCTCATAGAGTAGATTAAGGTTTATTAGCTCATCTCAGGTGAGCAACATTCTTACATCATTATTTACTTGAGACCAACTAATTACAGAGATGTTGGTACAAGAAATTGTGAAACTCAGTTTTCCTTTGTTAAAAACTAATTAAAATAACGCAACAAGAAAAATGGTCACAGGTCAAAACTAAAACAGGATTTTAAAATCCTGAACTGAGTTCTAACGAAACAAAATCACGAAACATAAGGAATAATAGTCAGACATCAAAACCAAAACAGAGGATGTTTAAATCCTGAACTGCGAGTTTAAACCAATTAAAATCATAAAACATAAGAAATAATAGTCAGAGATCTAAACCAAAACAGAGGATGTTGAGATCCTGATCACAGATGTTGCCTGTATTTAAAAGTTCTAAAAGAACTTGCTTCTCTTGGAGGTGTGATAATTTTCAAAATACTCGTTGCGGCGGCAGCGCAGAGCCAGCTTGGCTTCTGTAAGCTTCGCTTCAAATTCTTCCCTGGATCCACTTTGGTTTTGGCTCAACCAATCTTCAATGCTACGAAACTTGGCCACATCCGCTACCTGGAAATAAGATGATAAGTATTCACTGTAGAAATTCTCAACAAAATCAAGTGTGCACGCTTTAATAACATATAGATGTCTGGGCTCAGCATGAGCACATTAACATTATAATTAATGCAGAAACTTTGTTATTTTCGCGTCTTCACACCTATGATAAGCTTCTTAACGAAATTCTATTAATGTGCACAAACATCAATGAATATTTTGAAAATAAAAACCTTATTTGAAAGATGGGAGTGCCTATCATGCTCCAGGTTGAAACCTGCCAGTACGTACACTCCACCTGACTACAATCTACCTGGAGCATGATTGCCAAGACACGCCAGGTGGCACATACCTGCATGTACACTTACACTGTTGCTTGAAAAGATAGATATCTTCAGCACAGTGCCCATGAACGCGCCAGGTCACCTCGGGTGTATTGGCAAGTATGCTCAAGCGTGGCGTGTAATTGGCAAAAATGCCCAGCCTAGTGTGTACATGCAGGCATGCTTCGACATAACGGTGCACCCACACGTTTACAAAGTTGACAGAGGTGCCTCCAGAAAAAATTTGCCGAAGGTACCATTGCATAGTTACGAAGATAGTTTTAACTGTCTACTAGGTGCTCTCTGGATTTGGCATGCCCTGAGCAACTGTACAAGTGTTCCTCGCAAGTAAGCGTTAGTGTGCACCAAGTGGATAGTTACACTCAGAAAACCTTACAAACTATTTTGGGCCCTACAAAGAAAAGTAGTTTGTATAACAAAGTATTTTGAGCATACGTAAGCTTACAAAGAAAATACTTCGTAATTTACGAACTATTTCTTCGTATAACAAAGTATTTTAGTTTGTTATATGTACGCTCAAAATACTTCGTAAGGTTTTAAGAGTGTAGGTGAGCGATTCTCACGTTTCGGGGTAGTTTTGACGTCTCTGATTTGCCGAAAGTGAGAAATATCCAATAAAGTTTTTCTGATTATTGGGGTCCTGAATGATGCTAGAGTTATGGCAATGGTATTTATAGTAAAGACCTTGTACTACCTTCCTAAAAACATGAGCCCCAAGGTATTCCCATACGTTTTGGTGGGTGTTTTGATCACGGAAATTACGTTATCACGGAAGTTACAAAGTGTGAATATTGGCTTAAACGGCTGACTCGGGCTGGCTGTGGTTTAAAAGTCGTTCGAGGGTCAAATGAAACTCTAAGCCCGACATTTAAGCGGAAATTTTTTTCTCATAGTGCTGCTGCAACATTGGGTAAAGGGTGCCACGGAAGTTACAGGTAATTGTTGATACACGCCATTTTTTAATGCTCTAGCCCGCTTTGAGACCGTGTTGAGCATTTTAGATTTCCGCAACCCAAGCAATTATATCCCAGGGTCTCCACTTTGATGGCTTGTGTCATGGAAAGTTAAAAGTTTGGCTTGGGGAGAAGTCCAGAACTGCCTTTTCGAAATTTGTTTAGTGAAATTGAATGTACGGTGGACATTTTTCGTTGCAGCATAAGTTCCTTTGAAAGAAGTCTGGCGCATTGGTCTTCGGTTGAAATTAGCTCGAGACATGCCAGGCTTCGAATCCCCATCGACAGTTGGCAGCATTTTCGAACCACACCGCCACAATGGGGGCGGAAAGCTCGAGTATGTTCTCTAGGGACAGTCACGGAAGTTACATTTAGGGTATTCCTAACGCTAGGGAGACCAATCTAACGCACGTGAACTTTTCGAAATGTGTGCGTTTAGTGGGAAATGACCCTCTGTAACATCAGAAACAAACCCCATGTCGACATCTGCGCTCGTTTCGGCACAAGAGTCAGAAGAAACGAAACTACCCCGAAACGTGAGAATCGCTCAGGTATTTGTTGCTGTGTGTGTGCTGCACACCCACCTCCTCCTTGCTGTTCACCAGGCACTTCTCCAGGTTGAAGCGTGCCTCCAGCCTCTGGGCCTCCGCCTCGTCTGCAGCCTTGGTTCGCGCCGCCAGCGCCGCGTGCTCGTCCACTTCCAGCGCCGAGCGGTCGCGCAGCTCCAGCGAGCAGCCCTCCCACTGCACGCTGCCCTCGACTCTGGCCTTCACCTGCGGGGAGAGCAAACGGCTGCGTCAGAGGGGCAAACCATACACACTGTGCAAGGGATAGAGAGAGAGGGAGAGAGCGAGAGAAAGGGAGGGGGAGAGAGAGGGGGGGAAGTGAGAGGGAGACAGAGAGAGCGACGTCAGCGAGACAAAACACATTTTCACTGGTAAAGGCGAGCAAGCAAACAGCTACATCAAGTGTGCCACTGAAAAGGTGAAGAGGAGGAGAGAAAACTGTTCCGACGGGTCACCTGAGTGTGTCATTACCGGTGTGTCAATGCACTCTAAATGTCTTACAATGAAATTTGACCTATGTTATTCGTATGTTACAGTGAATTCGGCGCAAGCATAATACGAAGCAATATTCCAACGTAATACAAATCTTTTTACCGTTTTCATTGTAAGATACAAAGAAAAACCTTCGTAATAGTACGAAGAAAAACCACCTTCGTATGCTTGCGCCATTTCCTTCGTACTAAAGGAAATTTCTTCGTAAGACATTCAGAGTGTCGTAATATGAGTTACAAAAGAATGGGAAGAAAATTTATTTAAACCGAATTTTTTACCTGTAGCACGCCATCCTGATCCAGGGTTAGAGACATCTGGATACCAAGCCCCTCCGGACCTGGTGGAAGATTTTGAAGAGTATAGGTTCCTAAGAACATGTTCCTGTTGGCCACAGGACGCTCTCCCTGGTAAACCTGAAAACCATATTGATTACAATTGCATTGCGGCGATTCTCTTTCCAGGACATATGTCGGCGTCATTCGATTTGCATCATAGCAACAAAAAATTCACCAATTAACGCCATTGTTCGTGCGATCAGAACCAAATTTGAGTTAACCAAATAGTGATGGTCTAGAAATCGAATCATGGTATCGTTTCACTGTGAGTAGTGAGTCACGAAACCTTCATCGCTTTAATTTTGGCTTATAAGATATCGTTATCCAAATATGATTTACAAAGGAATAGCTCGCCCAAAATATGGCACTGACCAAGAGGCCGTTGGGATGAGACAAAACACTTGGGGACAATATGATCAAATGTGACTGGGGGAGAGGGGGCGTGATTGGCATTGTCACGTGACAGACATTACATTGAAAAGCGATGGTACGAATGCCAAAAGAAGTGTCCTCAGCAAAATAGGACTGATTTCAGCAATCCCAAGCAGCTTCAGCTCAAATACGTCAGCAGCATTTCGGTGAGATTCTTCCAAGCGAGTCACCTTTCCATCGGATTAATCAAAATGTACTCAAATTAATCTGAAACCCCAATTGAAGCACTAAAATGCGACCAGAAATTCACGTTTCTTAGCCGTTGCAAAGAGAGAGAATGTGATGTCAAATGGAGGGGAGGGGTCAGTTCAAAACGTGACGATTTGTGACTAAGGAGGAAGGTCCGAAAATGAGCCTACACTCTGAAAACCTTACAAACTGTTATAGGCCAAAGAAAGAAAAGTAGCTTGTTATAATAACAAAGTATTTTGGGCATACATAAGATTACAAAGAAAACACTTCTTAGTGAACGAACTATTTCTTTGTATAACTAACGTAGTAGTTGTTCATTTGCTTGAACTACTTAGTAAGGCTTCAAGCGTGTAAGAGGTGAAACGTCCCGCACGCACAATTGTTTTAGTACCAATTTTGTACGAGACATCACAATTTATTGGTCTCACGAACTATTCGTAGATATTAGTACGCAATTTAGCGCAGAAATAAGGGAATTTGTGCAGTTTTTTCGCACAAAGATTGGACGAAAAGTTCGTGTGCACAAAAAATGTGATGTCTCGTACAAAATTGCTAAGAACATAGAACGTGCAGGACCTGCAGGACTGGTTCATACAGTGGTGCGCCACGCCCGTCCGTCTCACCTGGATGCTGACGTTCCTCTGGTTTTTGAAGGCGGTGCTCACGCGCTTGCTCTTTTCGGCGGGTATGGTGGTGTTCCGCGGGATAATGGAGCAGAAGGAGCCACCATTCACGTCAATGCCAAGACTAAGAGGCGTCACGTCCTGGACCACTACGGCCGTCAGGTCGGTCTCCCTCCTGCACCGTGAAAAGGGCCGTCAAAGTAGTTCAAATCACTTTAAAGAAATGGATTCATCTCGCCAAGATATACCAAAAACATCAACGCGTTACATAGCCTATGATAAAAGGTAATAAAAATTAAAAGGATCTCCTTTTTTTTAATGACATAAATAACTTGGTTACGTAGTATACCCTAGCAAGGTGGTACCTTGTAATAGTATACTATTAGAGTACCATGACATTATCATTTCCTGCTCAGATGGGCCTATGAGAAAGGATGGGGCAGGATGGCTGCAAAATACAGTGAACTTGCCGTGTAAACGCATACTTGCACCGCATGGCTGTCAAGCAGACGATAACTGCGGTCAACATCTTGGTTGACGCTAATGAAATTCAACTGTGTACACTCTACACTCTTTAGTTCGCAAAGCATCCAATCCTGTGAGATGTGCCAACATTTTTTGTTTGCCTTGACGAGGCGAACCCATTTCTCTTAAGAGATATCAAATGTGCCAATTTATACTCGAACCCCTTTATAACCCTTGATTAGGGGAAACAAATCTAGCCACACCAAAACTCACGAAAACTCATAGACGATCTAGAATTCTGGACCTTCAAAATTCACAAAGTTCAGTCGAAATACAATAAAATTCTACGAATAACAGTGAGTGAAGTTTATATAGAAATATATCGGAACTGGGCTGCAATTCATTGACATTCATCAAAAAGTCAAGTGATATTTAAAAATTTGCATGCCAGGGGAATATATCTTTATTTCATCGTATAACGCGTTTCTTTCAAAAAGTATGTCTGACTTCGTATTACGCACGATTCAGCTTGCTGTAGGAAGAATTTTGACATTTAATGAATGTTTTGTTCTCTACGTATGTTACGCATGTTGTGTCATCATGAGATTCTGAGGGTGTATTTACCTCCTGGCGCCGGACAGCTCGGCAGCCAACAGCGCGGCGCCGTGCGCCACCGCCTCGTCCGGGTTGACCGTCCTGCGGATCGGCTTGCCCGGGAACAAGTCCGCCAGCAACCTGGTCACCACCGGCATCCGGGTGGAGCCGCCCACCAGGATGACCTCGTCAACGTCGCCCGCGGTCAGCTGGAATAACACGGGAAGAGGCAATGCAAATCGGTGAGGCCACTCAAAAAAAAGCCCTTGAAACTACACATTGTCTCGGTACGTCTAGTGTGCTAACAAGTGTCGCTAACACCCATCGGAGTGTCCTAAAAAGTACACATTTATTAGAGTGTACTAAAAACAAGTACACTAAATGTCATAAGACTTTTTTGTCCTAGATTTAAGTCATTTTAAGCACATCCGACGCTGATACAATATTGTTACAATTTAACAATTTTGTTACAGTTTTGTTACAAAAAAAAGTCCTATGACAATTAGTGTGTACACACCTGATGGAAATGTACTAACACATCTAATGCTTCCTAACTACGAACAATTTAACTCATTCAAAAAAATGCAACATCAAAGTTAAAAAAGTTCACTTTCTAGAAATCATAGCGTCAAATCCGCCGAATAACAACGTTTCTGTTTTAACTGAAGATGGCGTGCATGCATGCAGCGTTTCACTTACCTCTGCGCTGGTCAGCGCCGCTCTCACGCAGTCGAGGGTCTTCTGGAGGAGGTCCTGGCACAGGTTTTCAAACTTAGCCCTCGACAGTTTGAGTATTTGGTCGCGATCCGGCAGAAGGGGTTCCAGGTCAACTTCAGCCTTGGTCAGCGCAGTCAGGTCCCTCTTGGCACGCTCACACAACGACAACAGACGACGGACCTTCGCAGGCTCGTTCGCCACATCGACGCCCAGAGAGGAGCGTATCTCCTGGCACGCAACAAAAAAAAAATAATTTAAAAAAAAAACGACAAATGTTAAAAAAATTACCGGAGAACTGATTGGGAAACACATAAATCCGTTCTACGGAAAATTTCGAAACCTCCTACACACTTAACTTGGGACTTGTCAAGTCCCATGAATGATGCAATTTCAAGCACAACCGAAAGATGATGCAATTTTGTGTCCGACAGGTGCGACAAATAGTCTAATGAAAGTACAATTTGTAGCAGTCGTCGGACAAAATGTGTCGCCAGGCAGGAACAAAATTGTATTAGTATCGAGAGAGCTTAAATTAACATCGTGGGACAAAAAATGTCTTATGACATTTAGTGTGCAGCACCAGAGGTTTATACTTGAAATGTAAAGGGAAGGCAATCAAGAATAGACGCCTTCGCAGAGAAGTAGACAGCAGGGCCTAGGACTATAGAGCTCCATAGTCCTAAGCAGGACTGTCCATCAAAAATCGTTTTATTTTATTCTTAACGACGTTTTAGGTTTGAAGTATTTAGTAGTTGCCCGGCTGGTACTAAAATTGGTTCGGGACCCGCTTGGGAACTAAGTTCGGAAAATGCTCCGGGACGAGTAAGACGAGTTGCTCGGTAAAATCAGTTCCTGGTTAACCCAGAAAGCGTATGGTAAAAACTTACGCGATTCCTGGGAATGCCAGGAACTGTTTTTACCGTGCGGTCGGGACGAGTTGTCCTGCTCCCGAACAACCTACCTGGGCAACCCACTTCATGAGGCACACGTCGAAGTCATGCCCGCCCAGGTGGTCGTCACCGTCCACGACGCGGACGGTCACCTCGGTGCCCTCGATGGCGGCGATGGTCACGTCGAAGGTGCCGCCGCCCAGGTCGTAGACGAGCACCGTGCGGCTGCCCTGGCCAGGGTCTTGGCGCAGGTCTGCCCTCTCGTGGCCGTACGCGAGCGCGGCGGCCGACGGCTCGGGCAGCAGGCGCAGCACCTCCAAGCCGGCCAGCCTACCTGCGGGGCAAGGGGACATCGCTGTGAGTTTCGGTGTACAAATCAAATCGGTTTAGGTTGAATTTCGATGAATTCTGGGCAAAAACTACTGAGTATTAAGTTTTGGGAATTTTGAATTTTGAGTAAACTTTTGAGTACAAATTAGGCACGAGTTTTTTTGCCTTGCTGCAGGGCGGGGGGCGGGGTAGGCACACCATAAAAAACAATGAAAGCAGAGGTGGGTAACGCTCTGCATGGTCATGACGCGGATGATCTTCCTGATACTTTTCAGAAAGGTACTCTCAACTCCACTGCAATGCCCATGGCAATGCCAGTGGTAAGTTTGCTTGCCACAAATTTGGCATGCCGTTTTGAATGCCAAAATTTGGCAAGCTTTGGTCGGAAATCTTCATAAGCTTGCCAAATTTTGGCAAGCTGGATTGTATTTCCGGGCCAAGCTTGCCAATGTTTGGCATTCAAAACGGCTTGCCAAATTTGTGGCAAGCAAACTTACCACCAGCTTTGCAGTGTCAATTGAGACCTGAAAAGGAATTGTGTTAAACTTTAAGTGCGGCATCAAGTTGCAAGGCCATTTACACACACTAAATTACTAAATTTGCATGCGTAGCTGCGCACAAATTCGTGCATGTTAAAACGCATGCACAGTTTCGTTTTCGTTCAAATCTCATGCACAAAAAACTACATGGTAATTTAGTGCGTAGTTAATACTCAGGCAATCAAAGTTTTTTGCCTACTTTTTAAATTTTTTTTGAGTTTGTAAAATAGAGTAGGGCTGATATCAAGATTCCGTCACTAAAATTTGTCCTCAAGTCATCAAAGAATAGAATATACATGCAAGAAGACTCATGTACGTGTCAACCAGGAACGCAGGAAGTCTTTCATCGACAAAATTTTTTGTAGACTGAGTAAAGGTGTGAAGTTGAGCGTATTGGCCAACGACAACTGATCTTATTGTTGTTTCTTTCCAAATGATACAGAAACTACCCATGTCTTAAGGTTCTGTAAAGTGAAAAAATTGAAAACTTTTCCAAAAAATTGTGGCATCATGTTTGTTTTAGGCTTTCAGGCTGCTTACTATAAGATGAACTTAAACCCAAAGTTGAGGAAACTCAACTTCCATTATTTTCTGAGTATTCAGCTTACGTAACAAATTTAGTCGTTTACTTGAAAATTCTCCTTGCGATGAACCAAAAGTTTGTCGAAGACTTGATATTTGTTTTACAAGTTCTTTATTGATTTGCCTACTTCGTAGCAAAGACGGATTTCCAAAATTCCAACCATGAAACAGGAATTTTATCAAAAATCAAAAAAACACCAAAAATTACTAAATTTTACCAAATTTAAGTAAAAATTCAAAACGCATTTTCCAAACCAGTAATTACAGGCTATCTATGCATATATTCTCAAATCCAAGCTTTGCTAGTCTGTTTGCATGTCCATTGAGCCTTAAAATAAAGTAGGCTGTAAATTTGGTTCCGCAAGGAGAATTTTTAGTAAACGACTAAATAACACTAAAAACCTCATGTACTTGGAACAAAGGGAGTGGGAGCCAGTCTGTGCTGTAAAATTTTTTATAGTAAGCACTGAATCAGCAATAGCCAAAGCACTGCCACCTATACTTTGGGTAGTTTTTTCACTTACAGTAACCTTAAAGGAGTTCAACCTGTTGAATCTGAATCCTTCCAAGCACATTTTTCTCCATGATCTTTAAAAATACTGTTTTTGGCAATTTTTGGACATTTTTTCACCAGGGTTCCCACTGAAGTATTGCTTACCCGCTTCCCGAGTCGCGTCCCGTTGCCTCGCAGAGAAGTAAGCGGGCACCGTAATGACTGCCTTCAGCACCGGCCGTCCCAGGAAAGACTCCGCCGAACTCTTCAGCTTCTTGAGAACCATGCTGGAAACCTACAACAAAACAAACCGTTATTGAGGATAATTTCCCTCCTTCCCTCAAACAGTGCTTACGGTGGGAGTGGGGGGATTACAGCTATTCATACGGAAAATGTTTTTTTTTTTTAAGTTTCCAGCTGTCTCTGATACTTGGGTTCGTTTCCTTCTTCCAGAAACACCAAATGTCCTATGATAAAAGGCTGTGCGAACATATGAGGGTGACGAATTTGACCATGCCATGATAAAGATGAAATTCGTCAAAATATCTACAAGGTACTGTGAATTCTCGAAGGTATATTATGAAGTCAGCTGCACCACCATAATATAAACAATTTTCAAATTCCAACCTCTAGGTTGCGGCCCGAGATACTCAACAACAATGTTTGAAATGCACAGGACGAGTTCAATGCCGATTAACATCGCCACGTTTTAAGTCCTATTGATGCCACAATGTAAAATGTGAGAAAGATTTTGACAATTACTTTCCCAGTTCACACTGAAAAGAAACGCTATCTTCATAGGTTGTTCATTTAAGAATTAATTTAATTTTACTGTTGTGACTTGTTGTCATCTTTTAAATGAAAAACGCGTCACAAAAATATGCTTTAACATGCGGGATGATACGCGGCCGAGGGGTTACCCACTCGGTACTTGGGCGTACACACGATTCCGGATTCCCGCGATTCCTGAACAAATCTTGCATAAAAGGAGAGGTTTTTGAAGATTTTTCATAGCTTTTGAGTGTTTTGTGTCTATTACATATCCCTCTCCATTGAAACTTCGAAGATTTTCGATAAAATTTTGAGCAAATTACGAACGATTCCCGGACTGAGTGTACACACGATTCCCGGAGTGGGTAACCCCTCGTACGCGGCACAGACACATTTCATGCGGTGTAGACTAATACATTCGTTAGGGCAGGGCGTTATAAGGTAAAACCTTCGGAAGGTCAGCAAAATATTGCTTAGAAGTAAGCCCCTTCACTGCAAGAAAAAGTGTAAATAGTACAACAAATGTATAACAAAAGCTGAACAATAAAAGTACAACAGGGATTGTAGGAAGTACAACCAGAATTGCACAAGCCACATTAAGGTCTGGACTGCCGGTGCCATTGCACTTAGTACAACAATTGTTGTACTTTGAAAGTTCAATAAATTTCAAATAATAAAAATTGCCAGAAATTTGTGTTTTTTTTGGTTGTGGTTTCTTCTTCATGTTCCAAGGGTAAACGGATTCACGCCTGTCCAGGGGCCAGGGGCGTAAATCGTGTCCGCCACCGGCATAGTTTTGAGGCCCTGGTTTCACTAGTGCGTGGTTTGTGATTAATTACTCAAAAGAGAAATGATGGACTTACTTGTTCTGGAGTCAAGGACAACTCCTTCCCCCTGTGCTGCACCAGCACTTGGGGCTGACCCTCGTTGTTCACAACTCTGCACGTCAGATTCTGAACGTCGGCTTGAACGCACGGATCGGAGAACGAACGGCCGATGAGCCGCTTCATTTCTAATGCAAAATGCAAAAAAAAAATGCAAAATTCAGTACACACACACGCTTAAAACGGTTCCTGGTTTTCCCAGGAACTCCCTGGAAATGACCAATGTCTCTACCATTGGCTTCCTGGGGAAACCAGGTACCGTTTTCACCGTGCAGAAAACTTGTGTTCATCGAGTGTTAACACTGTGAAAAATGTGATTGTCACTCGATGACAATTTCCAGGCTTATTTTCCTTAAAGGGTGTCACTGAAACATTGGACGACCAGGGTGTCACGCCCGTGCAATAAGTATAGGACCCTTGATGGCTATGTCTTTACTTTGTAATGACGTGCAAGTGATGAACATGTTAGTCACGGTTCTGGTTCTGTCATTAAGTGACAGCAAATTTTCGCGATGGCGACGCAGCGTCGCGTTTCTGCCGCAGGCTGTGCAACCTTCACTTCAGCGGCCACATCTAATCGGCTGCGCCTCCGACTCAGCACCCGCTTATAGCAGCCCCGCAACGCGACACCGAGACCACGTTGAAGAAGCAAAAGAAATGCGACTAGAGGAAAGGGGAGCAGCAAAAAAAAAAAGCTTATTCACTCTACCAAAAATGTCCTGTAAATGCCGTTAATTTATTACCAGTTTTCACTGTAGGTCAATTCACAGCGTTTACTGTGATCTGCTCACGGGATTCACTGTGATCTTGTTCGCGGTGTTCACTGAGATCTGGTCCCCAGTAAACACTGTGAGTTTGACGCCGCTAAGCACAGAAGTACTGCAAATCAGGCTCCAATTCACGGCGTTTACTGTGGCCAGATCACAGTGAACACTGTAACCGAGATCACAGTGAACGCCGTGAACTAGTTCACAGCAAACGCCGTGAATTGCATAACAGCAAACATTGGTAATAAATTAACGGCGTTGACAGGACATTTTTTGTAGAGTGTTGTTGAAATTTCCGCACTTTTGAAAGGGAAATGAACGGATGAATTGGCACGGAAGAGCGAAAAAAGTTTGAGTGGTGAATATGACTCTTTTAATCTCAGTGTGCTCAAGGAGAGGCGATGCCAGGAAACTTGAATCCTGCTGCGGCACCGCGCTGAGTTGTCAGAACGGGTCGGGTCGAAAATGCGATCTCAATCTTAATAACATGTCATGCCGCACTGTAAAAATATCGGTCGTCACTTAAAAACATTTTCAAGGCCAATTTTCCTTACAAGAATGTCATCAAACTTGCTGATGACAAAGCCATGTCACGTCTATGCAAGAAGTTTAGGAGCACTGATGTAAATGTCATTAATTGGTGGTACAACTGTCATCACTTAAAAATATTATCCACGGTTTCTTTTTTCATCAAGTGACAACAAATAAGAGTCGTTTAACGAGGGGACAACCACTCTAGAAATCTTGTGTCCCCGTGAGAGCTAGAAATCTCAGGAAATGTGAAATCTTGCCCAAAAAAGGCTAAAAACAAGCAAATTTCGGGAGTAATATCGGCTTAAATCTTGCGAAATCCGACGAAATCTTTAGCCTTCGGAAATCTTGTGTCCCCAAACATTCAATATGGTTGCCCCCCTGCTCGTCGTTAAACCTACCAGAGATTGTATTGGTGGCGTTCCTCGCTGCCTGGGACAGCGCAGCATCCCCGACCAGCGCCTGCGCCTCGCCATCCACGAAGGCCACGCAGGAGGGCGTCGTCCTCTTCCCGAACTCGTTGGCTATCACCTCCACCTTGCCGTGCAGGAGCACGGCAACGCACGAGTTGGTGGTGCCCAGGTCGATCCCAATGCAACTCATGGCCGGAACTCGGGCTGATAACAAACGGTCACAACGCTGTTGAAGTAAAGCGCAAATGAGGCTGCGGCCAACACTGAGATGTTAAGGGTCAATTTTCTTTGATTTGGGTGATACATAATTTCATCGCGGGAAAAGAGTAGCGCTCTAATGTGTGACCGAAAAAAAGTCGGACATCAGCGAGACTGGTCCTTGTTTCTTGAAGAAACGTCACTTTGAATTGGTGATACGAAAAGTATTTCCTTTTATCAGTCTTACATCACTACAAATTCAAAGGTCAGACTTCTCACTACTCTAGAGGCAAGACATAAAAGTCTCGCCAAGTTTCGGTCAGATCTAACAGTCTCGCCAAAATTTGGTCAGACAAGTCTCGCCACAAAACGGTCAGACACAAAAGTCTCACCACAAAATGGCGAGACTTTTGGGTCACAAAACTTTTGGGACACGAAAGTCCCGCCGTTTTCTGGTGAGACTTTTGTGACTGACCGTTTTGTGGCGAGACTTTTATGTCTGACCAAATTTTGACGAGACTTTCAGATCTGACCAAACTTGGCGAGACTTTAATGTCTCGCCATATTCTGACGCGAAGTCTTTCCATCCAAATTGCAGTGATTGAAGTATCGCTCTTTTACCGACATATATTTAAGGAGGAGTACGCCTCACGTTCCGATTTTCAGTGAAAAAGCGCACAGCAGTGCACATACGCTTATCGTACCAATTTGAACGCGATTTTGGGCGAGCTAGAGTAATTCAGCGTACAACTTTGACCGCAAAAAAGTTCGCATGTTCAGATTGTGTGAGGCCACGTCCAAAATTGTGCAAAAACATTTGATGTGGAGCAAAATAAGGCAGAGAAAACTGCGATACAGCAGTAGATAGGGAGAAAGGTAAACGAATTTTACATAAATTTGAACCCATGTAGTGCTTTGACACCTATTTCCTCAACGTTGCTTCGTCAGATAAGAAAAAGGGATTTCCAACAGATCTATACCGGATATCACAAAACCCAAACTCTTCCTATTTGAATAAAAGATCCTTAGATTAGAAATAACGGTGTAAGATGATCAGCTGAGAACAAACATAGGGCGACTTTGCAAGGCTGAACGCAGAGTATTTCTCATTTCTTACCACCGAAACTAGTCGAGTAAGACATTTTGAACTTTAACACACCTGATTTCAATGAGTCAGAAATCCCTGACACAACGACGATTCTAAAAATTACTCCTGCAACAGCGCGGCCAAACAGAGCAAGTTATGGTCATGAAGGGGAGGTTCTGGTGAAAATCTTGCCATTTTCCAAATGGATCCCACTGTCATAATTTGTTCGGAATATAAAATCTTACTATGAGGACATGCGCGTCACATGGATCATGTCGCTTGCCTCCAACGCGTTCAATCAAAAACCTAAGACACGCCAGACGCATAGAATGTATCGAATCTCTGGACCGGAAGCCATTTCTTAAGTTTGCTATCTCCTTCCGGACCAGAGGCCCACTGAATCAATTACTCTACTGGCTGGGCGTTTTAACGAATCCCTGAACCGGAAGTCAAAGAACGAAAGTAAAAACCAAAACGGCGCAGACGCTGACTCAGAGTGGAGGGGGGATGTTGGCGCATGCGAAGAAGTGGTTTTAGTTATTTACTTTCGTTCTTTGACTTCCGGTCAAGGGATTCGTTAAAAATACCCTTAAAATGGCTTCGTTGACATGCATTTATTCGACTTCCGTCCAGGGATTCGTATAGATGTTCTTCTCTAAATAGACCATCCTGGTCGTGACGAAGTTAAGAACAAGAAAAATCACAAAAGACCCGTTTAGGGCATTTAGAGTGCATGTATTCACTGAAATTATGATGAATTCACAATACAAATATTCTCACTGACTTCTACCAATCAAAGGGTTGTCTTTTGATATTCTTCTTGCTCTTTCACCCGGCCACGGCTGGAATGGTTTATCGGGTACTTCGGAGAAGAGCTGGAACGGAAGTGGAGACGAAATAAAGAACAAACGCCGGACTTAATTAAGAATAGTGCTAGGGTACTTCGGAGAAGAGCTGGACCGTAAGTTCAGAAGAAATCAAGCAGTACAAAGTATGCGAATTGTGTAAGAATGAGCGTCTGCGTCGCCGTTCTGCCACTTCCGCAGAGTTTAATTCTCATACAAGTCCAGCGTTTGTTCTTCTTGATTTCTCCTGAACTTCCGGTCCAGCTCCTTCTCCGAAGTACCCTACCGAACTCTGCGGAAGCGGCAGACCGGCGACGCAGACGCTCATTCTCACCAATTTCGCATGCTTAGTTCTTCTTAATTTTTTCTCAACTCACGTTCCAGCTCTTCTTCAAAGAACTCTAATGGGCCAAAAGTTGATTGAATACGCTCCCGATTGGGCACCTCTTTCAGGTTCTTCACTTCCGGTCAGCGGAATACCCTATTTGATTCTAGTCACGTCACGAGTCATTTTCCTACCTTATTCAGCGAGGCTAGAGAGAGGATTAGCTGTTCCCAGACGAGCAGTGGTTGCAGAGCGGAGCAGGACGCGGCTCGTCTGCAGGCGCTAGCAGCGTGGCGTGCTGACGACGACTGGGCACCGGAATGTCAAGCGGTCCGGGCGGGTGAGGAGAGGGGAGGGGGCTCGACGCGGCACTGCGTACTGCAGAGCGAGACCGGGGCGCAGTCAGTCACAGCAGGCAGGTTGCTGACTCCCAACTTTCAGTTTGCAGACCGGCAGGCAGTAGTGACCTCGCCACTCCGTATTACACCGGCGCGCCAACGAGAGTCAAGACTTGACCCCGCAATAGTCCGACGCCGCTACTCACTTCTCGACGTCTCCAGGCAGCCCTGCTCCAGCCACAAGCTCTGTACGCCAGTTTGGTGGTGGTGGACCCTAGCCGGCCGTGCTCGAGCGACTCCCTGTGGCTCGCGTTCTACATCAGTGTGGTGAGCAAAGCAGCGAGATATTTCTCTTTTAAGGGGTCGTCCCTTAATTACGAAGTGTACGCAGGAGAGGGGGGAAGCAAGATATGGTACTTACGTAGATCCCTGAACCGGAAGCACACAGACGCCATGTTGGCGGAAGTAGATCCAAACTTGACATGAGAAAGAGACGTTAGTCAAACGTATCGGCCACACTTGAACATAAACAGTCGTTTGATACTTGGTAGCAGTGCATATGTGTTTCGCGAGCAATATTTGTACAGCTCGGCTATAGTTTTAGAACCGAAGAGAGGTTAGTTTCCGGCCAATTTGGCGTCTGCTGGTCTGCTTGCTTCCGGTTCAGGATCTACGAAAGTACCCTATTGTTGTACGGTTTAAGCTTGCGTAACGTTACGCTACACGTTGGAAGTAAGAGGAAGAGACTGGGAAAAGTCACGTGATGATAAGATGATTTGAATGACATGTCGCTGTAGGGGGTGAGTGTGTGGCTCTTGCGTATCGCCGCTTTTCAGGGCAAAGAGGGGGGGGGCGTACAGGAAGTGTTTTTAACTGCGTAACATTGTCTGGATAGCCCGTAAGGCCTATGTACCAAACAGATTGTGGTCGTCAACGTTTCTCAGAACACTGGTAAAACAAAGGCATAAAAATTACGCCCTTTAGGGCATAAATACTCTTTTACGCCCTTCCCAGGGGCTTAAAGCGTCTTATGCCCTTGGGAAGGGCGATAATGGTAAAGTAATTTCAAGCAAAACTTTAATGCACTGTTAAAAAATGGTTGTATAGAAACAATCAGATGAGTGAAAATTTAGTCGTTCCAAAACAAAGAATTTTATCATGAACCAAAGCAAAAGAAATGTCGTTGAATCTTGTAAGCGACAATTTGTCGTTGGAGAACAAAATTCTGTTATCACACTTAACAATACTTTTGGTATGGAAACAACGTCTTTTACAATTATCTGCTCAATTAAAGCATATTATGAAAAATCATCTATTGGTCTTCTTAAGTCATAGCAACATCAATATTATTAAAAAAAATATTAGGCAAAATAAATTTAGCGACAAAAGTACTCCATGAATACTAGTCCCAGACATTACAAAATCTTTATCGACCTACAAGACTTGTTGTTGACCAACAACATTTGTTGCTGGTCAACGACTTGTATTTGAAAGTAGACTGCTAATGTGTTATTACAAGTTAGTCTTTGTGAAATTATCCCTTAGTCCCAGTACGAGTTTGGTTTAACAAGCTATTCGTTCCACAACAAATCTTGTCGCTAAAAAAATTAGCGATAAATGTGTCGCTAAGTTACGACAAAATTTTTGTCAGTGTGCCCTACCCAAAGGCATTAACGATTTATGCCCTTTAAGGGCGTAAATCAATTACGACTTAAAGGGCATAATTTTAATGTCGTTGTTTCAACAGTGTAGCTCCGGCCTGGAAAAAGAACCAAACCGGAAGTTCAAGAAGGCAAATTTTGTTAGAATTTTACTCTTTTGTCCTCATTCCCAAGTACATTTCCCACAGCATGTGTCTGTTTTTACTTCAACTTTTCTTCTGTGAAGGCGAAATCTGGGTCTAGGTTTGCCAGGAGGTTGCGCCTTTTTCCTGGAGGGCTCTAGATACTTCACTCAAAGCCTGTAGTGAAGAACAAGAAGAACATAAGCTGGAAACAGCTGCCAAGTAACGCTTATTTATTGTTGATAAGTGTTTATTCTTAATCCGAAAATTCAGGAAAGCTCAATCTTATGATTGAATAAGATTGAAACCTGTCAAAACCATCGAAAAAGGCCCATTTCTTGTACCGTCTCCTGTGTAAGTTCTTCTTCTTGTCCTTCACTTTGGGCCCTGCGAGATGTGTCTTTTAACAAGGCTCATACATGTTAAAAGCACTTAGTAAAAAAAAATTTTTTGATGTAGACGGATCAAGATTTTTTAATTTCTGTGTTAAAACCCTTTTAGATAGTTGAGTAAGCTTCATGTTGGCTTAAGGTAAAGTGACTTCGGACATTTTTTGGAAATCAAGTCGAAACATTTAAAATTTTGGTTCTCGTAAGATTTTGTCTGCATACTTGCTCAGGTCTATGGGGGGGAAATCAGGGAGACTCATCCCCAGTAGTGTCATAGAATTGACTAGAATGGGCTTTTTATCTGCAATAGTTTTCAAGAAAAAGCATAAAAGCAATTTTTTGTTCAAAACTTTGTTAAAAAAATTGTTAAAAAAGTTGTTTTTATTCTTTTCTTGGAAAGTATTGCAGATATAAAGCCCATTCTAGTCAATTCTATGACACTACTAGGGATGAGTCTCCCTGATTTTCCCCCCATAGACATGAGCTATTATGCAAACAAAATCTTACGAGAACCAAAATTTTAAATGTTTTGACTTAATTTCCATAAAATGTCCAAAGTCACTTTGGCTTAAGCCAAAATGAAGCTTACTCAATTATCTAAAAGGGTTTTAACACAACAATTGTAAGATCTTTATCCGTCTACAACAATTTTTTTTTTACAAAGTACTTTTAGCTTGTATGAGCCCCCTTAAACGGTGGCACTTCAGATTAGTTCAAATTTACTTTGCTTAACTGCAACAGATTTCTCTCGTCAAGTCTAACAAGGTAGGTGTACGCCAGACCGTGTCTTGTCGTAACAGGCTTCGCGATGCTGCGCCAGTTTCGACAATCCACGCCTGGCGTTTGCACCTACCTTGGCCTGCGGCGCTAGCCTGCCTTCGGCAGGCCATGGCTTGCCCATCGTCGGTAACTTCTAAATTCCGCCCCCCAGACCCCCCTTCATTCCAGATCGAGTTGCTTCATCTACAGATAAAACGATCTTGACCGTCGTTACTTTTCAACTTGACGGGGCTGGGGGGCACCGCCTCCCAGACCCCCCTTTCTTCAAGGCAGAAGGCATTTGCCTGCAGAGAACACTATTTTTCGCCGTTTTTAGGTGTTTTTCGGCTATAAAAACTGAACTAATTGAGCTAGGATAGTGAAATCTCGCGTGTGCCGAGCCAAGGACATACCAAAAAAGTGTGCAAAATCTCAGCAAGATCGGCCGAGCCGTTCAGGAGGAGCAGTGCTGACAGACAGACAAACACACAGACAGACAGACAGACAAAACTTTTCAAACCCACCTGAGTAACGGGCTTCGCTATCGCTCAGCCAATAACTCGATCTTGATCCTTGTAACTTTTTTACTTGTCCGGGCTGGGGGGCTCCGCCCCCCAGACCCCCCTTTCTTCAAGACAGAAGCAATCTGCCAACACAAAACTCGATTTTTCGCCGTTTTTTCAGTGTTTTTCGGCTATAAAAACCGAACCAGTTGGGCTAGGTTGGTGAAATTTCGCGTGTGCCGAGCCAAGGACATATTCAAAAAGTGTGCCAAATCTCACCGAGATCGACCGAGCCGTTCAGGAGGAGTAGTGCGGACAGACACACATAGACACACACAGACAGACAGGAAAAATTTTTCAACCCCACTGGAGTAACAGGCTTCGCTATCGCTCAGCCAATAACAAATGTTCTTCCACGTCATCGGCTTGAATGCCGTTAAAGGAAGTTGTATTTCTTAATTTCCCGATAGATCCAAAGCGTATCGATTGTTGGATCTTTTCAAGCTTAAATACTTCCTTACTTTGCAGTCTTCCTGCGCTGCTCTTCCGGCTTCACCGTTTTTACGCGAGTGCGCCGTCTTTTTCAGAGGGACTGCGATGGCGCATCCACGGGTGGCGGCGCTGGGGATCGACCTGGGGACGACGTACTCGTGCGTCGCGGTCGTTCTGAATGGGAAGGTCGAAGTGGTGGCCAACGACTTCGGCGCCAGAACCACGCCCAGCGTCGTCGGCTTCATCGACGGGGAGGAGGCGGAGCTGGTGGGTGACGCAGCGGCCAGCCAGGCCCACCGGAACCCCGAGAACGTCGTGTGGGGTAAGTATACTAAAGCCAGGCGCGGATCAAAAAAAAAGGGGGGGGGCTTTCAGGAGGCGTGGAGGACGGTACACTTAGGCGTGGCGGCAACCCATTCCCTCCTCTCCGAATCCTTCTCCAGATCTGCCCTTGACATCAGCCTCCAAAACTTAAGTGCATTTTTGGCAACGTAGCCAACTTAAAGCTCATAACTAAGACCTCTTCCCCTCCTTGACTTTCTTTTACGCGTATGTTTTCTTTTTAGTACCAATGTTGTGCTAAAAAAATGATCATTTTTACACAACATTATGTTGGAATTCGTGTTTTTTTTTGTTTTTTTTTTTCATTATTACTGAAAAACTTTTGTACACACTAAACTTTTACTGACGAAATTGCAGGTCTAGCTCGTACTTCCCATAAGTGTGTACATTATTATGGAATACTTTGTACAGTCAGTCGAATCATGGAAACTTGTGTTCATTTCCCAAAGGTTGCATACACTGAGAATCCGAATGCGTTTGAAGACGTTTTCATTGCACCGATTGATGCAATGCTGTCGCATTGCACGTGAAGTCCATTTTTTGGGGGCGCGCGCCTACACTGCAAATGCAAAGGCGATACTTAAGTATTGGCGATACAATTGGGTATCGCCAATAAACGGCCTTACGGAAAAGTATTGCCTGCTGAACGGCGATACACAGAAGTATCGCCAAAACTTGGCGATTCTTTTGGGTATCGCCAAAACCACGGCATCAAACTAAGAACTCGCCCCCTTGATTTGTTCAACGTTTGTTGCCAAATCGTGGCAGTACTCCACACTGTGGCAAAAAGCTACGGGAAATTCTGTAAACAGCTTGTGGTAATTCTCCGTAGCCCCCTTGTCAATATTCTCCGTAGGCTCTTACAGTATTTTCCGTAGGACCGCACAGTATTCTCCGTAGGCTTTTACAGTATTTTCCGTAGGACCGCACAGTATTCTCCGTAGGACCTTGCAGTGTTCTCCGTAGGACTATACAGTCTTCCAGGTCCTACGGAGAATGCTGTACGGCCCCACAGAGAATACTGTAAGAGCCTAAGGAGAATATTGATAAGAGGGCTACGGAGAATCCTGGCAAAAAAAATTAACAGAATTTTCTGTACTTTTTTGCCACAGTGCCAAGTATCGCCAAATTTTGGCGATACTTTTGTGTATCGCCGTTCTGAAGGCCATACTTTTCCGTGAGGCCGCCTTTGGCGATACTCAGTTGTAACGCCAAAAAAGGTACTGAAAGTATTGCCTTTGTATGTACAGTGTATGTGCAATGCGCACTGCACATAGTACATAGAACATAATACACAAATTTGGACAGAAAACTATCTTCTTCATGCCCAATTACGTGCTGCCATGAGCACAATTCTCAACGTATGTGTATACAGTTCTGCACTTGTCGTTCTGTCCCGCTTGCACCATAAATGCTTACGGATAACTGTAAAATATGTTCTGCGCTTTAAAAGCAGGTGTTTTCTCTGTTCATCGCTTCAAGCGAGGGGCAAACAACTTCGTCAAAATTTGTACACCGTTATTTCAAATTCTCGTTATTTCGCGTTATTTCATTGTTATTTCGCCGTTATTTCAAGGGTACCCGAGAGAAAATTATAGGCTGCAGATTGGCTGCAGGCTGGCTTCCTCCGGGTGCCTGAGAGCGCTCGGATGGATCTCGGATGGCTGCAGACATTGGCTGTATTCGGACATACGTCAGCCAAAATCCAGCCATCCACAGCCGCTGCAGCCTCTCTGGCTGCACCTGCCAGCCATTGAAGTGTCCCTTTGGAGCCGAGTCGGCCCTGCCCCCGCTGCTCTAGGCTGCACCCCGCAGCGTACGGGATGCTCCAGGCAGCCTTCCTTCGCGGACCACGCTGTCCCCAGCAGCCACGAGGCTGCGAGGCGCTGCTCTAAGCTGCACCCCGCAGCCTTCAGGATGCCCCAGTCAGCTTTCCTTCGCCCGGGCCACGCTGCCCCCGGAAGCCTAGAGGCTGTGAGGCGCTGCTGTAGGCTGCACCCCGCAGCCTTCAGGATGCTCCAGGCAGCCTTCTTTCGCCCGGGCCACGCTGCCCCTGGCAGCTATGAAGCTGCGGGTCACAGCCACATCTCGGCTGCATCCTGCAGCTTCGTGGATGCCATCGGCAGGACCCATATCGCTACTAGGCTTCACTCCTTAGTACATGAAGGTCCCCATGACGACCTTTGAGGGTGCCTGTTACGCCTTTTGAAGTTCTATGGATCCCTTAGTAGATTTTGTAGGGGTTCCCAACACCGTTCCAGATCCAAATCCAATAAGTAATTTCATCTAGGACTTTCCGTTCCCGAGATATCAAAGATAACAAAAAAGTGTCCCGATTTTTACGAAACTTGCATGGCTTATGTATGTTAACGTATTCAACTCAAATATCAGCATACCACGCACCCATTCTATTTTTTTCTATTTTTTATAACCCTTTAATCAAGGAGTGCGCCTGAATACCGCCAGCATCCACCATGCTGCATCCGTAGCCTACAGCCATTGCAGCCTATATGGCTGTATAGTCCTGCCGTAGCCCGGCTGCATCCGGCAGCCAACACGCTGCGACCCGCAGCCTACAGCCATTGCAGCCTACGTGGCTGGAAAGTGCAGCCGCGGCCAGGCTGTCGCTGGCAGCCAGCACGCTGCGACGCGCAGCGTGGAGCCTACAGCCATTGCAGCCCGCCTGGCTGCAAAGTCCAGCCGCGGCCTGGCTGCCGCCAGCAGCCAACACGCTGCGACGCGCAGCCTACAGCCATGGCAGCCTACATAGCTGTAAAGTCCAGCCGCGGCCCGGCTGGCGCCAGCAGCCAACACGCTGCGACGCGCAGCCTACAGCCATGGCAGCCTTCGTGGCTGTAAAGTGCAGCCGCGGCCCGGCTGGCGCCAGAAGCCAACACGCTGCGACGCGCAGCCTACAGCCATTGCAGCCTACATGGCTGTAACGTCTACGCGGCAGGGCTGGCGCTAGCAGCCAACACGCTGCGACGCGCAGCCTACAGCCACTGCAGCTAAGTTGGCTGTGCGTGGCAGCGTTTATAGGCTGCTTCGGGCAGCCAAAAGGCTTCTGTGCGCAGCTTCTGAAGCGTTCCACAGCCAAAGCGCTCCGTGAAACAGCCAGACCAGCCACTGCAGCGTGCATGGCTGCAAGTCCAGGACATCGCTATGGCTGCGACATGGCTGCAACGCAGCCACGGCAGCCATGCATACAGCCAAAAAACGGTCCATACAACCATGCGTCAGCCAAGCGTCAGCCTATCTGCAGCCTTCTATTTTTACTCGGGTATTTCAACGTTATTTCGCGTCATTTCACGTTATTTCGCGATATTTCACGTTACTTCACCGTTATTTCAACGTTATTTCACCGTTAATTCAACGTTTTTTCACTGTTATCTCACGTTATTTCACCGTTATTTCACGTTATTTCAAGGAAAATGTGCACCAAAATTCAAGTTGTTTGCCCCTCGGCTTCAAGCAATCAAACGTTGTTAACAGACGCCAAACGGATGGTTGGGAGGCCGTTCAGCCGACTGCAGCCTGATGACGTCGCGAGGTGGCCCTTCTCAGTCGCCGCGGCGGATAAAGACAAGATACTCATCCGAGTGACTCACAATGACATCTCGAAAAGTTTCTCTCCAGAAGAGGTACGTGATGGTTTCATCTGGGCACTGCTTTCTCACCCTTTCACTGACTATTTCTCATGCAGACGCATTTCTGCAAGTAACCGTAACACTTCCTATTTTTCCTCTGTATTACTTAGCAATTGCTAATCACTGGACTAATATTATCGTTTTCAAAGTAAATTACGAAAAAAAAAGTGGACGACCAAAATACTAAGTATTACGGTGGCTTAAAGACATGCTCGCTTATGAGAATAGTCAGTATGCGTTGCTAATAAGAAATAGTCAGTATGCGTCTGCTAATAAAAAATAGTCAGTATGCGTCTGTTAATAAGAAATAGTCAGTATGCGTCTGCTAATGAGAAATAGTCAGTTTGCGTCTGTTAATGAGAAATTGATCCAGGAAGCGGAAGAAGGAATAACTTGACTTATCCCCAAATTGAGTTTTTATTTTATTATTGTGCCTTAGAATGGTTTACATCATTACACAAATTATTTGACTGAATTCCAAGCAGTTTTAGGAGAAAATCCACATGGAAAAAGGGGTATAACTCAACTTAACCCCTTTTACAGTCTAAATTTCATTGGAAAATGGAGATAACTCAACCTTAGTCTACATGAGTCCGTTTGACAAATTGGCAAAAGGATATAACTCAACTTGTGTTTTATGAATCTAGTGTAAAAGAATCAACTCAACTTAACCCCACCTTAATTTAAAATTTCAATTTGGAAAAAAGAGCTAAGTCCAAAAAATACGATTTCAAGAAATCCTAGGAGTCACGAAGTCAATTTGGGTAGGAGTGTGGGGAAAGCAAAAAAGTTATGTAAAAGGTAGGGGTGGCTCAAGGGTGGCTACGAATGGCAGTGGTGCCAATGTGGTCGATGTGCCACCCGTCAAAATTTAACCATGGCAATAAAGAGAAATCAAAATGCCGGGAAATTCGAAAAATTCCAATGCTAATGTATTCCACAGTGATCCGACAAGGAACATCTTTGAAGTCCATCATTATGAAATTTGGTTGCAGAAAGAAGGCAGTAAATTAATTTTCGCGGGTTGGCAACAATTTTGTCGGCGCCTGCGCCTTGCGAAAATCGCGAAGCTGAAAACACGAGTATAGTCGCGCATTAAAACTGCCCCTCCATTGTTGCTGACGTTGAATTGTTTGGCTTGTTTCAAAAGGCTACGGTTCTCTAGTCATGTTTTCTTCACTCTGTGTAATAGTTCTCACTCACAACGTAGCAACACCACGACGGTTGGCTTGACAAACTTTATAAACTCGAGAGGGATGGTCTCGAAACGCGGGTGAGTCTTGTTCGAAGAACATGAGCACTGAAAGTCGCGAGGTGGAGCGAAGTGATCATGGTGCTAACTGAATTAGAAGTACCATCAAACCTGGTTAAAAGGAGCAGCTATATGACCAGCTTATTCAAAAAGAGACTAAAAGTCTTAAAGCGACTCTTAAACTACATTAAGGAAAGACAATTCACAGATGCATGAGCACAGGTACGCAGTTAAATGGCTCAATTCACTCCGATTTGAAGAGTAACAAAAATTTTCAACAACAACAGCAAAAACACAACGCAGCGGTGCGGGATTGGTGCGGGACACTCTCATAAAAAGTCACTGGACGGCCGGCCGATCCAAAGGCCACGTTCGAAACGACACCAATTATTGTTGCATCTTGTCTACCTGCAGTCAAAGAAATTTTCATTTCGAACGTGCTATTTCAGCTTTTGGAGTACGCTGTACAGACCCAAAAAGAAGCTCCGCATTGGTCCGGCTCGGCTCGGCTCCCCCCATCCCTTTTTTTCCTGTGACGAGTCTAGTTTTGCCATGGAAACGGCGATTTTGACAGCAAATTTCTCAAATTGGCCGTTGACTTTTTAACCAGATTTCAGCATCAGAATCAGCGTTCAAAGTTCTACAAGTCTGCAAAATCTCATTAAAATCGTATAGAAAATTTCCGAAATGCATAAAGGGCCACACAAATCGAATCTCGGGCCGGCTGAATCCTGGGTAACTATAAGGCTACTTCGTGCCTAAAATACACCAGAGTACATACACTTTATGTAGACTATTGTTCCACTTGACTTGTCTCCAGATTCCACTTTGTTTAGGAAATATAAGGTGAGGTGACTTTGTTTTCCATTTCAACGGAAAGTGATAAGTCGCAGAAATCCTCTACGGAGTGACCTTACACTTTTGATTTTTTTCCAAAATTTTACTAATGCTTTTTGAAATTATTAACATCTGCAACATTCATTTGTTTTGTTTTAGTTTTCCCTGCTAACAGTTTTTTGTTTCTCCTGAAAAATGGCCAAAATTGAGTTATCCCCTTCTTCCGCTTCCTGGATCAAATAGTCAGTAAATGGCTGAGAGTGTTATAAAACCATAGCGTAACTATTTGCTTAGCTACGCTTGATGTAGTTACGCCTGCATTAAAGCATAGTCTTGAAATTACCCATGGATGCTGTGAAGTGGATATGGTCGCAAGTTTCCGAAACGGAGGCAGCCGAATCTGTTACCCCTTTTGTCATCGGTCCATCCCGATGAGGCAACCACCTTTAGTCATTGGATGCGCAAAATTTCTTAAGGGGGTTTAAAATTTGTCAGATTTCAACAAATTTTCGACAAATTTGCGCGTTTTTTTTTATTTTTGCCTACGTTTTGAAGGAATGTTTCGGATTTTAAGCGACTTCGGACGCTCAACTCGACACAGGTTCTCGCGAGTGAGTGCGTGGCAGCGTTTATAGGCTGCTTCGGGCAGCCAAAAGGCTTCTGTGCGCAGCTTCTGAAGCGTTCCACAGCCAAAGCGCTCCGTGAAACAGCCAGACCAGCCACTGCAGCGTGCATGGCTGCAAGTCCAGGACATCGCTATGGCTGCGACATGGCTGCAACGCAGCCACGGCAGCCATGCATACAGCCAAAAAACGGTCCATACAACCATGCGTCAGCCAAGCGTCAGCCTATCTGCAGCCTTCTATTTTTACTCGGGTATTTCAACGTTATTTCGCGTCATTTCACGTTATTTCGCGATATTTCACGTTACTTCACCGTTATTTCAACGTTATTTCACCGTTAATTCAACGTTTTTTCACTGTTATCTCACGTTATTTCACCGTTATTTCACGTTATTTCAAGGAAAATGTGCACCAAAATTCAAGTTGTTTGCCCCTCGGCTTCAAGCAATCAAACGTTGTTAACAGACGCCAAACGGATGGTTGGGAGGCCGTTCAGCCGACTGCAGCCTGATGACGTCGCGAGGTGGCCCTTCTCAGTCGCCGCGGCGGATAAAGACAAGATACTCATCCGAGTGACTCACAATGACATCTCGAAAAGTTTCTCTCCAGAAGAGGTACGTGATGGTTTCATCTGGGCACTGCTTTCTCACCCTTTCACTGACTATTTCTCATGCAGACGCATTTCTGCAAGTAACCGTAACACTTCCTATTTTTCCTCTGTATTACTTAGCAATTGCTAATCACTGGACTAATATTATCGTTTTCAAAGTAAATTACGAAAAAAAAAGTGGACGACCAAAATACTAAGTATTACGGTGGCTTAAAGACATGCGTCTGCTTATGAGAAATAGTCAGTATGCGTCTGCTAATAAGAAATAGTCAGTATGCGTCTGCTAATAAAAAATAGTCAGTATGCGTCTGTTAATAAGAAATAGTCAGTATGCGTCTGCTAATGAGAAATAGTCAGTTTGCGTCTGTTAATGAGAAATTGATCCAGGAAGCGGAAGAAGGGAATAACTTGACTTATCCCCAAATTGAGTTTTTATTTTATTATTGTGCCTTAGAATGGTTTACATCATTACACCAAATTATTTGACTGAATTCCAAGCAGTTTAGGAGAAAATCCACATGGAAAAGGGGTATAACTCAACTTAACCCCTTTTACAGTCTAAATTTCATTGGAAAATGGAGATAACTCAACCTTAGTCTACATGAGTCCGTTTGACAAATTGGCAAAAGGATATAACTCAACTTGTGTTTTTATGAATCTAGTGTAAAAAGAATCAACTCAACTTAACCCCACCTTAATTTAAAATTTCAATTTGGAAAAAAGAGCTAAGTCCAAAAAATACGATTTCAAGAAATCCTAGGAGTCACGAAGTCAATTTGGGTAGGAGTGTGGGGAAAGCAAAAAAGTTATGTAAAAGGTAGGGGGTGGCTCAAGGGTGGCTACGAATGGCAGTGGTGCCAATGTGGTCGATGTGCCACCCGTCAAAATTTAACCATGGCAATAAAGAGAAATCAAAATGCCGGGAAATTCGAAAAATTCCAATGCTAATGTATTCCACAGTGATCCGACAAAGGAACATCTTTGAAGTCCATCATTATGAAAATTTTGGTTGCAGAAAGAAGGCAGTAAATTAATTTTCGCGGGTTGGCAACAATTTTGTCGGCGCCTGCGCCCTTGCGAAAATCGCGAAGCTGAAAACACGAGTATAGTCGCGCATTAAAACTGCCCCTCCATTGTTGCTGACGTTGAATTGTTTGGCTTGTTTCAAAAGGCTACGGTTCTCTAGTCATGTTTTCTTCAACTCTGTGTAATAGTTCTCACTCACAACGTAGCAACACCACGACGGTTGGCTTGACAAACTTTATAAACTCGAGAGGGATGGTCTCGAAACGCGGGTGAGTCTTGTTCGAAGAACATGAGCACTGAAAGTCGCGAGGTGGAGCGAAGTGATCATGGTGCTAACTGAATTAGAAGTACCATCAAACCTGGTTAAAAGGAGCAGCTATATGACCAGCTTATTCAAAAAGAGACTAAAAGTCTTAAAGCGACTCTTAAACTACATTAAGGAAAGACAATTCACAGATGCATGAGCACAGGTACGCAGTTAAATGGCTCAATTCACTCCGATTTGAAGAGTAACAAAAATTTTCAACAAAACAACAGCAAAAACAACAACGCAGCGGTGCGGGATTGGTGCGGGACACTCTCATAAAAAGTCACTGGACGGCCGGCCGATCCAAATGGCCACGTTCGAAACGACACCAATTCTATTGTTGCATCTTGTCTACCTGCAGTCAAAGAAATTTTTCATTTCGAACGTGCTATTTCAGCTTTTGGAGTACGCTGTACAGACCCAAAAAGAAGCTCCGCTATTGGTCCGGCTCGGCTCGGCTCCCCCCACTCCCTTTTTTTCCTGTGACGAGTCTAGTTTTGCCATGGAAACGGCGATTTTGACAGCAAATTTCTCAAAATTGGCCGTTGACTTTTTAACCAGATTTCAGCATCAGAATCAGCGTTCAAAGTTCTACAAGTCTGCAAAATCTCATTAAAATCGTATAGAAAATTTCCGAAATGCATAAAGGGCCACACAAATCGAATCTCGGGCCGGCTGAATCCTGGGTATACTATAAGGCTACTTCGTGCCTAAAAATACACCAGAGTAACATACACTTTATGTAGACTATTGTTCCACTTGACTTGTCTCCAGATTCCACTTTGTTTAGGAAATATAAGGTGAGGTGACTTTGTTTTCCATTTCAACGGAAAGTGATAAGTCGCAGAAATCCTCTACGGAGTGACCTTACACTTTTGATTTTTTTCCAAAATTTTACTAATGCTTTTTGAAATTATTAACATCTGCAACATTCATTTGTTTTGTTTTAGTTTTCCCTGCTAACAGTTTTTTGTTTCTCCTGAAAAATGGCCAAAATTGAGTTATCCCCTTCTTCCGCTTCCTGGATCAAATAGTCAGTAAATGGCTGAGAGTGTTATAAAACCATAGCGTAACTATTTGCTTAGCTACGCTTGATGTAGTTACGCCTGCATTAAAGCATAGTCTTGAAATTAACCCATGGATGCTGTGAAGTGGATATGGTCGCAAGTTTCCGAAACGGAGGCAGCCGAATCTGTTACCCATTTTGTCATCGGTCCATCCCGATGAGGCAACCACCTTTAGTCATTGGATGCGCAAAATTTCTTAAGGGGTTAAATTCGTCAGATTTCAACAAATTTTCGACAAATTTGCGCGTTTTTATTTTATTGTTGCCTACGTTTTGAAGGAATGTTTCGGATTTTAAGCGACTTCGGACGCTCAACTCGACACAGGTTCTCGCGAGTGAGTGCCCCCTCGATCCGTCCACTAAAATTAGCGTTAAACGTCGGGGGAAAGCCCCGGTAATCTTGTGTAACTTATGCCCACCACGAAAATTCGGGTTCATTCCTCTCTTTTCTGTGCAGATATCTGCTAAAGTCGTGAAGAAGATGAAGGATGTGTCTGAAGCGTTCCTGGGGTACCCCGTCAACCAGGCGGTCATCACGGTGCCGGCGTACTTCAACTCAGCTCAGCGAGCTGCCACCAGGAAAGCAGGTAAGGGCGTCGAGGGGGAACCAAACAAAGAACCTAACACTCTCATTCCAGGAACGTGATATCACGTTCGTTTGAGCATTGTGTCACATTCGTTTGAATGTCAATAAGCTACTCTATGGCTGATTCACATCGAAAGGAACGTGACACAATGCCCAAAGGAACGTGATGTCACGTTCCTGAAATGAGAGTTAACTGGCTGCAAAATGCATGCTTGGCCAATTATGCACACACTTGCAACTGCATACGTTTAGCATGGGCTGACAAGCAGGCAAAGACGGCAAGAAAATGCATTCGTTATCGCGCTAGAACTTGCTGAATTGTGGGACAAAATCCTTCGTCTCGTAGCTAAACGGTGCCAAATGCTAATTTTCACGCTGGCTGCAGACGAAAATAGTATGAAGTATCTAAATTACAGTTTACTCAGTGCAATGCTTGTCGATAAGGGAGAGTGGGGTACAGTGAATCCCTTTTTTCATTTTGCGATGTGAAAAATCTGAGTGGCAACATAAACCTAATTTTTTTGTGCTAAAGTACTATGTGGATCTTCTTATTGAAGATCCCAATCAAAATTTTCATGTATCCTAACTGGTTTAGAGTGTAGTCTCACTTTGCTTTATTCCTACGTTTGATACAAAGTGCCCCACTAATGGGGTACATTGTATCAGGTGAGGGGCAATATGTATCACATCAGATTTCTCAAGAGAATGACCGCTTTTAGGCAGAGTTTGGTGCAACATCGATTTGTGCATCATGGATCTGTTCTGAGGTTATTAAGATATGATACGCAGGGCTGTTAAGTTGTCCTGCAAACATGATACAAAGGCATTAAGAAATTACTGTTGTTGCATAGGAAGATCAGTCCAAAAACGCAGCAAGTGACAAAGACAAACCTGAATTTCTTTTCTTTTCTTGCATGAAACTTGCCTCTCCTGGTGCTGATTAGTGTTGACACTCAATTAATATTTAAAAGAATCCCAGTGAAACCCCAGGAATGGGAAGCAAACGATGGAAACCGTTCGAGAACACAAAAATAAGCTGATACATATTACCCCATTTTGGAATGATACAATTTCCCCCACAGCGCACTTAATCAAGAAGGCGGGCTCAGCGCCCTAATCTGCATCGAAGGGTACCGATCGGCACGTCTAACATCATTGCCATGCCCATGCCAACAATGCCAGAACAAAATTGGGGCCGTAAACTGAGTGACAGTGATACGGCAAACAATATTCGATGAAATCATAATTTTACTTTTCCTCATTTCGGGTAGACTAAAAGTTCCTCCGCTCATGCCGCCATTTGGATGCGAGATACAATGTCCCGCCCCGACAAAAAATGAAGTACTACCGATGGTTTATCGATTTCCTACCACGAGACCCACCCCGCGCGCGAGTTTTAATTTTGAGAGCGCGTGATACATATTACCCCGTGATACAATGTACCCCACTCCCTTCACTCTCATTCCAGGAACGTGACATCACGTTGAAACGAACGTGACAAAGTGTCACGTTCGTTTGAGCATTGTGTCACATTCGTATGAATGTGAAGAAGCTGATTTTAGGCCCATTCACATCCAAACGAATGTGACACAACGCTCAGACGAACGTGACATTCTGTCACGTTCCTGGAATGAGAGTGTTATCTGAGTGCGCTTTCTGGAAGTGATTTGACTCTATTAAAGTGTTGTGTTTTGTTCCAGGGGCCCTGGCCGGGCTGACGGTTCACCGCACGGTGCCTGAGCCCTCTGCGGCCGCGCTGGCCTACGCCATGCAGCAGATGAGCAACACCACCAGACGGGTCCTGGTGTACGATCTGGGCGGCGGCACGTTTGATGTCACGGTGGCCAACGTCAGAGGCTGTCTAGTCACTGTGCGGGCAGTCGGAGGCGATTCGCACCTTGGTGGGCAAGATTTTGACAACAGAATCTTCGACCACATTGCAAAAGTATGTCTACAAGTGCGCGGTAAAAACAGTGTCAGGGTTTCCCAGGGCCACCCTGGAAAAAGAGGCCGTTTTCCCGGGGCGGGCCTGGGAAACCCTGAAATCGTTTTTGCCGTGCGCAGCATGGAATCCAGATGCACACTCTAACACTGTAAATTTAAAGGTGATACATCTAGTACCATTTTTGGCGATACATGTCTACAGATGTCTTGGCTGAGAACACATCTGCAGTTGCATACTTGGCTGAGTACACATCTGCAGATGCATCCTTAGATGAGTTAGGTATGCATCTGTAGACTATGCATCTGTAGATGTGTACTCATCTGAGTATGCATCTGTAGATGTGTACTCATCTGAGTATGCATCTGTAGATGTGTACTCATCTGAGTATGCATCTGTAGATGTGTACTCATCTGAGTATGCGTCTGTAGACGCTACTGAGTACACACTCCGGTTTGTAGAGATCCTGAAGTTCAAGTGATTAAAAAAAGTACATGTACCTAAATATTTGATGTGTCAAGACACGGTTGTTGCCTTCGGTAGGAGATCGAGAGGAAGACGGGGCGCCAAGTTGCCGGGAACCCACGGAAGGCGCGCCGCCTCCTCACCATGTGCGAGCGGCTGAAGCAAGACCTGTCCGCCGTGACGCGGGCGGAGCTCGACGTGTTGCCGCTCATCGGCGAGGAACTTCCCATCGCCATGACCCGGGCCAAATTCGAAGACCTCACCAGGGACCTCCTCAACCGAACCAGGGATGCGGTCGCGGACGTCCTGCAGTCCATCAATGTACGTAAGCACTGAGAATCCGAACGCTGTAAGAATTGTAGCCGTCGAGTGGTGTACACACCAGATGTTATGTTCGGGACATCACAGTTTTTTGTGCACACGAACTTTTCGTACAAATTTGTACGCGATTTTGCACAAATATGGGGGAAAATGTGCGGTTTCTCGTACATAAAATTGTACGAAAAGTTTGTGTGCACGAAAGACTGAGGTCTCGTACAAACTTTAATCAGAACATTTCGTGTGCATCGCTAGTGAAGTGCAACGCTCTCTCATGCATTAGGGCATTTTCAGGACACATCACACATTTTGAAACGCATGCACAGTTTCTTGCAAAGCTCATGCACTTATAACTGCATAGAAATTTACTAAGCACGGTGCGTGAGGTAGCTGTTGTACGTATGGTGCGATGCTTCAATTCACTGCAATTTGGATGGAAAGACTTCACGTCAAAATATGGCGATAAAGTCTCGCCAAGATTTGGTCAGACCTGAAAGTCTCGCCAAAATTTGGTCAGACAAAAAAGTCTTGCCACAAAACGGTCATACACAAAAGTCTGACCCCAGAACGGTGAGACTTTTGTGTCTGACCACGGCCTTTAGGCCGTAACCGTCCGGCGCATTACGGCCTTTCGGTGGTGGTCAGACACAAAAGTCTCGCCATTTTGGGGTCAGACTTTCGAGTATGACCGTTTTGTGGCGAGACTTTTTTGTCTGACCAAATTTTGGCGAGACTTTCAGGTCTGACCAAATCTTGGCGAAACTTTTATGTCTTGCCTCTGGAATGGCGAGAAGTCTGACCGTTGGATTTGTAGGGAATGCATTGCACCGCACGTGCTTTGTACATATCTTTACAAATTTCAGTCTGTGCTCATGAAGTCACTAATTGAAATTCACAGCACTGGTGTAACAAAGGCATCAAAACTGTGCCATTTAATGGTGTCAACGATTTAAGCCCTTTGAGCGGCGTGAATCGTTAATGCCCTTGGGAAGGGCATTAAAATTTTGCTTTCAAGTCTTATATCATTCACACCCTTCCCAAGGGCATAAAATGCCTTTTGTTTCACCAGTGTACACGGTAAAAACGGTACCTGGTTTTCCCAGGAGCCCTATGGCGAAGACATGGGCGATTTCCAGGAGGTTCCTGGGAAACCAGGAACCGTTTCCACCGTGTATGCTCTAAGCTGAAGTGTCGTGGTTAGATGGATGTGGATGCCATCGACGAGGTCGTCTTGGTCGGAGGGTCCACGAGGATGCCCGCGGTGCACCGCCTGCTCGCGGACTTCTTCCCGGGCACGAACATCAACAAGAGTCTGAACCCGGACGAAGCGGTCGCGTACGGCGCTGCCGCTCTGGCTGCCCGCCTGGCGGGAGACAGGACGCAGTACCTCGCCGGCGTCCTGGTCAACGACGTGACTCCCATCAGCTTCGGCCTCGGTAAGAGAGAACAGCGTCCTACACTGCTAATTAGTTGCTGTAATTTTTCAACACTTTTGTTGTGAAGTTTAAGAGCAACACGTCTTGTTATTTTGCAAACACGTTGTAGCCGTCGCTGCTGTTTTCTGATAAATCGCTTGTTGAACGTGAAGACTTCCGACAAGTCTTTGATTTAAAAAAAACAACACATTTTTGTTGGTTACATTGTGTTGCAATTTAAAGGGGGGTTTACTGAAATCTTATTTCTTCAAATTGGTCCATTCACATAAATCAAAAATTTGTTAAGTAATTCATAGTCAATAGTTAAATTTTAGTTTGGAGACAATACCTACCCCCAACCCTCGAAGAGGAATTTTGATAATACAGTCGTAACTTTGAAAATTTTCCTACCAAAGTATTCAACGTAAACTGTGTCTGGGCAACTTTTTCCACTTGTTGTTCAATTGATAACCGTGGCATTAGTAAGATACGGACTTACAAACCATAACTGTGTTTTTAAGACAGCTGTCAATAAATTTCAAGACATTCAAGATGTCCTGATCTTTAAGTGACTTTTTCTGGAAGCACGACAAATAAATTTGTTGGGTCCCATGTATTGGTGATCCACGCTTTATTGCATATGAGCCAAAGAAGTGCAAGAATGTCCAGAACACCAGTTTAGGTTGAATGCTTTGCGTAGGACCAAATTTTTGAAACTGCTACAATAGGCTGAAAAAACCTCTTCGCTGATTCGAGGTAGTCAAGGCTCTAAATGTCATTTTGACCATGAACTATGTATTACTATACATCTGCAACGAATTTTTACACTGGGTCTCAATTTGAAAAATGCAATATTTTCAGTAGAACCTCCCCTTAACAAGGTTATTGTCATCTGACAACAGTATTTGTTGTAAGGTTGCACGTGCAATCATAAGACAAAAATTTTTGTCTGATGACAATAGTCTTGTTAAACGACAACGCATCTCTTTTTTTATTGCGATGACATTATTGTTACCCCTGACAAGATAGTTGTAATACAACAAAAGGCTTGCCTATTGATAAATTTTCCCTCCAGACACCGAACAACTACTGTTGTCATTTAACAACACTCCACTTGGTGTGTATCACATCTCGGTTTCTAGGTGAGGAGGACGGTGGGTTCAGCGTACTGATACCGCGAAACACTCCAATACCCTTCTCGTGCTCCAGGCTGTACCTTACGGTGTATGACCACCAGGACGTCCTCTCTTTGAAGGTGAGTCGTTGACTCGTGTACGCTCTGAACTCTCTTTAACGGTCAGTGAAAGTTGGTTTCAGGTCAGGGAATCGTCAGGGTGTTTGGTTTCCCAAAGCATGTGGCGTGGCCACTCTGGAACCACTTGGAGGTTGTGTCTCAAGTTAACCCCAAACTGCTCTGCAAACTCAACAGTGTGTTCATCACACTCTGTTCAGCGTGTACTCACAAGTACACTCCAACGAGAGTGTGCTCAGATCCTTGAAATACATGCAGTTGAGTACACGCTCGTGGAAGTGTGCTCAAGAGCACACGCTGAAGAAAGTGTGCTCTTCAGTACACGCTGAAGAGAGTGTACTCATGAGAACACGTTAAAGAGAGTGTACTGAGTACACTGTTGAGTTTGTAGAGTGCACTGGAAAACCAAACGTGGTCTAGACCGCACCACTGGTGGGGTCAAATGGATGCCATTTTGACCGCATGAGTTGGTGTGGTCTAGACCACGTCTGGCTACGTTTGGTGTGGCCTTTCCATGCAATGACCACACCAAACGCACCTAACGTGGTGTACATCGCACCAACTGGTGCGTCTAAAATGGCATATCCCTTTGACCACACCAGTTGGTGCAGTCTAGACCCCGTTTGGTTTTTTCGTGTCTCCCGCTACCCCAGTACACGGTGTGTGACGTTTGTCTGAGCAGGTGTATCAAGGCGAGAGGACCGTTGCTTCGAGGAACGCCTTCATCGGCGAGTACAGAGTCGAGGACCTGCCGCGGCGCGAGGCCGGCCTCGAGGTGGAAGTGCGCCTGTCCATCGACAGCGATGGCGTGCTCACCGTCGAGGCCAGGCATCCCGTCACCCGAGTGTGGGGCGGGTGCACTGTGCAGACGGTAGACTGTACGGCGTTCGGGGAGCAGGTGAGGAGGAACAATATTAAGTGTTAGTCCTCTGCGGTCCCCTAACACGGTAAAAACGGTACCTGGTTTTCCCAGGAAGCCTATGGTAGAGACATAGGCTATTTTCAGGGAGTTCCTGGAAAAACCAGGAACCGTCTTTACCGTGTACTCATGGGGAAATCACTGTGAACTATGGTGTACAAATCCCATGAATTTCAGTCAAATTTCGATGCATTATAGTCAAATTACGATGAATTTCAGTCAAATTTCGATAAATTTTAGTCAAACTTCGATGGATTTCAGTCGCATTTCGATGAATTTCAGTGAAATTTACATGTTTGATGAATTTCGGTGTACAAATTTGGCTGGAGTTATTTCCCCTTGCTCGTACCTTTTCTCCCTTGCTTTTAAAGCCTTTTGAGCCTCGGTACAAACCCAAGTGTGTGGCATTCGTACATAACAGCGTATCTTCCGTGGGATTTTCTTTGAAGATTCGTTCTTCTTTCAGATGATCACTCAAGTGAGAACATTGTCCGAACATTCTCGTGCGTAGTTGCGCACAAATTCGTTTATTTTTAAAGGCATGCGCAGTTTCGTGCAGAGCTTATGTTAAGAAAATTACATAGTTTTTTAGTGCGAAAAGTCAACCTGAAACTTAACGCTCTCAATCGGTCAATAGACATGCTCGTGGCAAGGACAATCTAATGTGAGGCCAACCTGCCCTTTTAAAATAAAACGGCGCGTCTAGGTGACCTACCACGTACGTTTAGAAAGAAAAGCATGACTGAGCAGTAGACAATAAGTTGCGTCAACCTGCGGGTCGACTCTTACAACTGTCATCTTAGTTTGCAAAGAGAGTGTTTTTGAACTCATAACTTGTACTTTATGCACGCAATCGCTCAATTACTGTACAAATCGAAGAGCGTACATTGTATGCTCTCACTGGAGCATGCCTGAAAGCACGCTCTAGCTAGCGCATGCCTGCCAAAGATGCACTTACTAGTGCACCCATGCCGTACACGCTGCCTGAAGCATGCATCTAGTGCATAAGGGATATGGAGTTGCTTGCATCAGGAAGCGCGTACATGGCATGTATGCTCTAGTAAATGCATGGTTGGCAGGCATGCGCTAGCTAGAGCGTGCTTGCAGGTATGCTCCAGTCAAAGCATACAATGTACGCTCTTCGATTTGTGGAGTATCAGTTTAATCCGTTGCAAAATGTTTGAAAATTTTACAAATACTTTTTTATGTTTCGAAATCATTTTGTTACTGATCACTAAGGGGTTCCGTGCTAATTTGAAGTTGGTGCGCAGTGTCAAGAGATGCAGCCATGACAGAGAAGAATGGAATGTTTGCAGGTTCCTGCAGGAACACCTGAGGTAAAGGCCGACGACGAGGTTACTGACAGGCACGAGCTGGCTCGTCTCGGGGCACGGTTCCGGTTGTCGAAGTATCTCCATGATTTGGCAGAACGTAGGGACACCGATGATCTTCCAATCGCTGTGGTGAGTTCTCAAAATTATTTCACGAAACAGGGTGGGCCAATGCTTTCCCAAGTCACCCGAGGGCCCGAAATCGATGTCTCGGATTCCGACGAAACTTTATGGGGGTGTTCCCTATGTAGCAAAGAGCTTCAGATAAATTTTTCAACTCTTTTGTTCGGCCCAAACAGCTTAAACGACGTAATTTGTACAAAAAAGAAATAATTACACTGGAGCCTTTACCAGAAACTTGTTTGTTGCCTGAGTGCGACCTGCCCTGTGGATTTCCTTTCTTTTCATGGTACTGGAAATAGTCTCCGAGAGCCACTTTACTAGTCTCTTGTTTCGGGAGATATGGACCAATATAGTAGTTTTTTCGCAAATGCCCCAAAAAATACATCCAAATTTTTTTTACTGATTTTTTTTTAAATTAAGGTCCTATGGTGGTCTACCACCCATACTGGTTTTGAGTTTGGCCAATGGGAAAGAATAAAAAGTGCGGTTTTTCCTTTTTTCCGCAATTGTTGGCCTACAGTATCGCAATTTTGAGTCTAACGTCAAGAGTGCTTTTAGACTTTTTTTCGCCTATTCAAGACGAATCGATTGATGTAATTCGAAGTCAAATCGGAGTACTTTGAAAAATCACTTTTTTTACGCATCCAGATTGGTTTGATCCCACACGGTTCCTGGTTTTCCCAGGAAGCCTGTGGTAAAGACAAAGGCGATTTCCAGGAAGTTCCTGGGAAAACCGGGAGCCGTTTTTACCGTGCAACCATAGAAAGGGCGATTTTTCAAAGTACTCCGATTCCGATTGCTCAGGAAGAAGTCAGACTCAAATTGGCAATGTTGGGGGCTACAAACTGCGAAAAAAATATGGAAAAAATGTACCTTTTATTCTGGTTTTCACTAGCCAAACTCAAAAGCATTAAGGGTGATGGACCACCATTTCCTTAAAAAATTATCATCAAAAGCTTCGTATACTCTAAATGTCTTACGAAGAAATTTCCCATATTACGAAGGAAATGGCGCAAGCATAATACGAAAGTGATTTTTCTCTGTATTGGGCGATTCCATGCCAAACCAACGAACGCTTGGAATTTCATCTCTCCGATTTTGATGAAACTTTTTTTGGGGGTAGGGGTCATCATAAAAAGACCCCCTGCCAAAGGGTTTTGCGATATCTCACCCCGTTCGGCTGTGGCAGGATATCAAAGTTTTTGCTTTAGTCAAAATCATGGTCTAGCCCTTAGTGGTAACGGTAATGGAAGGTAGGCAAGGTGGAAATGGAAGGTAGGAAATCAGCCAGAAAAGAGGAAATTTAAGAAAATATCATGATTTTGACTAAAGCAAAAACTTTGATATCCTGCCACAGCCGAACGGGGTGAGATATCGCAAAACCCTTTGGCAGGGGGTCTTTTTATGATGACCCCTACCCCCCAAAAAAGTTTCATCAAAATCGGAGAGATGAAATTCCAAGCGTTCGTTGGTTTGGCATGGAATCGCCCTATTACGAAGGTTCTTCTTTGTATCTTACAATGAAAAAGCTAAAAAGATTCGTATTACGAAGGAATATTGCTTCGTATTATGCTTGCGCCGAATAACATAGGTCAAATTTCATTGTAAGACATTTAGAGTGTATGCATTTTAGGGTATTTGAGTGAGTAGAGGAAAAGGTTCGCTGTAATTGCTATGTACTGTGGGGAAAGCATGATTCGTCCAGAAATCATGTAAACGTAGGGACAATTGAACTACTCCCAAATAAAAGCAGAATTAACCTTGTTCTGCAAGAACTTTATGCCCAGAACTCTGCAGTCCTGATGCACTACATAAACGTGTAATTGACCACTCAAATTTTATTATTCTCTTCTCTTTTTTTCAGGTAAACGAGATCAAAGCCACTCAGACGTGGATGGATGCAGGTCAATATTCGAAGAAGGATTATGTCACAAAATTTGCCGCACTGCGAAGACTTCTCCCTGGTAGTGGCCGAAGAGCAGCTGCCATTGCCAACAAGAAATTTATAAAATAATTCCTTTGAATTTTTAACTTTAACTGAACTGTTGTTTCACTTTTATTTTACTTCTTTGTAACAAACTAATGAGGCCATTAATATGATCTGTTGTGCCAAGTCTCGAGGATAAATTCTATTTGAAAACAATTAAGACGGAACTGATCTCTTGTTTCACTTTTATTTTACTACTTCTTTGTGACAAACCAATGAGGCCATTAATATGATCTGTTGTGCCAAGTCTCGAAAATAAATTATATTTGAAAACAATTTAGACGGATGTTTGCTTATATGTATTTGAGCCCACGGAATTGACACTCCACACTTTCACAATTCCTATGCGACTCCATCTCCAATAGACCTCCAGCTGCCCGTCGAAAATGATGGCCCACAATTAGTCTACAAATCGGGGGCCGTACATTGTGCGCTCTACCTGGAGCATGCCTAACTCTAGCTATGACTGCTAAGTATGCACTTTCTAGTGAATGCAGGCCAAGTACACGCATACTGAAGCATGTATCTAGTACATAAGGGATAAGAGTTGCCTGCATCAGGAAGCGTGTACATGGCATGCGTATGTTTATTAAGTGCATGCTTGGCACGCATGCGCTAGTTAGAGCATGCTTGCAGGCATGCTCCAGGTAGGGCATACAATGTACGCTTTTCAATTAGTCGAGTAATCGTGACCGTAGACGCCAGAACGTATCTTGTCCTCCCCTTCACTTGAAATGTCCTAAAGTGAAGTTTATCTATGTTGAGGTGGTGCAACTGACTTTGTAACTTCCATTTGAAAATTCTTTGCACTTTAAAGTAGTACATCAGCTACATAAAAGTATTGAAAAAGTCCTAATTTTAAATCATATCAATAGAAAAAAGCGCGCTGAATACGATGGCACTCTTCAAAATATATCTTCCTGGGCTCAATTTTGAGTAAAGTTAACTTAAAGTTTGACTTTTTAACATGGGCTCTTATGGGAGACCTCCCGACCAGACCCGTAAATTTGAAAATAAAGGTACATAGAGTATTAACAGCTTCGAGAAAAACTTATCTACGGCTAGGAAAAGTAACAAAGTTTCATAATATTGCGAAAAACAAGGCAGTTCCTGACCAAATAATAAATATCTAAGCAAAAAACCGCCTGAAATTCGGCCGTCGGCTGCCCTTCCGGCCGCTTGGCGCCCCCTCCGCCAGCGGCGTGCGGGGAAACTTGCGGGGCCGGGAAAGTCGCCGAGATTCAAACGCTCGGGAGAGACCGCCACCGTCGGGTCGGGCGGGGCCCTCCGCTGGCAGGCCTGTCAGGTTGAACGTTGCCTGCTGCAGACATTTTTGGATAGCTACACATTCTTTTGATCTGTCATTTCGAAAAATAAAGTATTGAATCAAATAAAAAAAACAGATTACTGAATAATTATTTTTTTTTAATTTTCTACTTGTGTATTGGACTAGTGACTCTGGCCCTCATTGTATTACCTTGAATTATGGAATTTGTTACTTCTCCTATGCCTTACTAAGTCAGCCACTAGGTTTTGGGTAAAGAGTTTTGGTGATTTCAGTGTAAGTGAGGCTTTAGACTTGTAAGGGCCAAGGAAAGAGAGGAAAGGAACAGCAAACACTTGAGATCATCATTCCTTTTAATGGAAAACTTCATGGCTCCATTACAAATATCACAATTATTGACACAACTGACAAAACTATAAACAATATTTACACTTCACAATACATAGTGCACAACACTGCAAGTCACAATTCAAACAAATTCTCCGTACCACTAATGTACTTGGCGTCGAACAACAACTTCATATAATAAATAAAAGACACTGCCACTCACAATGGAGGCAGATTCTCTTTGCCACTGATGTGCTCAGCAATGGCGTTCACTATCTTCTTGCTAGCTGTGACACGAGGTTTACCGTTGATGTGCATGCCAAGGAAGATGGTGAGCCCAGGCACACCATTCTTGTCGAACTCACGCTGCAAGTCTGAAATGGTTACACCATGAGCTGCCATTCGCCCAATCATGAGGTCAGAGACTTTGCCTTTGAGCTCTGCCAGCTGCGGTAGCAAAAATCTCCTCCTCTTCAGCATGGCTCTGTTCATGAAAAATTCTCTTGAAGACACTGCAGAGGTTTTCAGGGTGTTCACACCTACTTTAAAGTGGCGCACTAAGCCTTCAAGTAGGATAACGTCTGAAGAAGCATTATGAGCTCCTTGACGGTGCACTTCCCACTCTGGTCCAACAAGATAGGTCTTAGCGAGCTCCTCTTGACCACCCACCTTACCCTGCTTGATGAGAGGCTTAGTGTCAGTAAAGCCACAAACCACTTCACAGAAGTCTTTGAGACAGGACAAATCTTCTAACCACTGAACAATTCGTGGAGCGTCAAAGCGAATGATGTTATGCCCTACCAGCAAAACTTGCGGACCACACTCTGCAAGGAATGTAATGAATTGTTCTGCAGCATTGAGAGGAGGAGTAGTGGTGAGCACTTCTTCTCTATACATGAGTTCTCCACGGAAGACCTTGAAGCCAGTTTTGGCAGAAGCTATCGCATGAAATGAAACCGTTGGCATCATGAATACTGAGAACTGTCTGTCACCACACTTTGCAGCTACCTGAACAATCTGGTCCGTTGCAAGAAATCCAGTTGTCTCAATGTCCACATACACTACAGCACAATCAGGAGAAATGTCACAGGGAGGAGGAAGCCAGTCACTTGAGCAATCAGAACTAGCAACTGCACGTTCCATGACACCACTCATGCCACTCTCATAACTTGGTCCATCTTTACGTGCAGCATCTGCTTCTGCCCAGAGGTTTTTGGTCTTGAGATGGAGTCGTCTACTCTTGACGTCAAGCCTGCTTTGGTAACGAGCCTTCCACTCCCTACGTCTCTGCACAGATACCCTGAAGGCATTGACGGTGGGGGACAAGTTGGCGGATTTGAAAACTGCCTCACTGTGCTCGGCTCCCAAATTCTTGTAGGAAACTGTGGCAGATACTCGTAAATAGTTGGAGTTGGTGCCACAATAGTGACGAGACTTAGGTGCTCTTGTAGCAACCATGTGGTTGAATGACTCGTTTTGCTGAATGGATCCACCAGGAGCAAGTTGCTCTGCATTGTCTGCCATATCTTGTAGCATCTAGAAATTGGAAAACAAAGTAATTAGACAATGCCGCTACAGCCACAAACACTCACAGATCGTAAAGCAACAAGAAAATACCTTGATAAGAGTTGCCTTGAATGCTGGGTCCCTTAGAGGCTGCTTTGAGGGAAAATCTTTGAAGACATAATTAGGGTTATCCTTCGCCTTGCACCAGTCGCCACAGGAAGTGTGGTTACCATACACATGCTCTGGAATGTTCATGATAGCCCTCCTTGTAGCTTCAACATCCCCTCTATTCTGAGCCAAGGCATAACCCAGACAACGGCTTGTCAAATTCTTGATAGCTTCAGCAGTGAGCCACTTGAAAGTACTTTTCTTCAGAACCCATAGTGCCCTGGAAAATGCCTTGAGACCATGATTCAAGTCTAAAAACTTTCTAATGGGGAAGGCGCTCTCTCTACTCAGTGCAGCCATGGTCGATGAATCGGCATCTCCAACTAGGGTTCCTAGCCGAACTCTCCCTTGGCTAAATTGCTCGTTCTTCAGGAGTATTTTCACTGCTGTGAAAGGCTCCATTCCTTTCGATGAGCCTGTTGAAAATAGATAATATTATAGAAACACGAAAGATGGCCATGCATATAACAAATAGTGAATCTCCACCTCCACTTACCACCATAATTTATAGCGCATTCATGGTCCTGTGCAGAGTGGCCACGAGCACATAAGGCACAATACTTGCTCATTGCATCGTAAGCAACCACTTTGTTAGTGTAGTTTCCAATAGCAGACCCGTGGCCGCTGTGACTATCGTAGGCATGGCCATTACCCCTCTTGTTCCAGCCAAAATCGTATTTACAAGTAATTGGCACTACATCATCCGGCTTATCTTGATTCACTTCAGCCTGGTAAACATACAAACAAAAACATGTTAGAAACAGCAAGAGAAAAGCAAGAGAGCAGCTCACACAGCAGTCACTCTACAAACCTGTTCAGTTCGACAGTCTGAGGCATGGGAAGAGTTAAATGGATCGTCAACAACCCATTCTTCAGAAATTTCCTCAGTTGGACAGTCTGAGGCAATAGAAGAGTTGAATGCTGGATCGTCAACAGCCCATTCTTCAGAAATCTGCTCAGTTGGAGAGTCTGAGGCATTGGAAGTGTTCAATGCTGGATTGTCAACAGCCCGTTCTTCAGGAAGAGCAGAAAGCTCGCCTTCACTTCTGAAAATAATTGAGCGTCAGTCAAGTTACAAAACAACACAAATATTTGTGCGATAATTAAATGGCACGCCAATGAAGTGCAAATGGAATTGAAAGAAACATGATACCTCAGTGATGCTCAAGGTGAAGTGATGTGGGCTGTCAATGAATGCATGATATGAAACAAACGAAATCTAAATGTACAAATGCGTAAGTCTGCTCCCACACTGTTATTCAAATTGCGATAACCACCGTATATATTTTGCAATAAAAAACTTATCACATTTTTTTGCTATAATGACAACTAAATATCTGCAATAAAAAAATTATAGCTAAATTTTGCAATAAAGTATTGCATTTTTGCGATAATGACTACAAAGAAAATGCAATAAAAAGTTATCGCAGAAAAAATGTGATAAAAGTTACTACAAAACGCTCTATTGTCGCAAAAATTATGGGGTGGTTATTGCAAAAAAAGTGCAATAAAAAAATTATCGCACTCCAGGATGCGATAAATCGTGGGAATCGCAAACTCGGTTTATCGCAAAAATTTGTAGTAAAAGTATCGCAAAATGAATGACAGTGCATTCATACTACCAGCACAACAAAAGACAACACCTATGAACTTACCTTGAAGCTTTCAGAGTCAATTCCCTTTCTTCCTCTATGGCCTCCTGGCAAGAATTATGAGCAGTCTGAATGATAGCAGGTGAAACTATTCCTTCGGCCACTTTCATGGTATTTCTCGGAATAGGAGGTACATTGACAGCTGACAAAAACTTGTTCAGCTGGTCGTGGGCCACACCAGTGTCAATGCAGGCTGTAACAGGAAATGCACACTTGTTACTGATGGAGAAGACAAGAAGCAAACCATGCATGCAGGAATGGATGAATGAAACTATGACAGCACAGGTTATGTTGCCCATGTGGACAGACATCCCGCACCGAAAACACGTGGGACTAGAACGGAAATGCAACTGAACCCAACAAGGTAATTGAAACTCACCAAAAGCAGCTTTGCAGTTGACGGAGAATACAAGTCGACCAGACTTAGGAGATCGTGTAGGCTTGTCAGAAATCACTTGGGCAAGTGCCAAGCAGCGATGACATCGCACAGTGAAAATGGATGCAAGCCCACGAGACTCCTCGCTCTGCAGATGGCGAAGACTCAGAGAGTCATTGCAATTGTCACACCACATGTTTGTGGCCAAAGTTTTCAGATCGACAATGCGGCGACCTTTCCTGAGATCGTGATCCGGTTGTTTCGCCACAACCTCATGACGACTCGCGGAATGCCGCAGGAATTGGACGCGAGAAACCTTCCCACATCTTTCCGCCTTCGACTTCTTCACAAAGCCACACTTGCCACGGACGGCGTGCATGGCAAACTCACAATGTTTCCACTGGTGCTTCAGTGACAGTCGGAACGAAAAGAGACCGCTTTGACAGGCTCCAGCCGGACCACCCGTTGCCAACCTCACGCGCGCAAAATCTTACGTGCCGCGCGCGTAGTAATGCCTTTATCAAACGCGTTCGAGTTAAAAATCTTACACTGAAAATCGCCTAAATAAGTAACATAATTGTCTGAATACGTGTGAATAATCTTTTGCTGTGTTATTTTGCGTCTGAATTTTTTCTCCACGAAGCCTTGGGACCTAAGCATGTCGGCCAATGTCGGCTTTGAGGAGGCAGCCCTGTGCAAAACCTAGTCAAGCTGACTACTTTGAGAGATTGTTTTTAATAGTTTTAAATATTTTTAAAGTAAATTCTCCAGTACATTGATTCTTTAACATAATAAAAATGCATCCAGTACCAATAAAATATTTTAAAATTGTTTCTTCCTTACACTTTAGTGTTTTAGGCGCGACTTTCAGTACTGCACTTGACTAGGTGCCTGAAGCTGATGTACTACTTTAAACGTATTTTGTCGAATTTCTTTTGCACTATGGAGAAAATTTCCAGAACATAGCGGTGCTGTCTTCCACGCAGCAAAGTTAATGTTCAATTGTGTGCGAAGCGGCATCACAGTTTCTCGTGCAGATGAGCTTCCCGAACAAATTTTGTACGAAATCCCCACCTTTCTCTATATTAGTGCGAACACTGACATTCATTATGCGATACACTCTAAATGTCTTACAATGAAATTTGACCTACGTTATTCGTATGTTACAGTGAATTCGGCGCAAGCATAATACGAAGCAATATGCCTTCGTAATACGAATCTTTTTAGCCTTTTCACTGTAAGATGCAAAGAAAAACCTTCGTAATACGAAGAAAAACCACCTTCGTATTATGCTTGCGCCATTTCCTTCGTATTATGGGAAACTTCTTCGTAAGACATTAAGAGTGTACTTGTACTACAAATTTTTGCGATAAAACCGAGTTTGCGATTCCCACGATTTATAGCATCCTGGAGTGCGATCATTTTGTTACTGCAATTTCTTTGCAATAACCACCCCATAATTTTTGAGATAATAGAGCGTTTTGTAGTAACTTTTATCACATTTTTTTCTGCGATAACTTTTTATTGCATTTTCTTTGTAGTCATTATCGCAAAAATGTGATACTTTATTGCAAAATCTAGCTATAAATTTTTATTGCAGATATTTAGTTGTCATCATAGCAAAAAAAAATGTGATAAGTTTTTTATTGCAAAATATAGACAGTGGTTATCGCAGTTTGAATAACAGTGAAATCGCGAACGAATTTGCACGGATTACTCATCTGCAGGTAAAACTGAGACGTATAAAATTGTACATTATTATTCAGAGTGCAACGCGTTTGCACCTACCCAGGTCTGCGGCCCGATGAGCCAGAAAGAGGCGCGGCTTCGGCCAGGACTATTTTGACACAAGTCTTACAACGGTTCAAGTCACTCATTTCCATTTTCGATGATAGAGGGATTGCTCCACCCTGATGCTCATACGGTTAATGATGCACTTTTTCAACAAGATGGAGGATGAAATGGATTTGGTGCCCGTCCAGAGAGTAAAAACATTCCCTAGCTTGCTGCTCCTTTCCGCAGCATCACAAACACGCACCTTGACGACCAGTTTCATGGGCCAACGCTGAACTAAGATGACTGTCACCGAATACAAAGGTGAAACTCACAAAAATATGAAAATCCAGCAAAAAAATTTATTGTTTGCATGAAATGAATTGGTGTCAAATGAAGGACAATCGCATCGCTTGGGTGATGGCAGTCAACGAATGAGCAACAAGTGGGTGGCGTTGGTAATTTGAATGACGGGTTGGCGTTCGGGATGTCGAAACTGCACGAGCACAATGACGTAAGCCACCGTGGCTGACATAACCTGCAAGGCAAGACAGCCGTCCATGATTAGAAAACGTGGGTGACGCCCATGGCGTACATTCATTTCGTGCCCATTGCAGAAGTCTGTTTACGACTGACGTTTCTTTCATAGAACGACGTGTTCCTGGGAAGCGGGAGGTGCAGCTGTTGCTCGGGTCAAGGAAGTTTCAAAACAACACTGAGAATGAATGAGTCTTCATCACTATCCAATTTCGGGCGAGGTATACTTTATTGCCCGAAATTCGGTAGGAAGGATCCTCGCCCAAATTCGGGTGAGGAAGGGCATATCAGCTACGTGTATGGCCACATAGAATTAACATCCAAATTTGGGTGAGAAAACGTCCCACACCCAGATTTGAGTGATGATTGTAGGGGTTTGCTGAAAGACATGGTCCATTTTATTTCATTTTGATAGTCAGCTCATATCGGAATTTCGATGAGACTCGATCGAGTGTGGCGTCACAGTTCTGGATTTTCAGTGGCTCCTAGGTAGTGCTGATTGGACCTTTTAAAGTCACGGAAAAGAAAAGTTGTTCCAATTCGTTCCAGGACGCCGGGCTCATTTTGATCGTTTTCGCGTCACCAATGCGAAACAACCATCAAGCGCTACCACGAAACTATACCCCTCTATAGGCAATTGTCACAAATTGAGGGCTAATTACGGAGCATTTGCTTGCTCCATTTGTAAATCCAAAGGTGATACTTTTGATACCCTTGTTGGCGATGCAATTGAGTATCGCCAGCATATAGCGTTGCCGAAAAATCTTGCCCTCAAAACAGCGATACACCAAGGTATCGCCAATTTTCGGCGAAACTTCTAGGTATCGCCGATTTGAAGGCATGATTTTTCGGTAAGGCCGTTTGTTGGCGATACTCAATTGTATTGCCAATAAAGATACTGAAGTATCGGCTTCACTGTGAGAAAAAAGTACGGAAAAAGTACGGAACATGTCTGGTCAATAATTTGCCTGGAACGTCCGTACTTGCCAACTACGGAACATTCCGTACTCTTTTTCCGTACCCATTTTCATGGGTTCATATGGAGCAAGTACGGAACGTTCCGTACCTTTCTCCGTACCTCCGTACTATATTTTTCTGTACCATTTCCGTACAAAAGTACGTAATTTTTTACAGTGTTTGAAATTGCAGTGTCCTTTGACTTTGCTGTAAACAAATCAAAATTAAAGGGACAGGACCTTGAATTCTGTCCTTAATTAGACTGAATCCTGCCAATGACTTTTGTTTTTAGCGAATACGACACAGTTGGCGTGCGAATGTACGACTGTTACGCGAGTGCATGCCCCTTCCCACTGTTTTCGTACCGAAGTGATGGCGTGCCTACTGGCGTGCCAATACCCAGCTGCTGATACTTCCAGACGTGACGAAGAAACTGTTTTTCGAAACAGTCTTATCTGAAACAGAAATAGAAGCACGCTTGTAACTGCCAGATCCTAGGTTCCACTATCGACATTCTTAATGTCATGGGACTTACTTTGTCGCACGATTTATGCAATTTTCAGCACATCCGACGCCGATACAATTTTGTTCCCGTCTGGCGACACATTTTGTCCGACGCCTACTGCACATTGCACTTTCACTTGCTTTCACTACACAATTCGTCCCGCTTGGCGGACACAAAATTGCATTACCACCGGAGGTGCTTTAAATTGCACCATTCATTGGACAAAAAACTCCCATGACATTTGATGTGGAGGTTCACAATCGCCCACCGTTTAACATGATAAATCGGTATATGTACACTCTCATTCCAGGAACGTGACATCACGTTGAAACAAACGTGACAAACTGTCACGTTCGTTTGAGCATTGTGTCACATTTGTTTGGGTGTGAATTGGCCGAAAATCAGCTCGTTCACATTCAAACGAACGTGACACAATGCTCAAACGAACGTGACACTTTGTCACGTTCGTTTCAACATGATGTCACGTTCCTGGAATGAGAGTGTAATTACAGCGCGTCTTCGTATTAAATAACCAATAGCCTGTTTTCTGACAAAGTGCAATCGCTAAACGCCACAGACTTGATCAGAGTTTGTGGAGTGCTCAACGTCCCCCAAGTTCAGTTTTCTACAGTAATACAACGCGTTCTGTTCATCAACGAATGTGGCACTAAATTCAAACGAGGGTGACAGAATTCACATACAAAATTGATCCACGAAGCGGAAGAAGGGGTTAAGTCGAGTTGATTCAGTGACCTCTTATCAGTCTTTTATGTAAACATGAGCGAAAATTTGGTCCAAAAATAAGTGTGGTGAGACACGTCCCATCCTCTTGCATCTATTTTTAGATGACATTCCCCACCTGTTCTTCCATCTGCAAGGTTTAGGCCTTTGCAAAAGTGCACGGATTCAACTCGACTTACCCCCTTCTTCCGCTTCCTGGATCAAATGTCATGGGACTTTCGTCCCATAAATGATGCAGTGTTAAGCACATCCCATGGTGATATAATTTTGTGTCAGCCAGGCGGGATAAATTGTCTAATCAAAGTATAGTTTGCTGCGGGCGTCGGACAAAACGTGTCGTCAGGTGGGAACAAATTTGTATCACCACCGGATGAGCTTAAAATTTCATAACATACCATTTAGTGTGCACGTTCTAATGAATTTGACATAACATTCATCGAATAATAATGTGTATGACGGTATTTAACGTACCTCAGACTGAGCACGCTGAGAAACTGAGACGCCTCCGAACGTTTCTAGAGGGTGCCGAAATTCCCGGCCGACCTGGCAAAAGCAATCATGAGGAAGTCATAAATGAAATAAGAATATCAACGACTCTTCATTCCAGAAGCGTGACATCACGTTGAAACGAGCGTCCACACCAAATGTTATGGACAATTTTATACGAGATATCACCGAGCACTGTCAGAAAATTCCGGAAAAAAATGGAAAAATCATTGAGTTTTTCTGAAACTTCTGCATGGAGCTCTCCATAAAAGCAAACTCTGGGCTTTCTCCGAAATGTTTCGGAATTTTGAACAAAATGCATGGTTCACTAACACGAAAAAAGGTTTGCAGCCAGTTGAAAATAATAACAGGAAAAGTGGCGATATACATCGGCAACTTTGGCCCGTCCCGTTCATCAGGGAATGTGCGAATTTCGCCTATGTTAAACCCTGACGGGATTTGAACCTGAGTCTGGGGTCAAAATAAATGTTATTTTCGTCATCAGCGCCCTCAAAAACATCAGAAACAATGCAAAAATTTGAATAAAAAGAATGTCCAAAATATACCCTACTGGGATTTGAACCCGGGTCCAAACTTCTCTGATTCGCTTGAAACTGGCACCGTTGGTTTTGTTTCGTCGCCCCGATTCCAAAAATACCCCTACATGCCCTCCTAGCTGTATCCGTTGCCGAGATCCTCCTCGACCCCATGTAGACCATGATGCACCTGCAGCAGCGCCCCCGGGGCTCGGATCGGATTTGCTGCCACCGGGCGGTTCTTGGGGTCACCCAAGGAGGCTGCATACCAAATTTGGTCAAGATCGGACCACGGGAAGTCCTCGGACGGATGCACGCACAGCAGGGATCATACTATATGCCCGTCCCTCCGTCATTTTTTTAACAAAAAATAAACGGGACGGGCCATTGAGGGAAAGGTGAACCTCTTCCTGTTTAGCTCAGTTTTCATTATATTAAGGGAAAGCTACAGGATATAAGTCAAATAAGCTCGAATGAGATTGTCCCTTCTTTGGCCATTTCAGACTAAAGAATGCTTCAGCGAAGCCCTCTTTCACATATCTGAGAAAAAACATGCATTTTACCTTGGAGCATTTCTTGGATCCCATCAGGACCCAAGAAACGCTCCCAAGAACATCTGTTCAAGCCCTGAGAAAATCTCTCCGGAAAAAGACGGAAAATGAATGGGGTCTCCATGAACGTGATTACAGGGTTTTTCTCCCAAAATTTCGGAGCTGATTTCTAACAGTGTTCAAGCTGACTCTCATTTTCACCCCCCATGAAATATGGCGTGTACGGACCGCATCTGACACGCGGTGCACAGCGTCGCAGAGAAGGAGCAGCAGCAGGTAGTAGTGCGAGCCGAGCAGGAGCAGCAGCATCCCCAGGGGCATCTGTCCCGCCATGACGCAGACGAGCGCCTGGTACGAGGCTAGAGTGCTCATGAGGATCATGTGCAGCACCATGGCCAGGACGGTGAGTGGCGCTCGGACGAGATTCTGCACCACGTCGCGGAGGTGCAGCCACGCGATGCGGTGGGCACGGATACGGCGAGGGTCTACCCACGGAGCACGCAACTCCTACCGACGAAAGGACCAGGACCATTTCGGCATGTCGATCACTGCAAGTGTGCGACAAGTCTCGCACCGCACCGAGAAAATCTTTTCGGCATCCCCACACCCTGAGAAGCTTGCAAAGAAAAGGACTTTGCAGTACGAAGTATTCTCCGGTATTGTGCTACGAACTCCCTTGCGAACTATTTTCTTCTCATTGCAAAGAAATTGTTCGCAAGTTGCGAAGTAAAGTTTGCAACGTTGCAAAGCATTTTCTTTGGAAGTTTGCAAAGTAATACTTTGCAATGCAAAGAAAAAAAGTTTGTAAGAGAGTTTGTAATAAGGGAGTATGGAGCGATTTGTAACAGGGGCGATTCGTAACAAATGCGTTTATTAATTTAAGTGGAGGGAGCAGAGGAAAATCTGAGTATCGCCCCTCTTTCGCTTCAAGTACAGGGTCTTTCAACAATCGAAGCGGATATGATCGGTGCTAAGGTATAGTTTTGGAGGGCGTCTGAAATATAGGGTACACCGAAAACAGGCAAATCTTTTATTTTGAGTTCTTGGAAGTTTCTGTCTGAGGCTCCCCAGGTATGAATCACCATCAAAGTACCGTTGGGGCCTTAAAGCGTGACCCCTTTACCATGTAACCACGTGGCATAAGTTGCTTTTACTTTGTCCAGTGATAGTTAGGGACGTTTTTCTTGCGTAGCCGGCATTTGGGGTGATTCGTAACAGACCCGTATAAAAACAAGAATTTAAGCAGTTTTTGCAACTAAGGGGAGGTTCTGGTGAAAATGCTTTTTTCTCCTAAGTAGGTCCCACTGTGAAAATTAGTTAAGAATTTGATGTCTTACCAAGTAATTATTAAAAAATTTCATTGGGGACTCACATTTTATGCCCTGAAGCCAGTCGCAGAGCCTTTTTCTCCTATTTAGGCTATAAATTTAAAAATCTTCCTGCGCATACTATTTAGTCGTAAAAGGTTGGCCTTGACATTTTTCACTTCTTCGATTCATTTTTAAAAGATGCCGGCATGCACAACTCAAAACGTAAAGTACATTTTCATTCGCAAGCTTTCTAACCAATCATTTCACTATAATTGATCAAAAATGTACAAAATAGACAAATTTTAGGGACTTTTCCGCTTAAAAAGCTTACAGTTAATAATATAATGGAGATTTTGAGCTATGCATGCCGGCATTTTTGGAAAATGAATCGAAGAAGTGAAAAATGTCAAGGTCAACCTTTTACGACAAAATAGTATGCGCAAGGAGATTTTTTAAGATACAGCCTAAATATGCTCAAAAAGACTCTTCGACTGGGTTCAGAGCCTGGGATGTGCCTTCAAAAATCAAATTTTAGTCTCCTCGAAGAAAGATTTCATATTCCGAACAAATTATGACACTGGGATCCATTTTGAAAATTGCAAGATTTTCACCAGAACCTCCCCTTAAACGCTTGAACTATTTCTCGAATCATCTGCTGCCTAATTCCAATACATTTACACAGCTCAAAATGCATTTTAAAGCGAGTTATTCTATTCTTTCCACCAAAATTGAAAAAAGTGAGGTTAGGGTTGACATAGCCGGTCAGTTTATGCTGAGGCGGTCAACGGCAGCTTGTAATGTAGATTTTAAGGCGTCTGCACGACATCCGAAGAACAACTGCTGGAGGAGATAACATTCCCGACGATGTTTCATTTAATGGGTAGGATGTTATGAAAAGCACCAAGGCTGTTACAAATCACCCCATGCTGGGGCGATTCGTAACAGCATGCAAGGGTTTGGAAAGCGTCTTAGATTTCAAAGATTACGGACTCCAGATTGATCCAATGGAGCTGCACAGTCTAGATGAAGGGCCAGACTGCTCAACTGGCACAAGTTTGACACCGATATGCAGAATGTTCTTACCCAATGAGAACAAGGTGGTCGATTCGACGTCGAATCAATGTCTAACGGTCTAGGTTACGGCGAATCGAAAGTGAGGTAGAAGAAAAGTGTTTTTCGACGTCCCGGGAAACGCAATAAAATCAATTAAAATCACTTACACTGGCATCCTTTAGCTCGTAACTAACGGTAATTATTTTCAAATTATTCCAAAAATGGAATTTTTTAATATTTTGTGCTTAACGTCGATTCGACGTCTATTCGACGTTAGCTGCTCAGCTGTTTAAATTCGCGCGCGCAAGGTGCAGCACGACCGCTGTGCGTGCGAAAATCTAAAGATCCTATATACAACTTTATTAATATATCAAACACCTTGCAGTACTCTCGAGGCCCTTAATAAAATAATTTAATGTAAAGACGAGTTCGTTTGAGTGACGGTGCCCGTATTTTCGCGTAAGGATGTGTTGGATCCTCTTTACGGCCGTTGTTGGAGTTGGCACCATTGGCTGTTGTGTATGATAAGCGATCGTAATCACTACCAGAAAGAGGCCGAACAAATTTGCTGGTGCTGCGCTGGATGAATCGTTTCAGGAGAATTTGAAAACAAGAACCCCTTTTTTAAGAGCTGTTAACGTTTTGTAAGTATTCGGGACTGACCGTATTCTGTCAAGGGCCCGATGTGCGGTCAAACTAAGTTTCTTTTTAGGTTATGTTAACATGTACACAGAGTATTAATTCTGTTGACAGGGTGAATCTTATGTTTTGCATCACGAAGATGGTGGAGATTCGGCCGTAAGTTACCAGAAGGCAGTCAAAAATTATATTTCGGTAACAGTTGGCCGGGTTTAACTTCAAGTGAAAGAACTAAAAGGTGAGAATTTCCTTACAAATAACGAAAATTTTTGAAGTTGTTGATAACAATTTACAGGAGAACCTCTCCTGTTCCGTAAAAAACATGGAACATTGTGTCAAATTTTTGTTAGAAAATTTACTTCAACTGGTGTGATAACGGCTTTTTCATTTCAATCTATTCCAACAGTTGGGCTCATCTTGCATTATCGAGGAAAACATTTGCTGAGGACTTCGTACGACGCTCCCAGGCAAGAATGGAAGTGCACCCAGCGTTAAGTGGCCAATGTGTTCATTACAGGTTTTTTTAAGGTACTGTTTACGTGACATTTTGCATCGTGACGTGATAATTTCTGTCTGGAAAGTCAGCCTTATTGGCATATAAATTCTCTTGTTCTATGTAAGTAAAATTGAACTGTTCTTTACTTTAAATAGTTAAACAACTTAAAAGCGTTGTTATCTGTGCCAACAAGGAGACTGCAGTTTGTTGTGTCGTAATAAACCTTCCTAAGTTTTTGGTGCAGAATGCTAATATGTGAAAGCTCATTGATCTTGAAATAAAAATATAATTTATGTCTTGAATTTTATATGCTTGTACTTCCCCCGACCCTTTACGGAAGCCACAGGGCTTCTAAATTGAAAAATATAGCAAAATACAGTAGCATAGACCGCATTTCGACGTTATTTCGACGCATCGACCCCTGATCGACGTCGCCGGGGCGTCGATATTTTAGTCACAGGGACGTCGATTCGACGGAAATTTCGACCTCCCCTTCGATCCCCCTTTCTACATCGAATCGACGTCGAATCGACCACCTTGTTCTCATTGGGTAATTTTGTACAGAGAATTCCAAAATCTGTTACAAATCGCCCCATACTCCCTTACAATGCCGGAGAATACTTCGGAAGGTTTTTTTTTGAGTGCATCAAACGTTTGGTTGCAGCAACCAAACGCATCCATGAAATACGGCCGGATGAAAGTTTCGGTCGTGGCGACAAGAGGCGATTGGTCTTAGTGGTTAAGCTGGGTTTTTCTAATGCTACGAAACTTTTGCGAGACCTCACCAGAACGTTTCAATTCCGTGACCCAAGTCGAGTTGGATTGGGCATTCAAATATTTCGTCATAAAAATTTTCACGGCACTCGAATTTTTCCCTTTCCTACCGGCCTGTAAAACCAGTCGTCCATTCCCTTGCTCACTCACTACCAGATAAACTGTGTAAGGGAATCCTGGTGACGCACCGGCTGGGAATCAAACACAGTGCACAGTGACGCAAAACCCAAAAAAAGTCGCGCAAAATTATAGTGCTCTGATCACTGCCGAATTTCGGGCTCCGGGGTATTGGAGGTCGCTGACCTCATTTCTGAAGAGATTCGACGTGTGCGACCACCTCAGGGGCGGAGCTATGGAAGTTGAGGGGGGTAACACTGTTACGCTGTGCTTGATCACTGCCAAAATTTATGAAAAGATGTTTTTAGGGTGTCTGACCTCTTTTCTGAAGTAGGTTGAACGTGTGCAACCACCACATGGTCGGAACTAGAGCTGCTACAAAAGGGGGGAATTATGGTTAAGTTTGGGAAAGTTTGGGAAGTTGACCATTCATTTGTGACAATGCCGCGACTTCGGAGTCAATTTTCTCGAACTGACACCATATAGACCTTGAAGTTGGCCTCGGGTTTTACCATGGGGCTGTGACAGACCGTTGCACTTGAAAATCAACAAAAGTGCCAAATTGGGCTATTATTTTAGGACGAATGTTTGGTGACCGAGATCTTTGACGTTAATTCTAACATATGAAGCGCATTTCTAAGACCCTCAGCATTCCAAAAACATCCAACATGATACACTTTGTTGTGCAGATGCCGTCACAACGAACAGTTTTCGCACCGTGTGTCGCCTCATTTGTTTTTTTTGCATCAAATTGCTCCATTTCAGCACTATAAAAAGATAGGACTACCCATATTATGGCACCAAAGAGTCCTGCCTCAATGTAGTTCGATCTTATCTGCGCTCCAAAACGTAATCCCTCTTGCCGATGGACCAAATCAACGAAAAGTGCTTTTAGCGCGACTGTATTCGGTTTTGCACACTGTTAAAAAAAGTGCTGTAAATTAACAGCACTTATGCTGTTAAGTTTGATAGCAGCACGACTTGTTTTATTACAAGCATGTTGTAGCCCTCGGTGCTGTTTTCTGACAGTTCGATTGTAATAAAACAATACTTCTTTGGAGTCTTCGATGAAGTCTTCGATACATTTGTGTTGATTTCATCGTGCTGTTATTAAACAAGACACTTGTAACCTGACAACAAAATATGTTTTAAGATTGCAAAAGGCTGTTTCTAAACATGAAACCTGTTCAACGACAACACAACTATTTTGAATGACGATTACATTGTTGTTACTTGACAAGGAAATTGTTATGAAACGAAAGTGCTGTTTCTGGATGGGTTTCCCGTTCAGACACAAAACAATACTGTTGTTTTATAACAGCATTACTGTAGGTGATTGTGTTGTAATATTACAGTGGATTTTTAACGGTGCATCACTGTGCGCCGGCCCCGGTTTACGACGCAACCTCCGGGCACGGATCCAACTGAGCTACTGTGACAACTGAAGTTGAGCATGGGGCATTTTCGGGACGCATTGCACATAAGGTGCCATATGACTGAGGCATTGTACGTATGGTGCGATATCTCAGAGCATTGCTCCTTACATACTATATTTGTAGCGTTTGGAATCTCAGTGGAATCATAGTCAAATACCTGCACCAGGGAAGCCTGAAGGACATCGGCCAGGCGTTTAACGCAAAACGCGCTGCCCGCCACGTTCGCACACTGTAGCAGGGGCATGGCCAGAACATGCATGTGGGCGAACCAATGTGTCCAGGACGCGCCTTCCGATGCCAGCACTGCCAGCCACAGCACAACGCTACTCGGCAGGAAGACCCCAAGGCACAGCAACGCGCCTTGCACCACTGTTCTCGCCGCGCTCGATCCCGAGGCACGAAATGAAGCACCCAACTCGATCTGGGCAGACAAGTAAAATAAATTTAAAATTTTTCTTTATTTTTATTTTTTAGATTTTTACTGGAACCTCCTCATTTTACACTAACTACAAACCTATCCGTCCACTACGCACACACACTTATAAATGCCTGACCAAGATGGCCAGGCAAAGAATATTGCTCTCGACTTTGGTCCGAAGAAAATGTCTCGCTACAAATTGGGGCCACCTGCAAAAATGCTCAAAATTGCACATGTAGCAAGGAGTGAAGTCGCTTCAGCATGAGCATGCAGCTGTGTGCACTTGCCAAGTATGCAGTTTTTGGTATTTACTTGTACAAACATGAGGTATGAAGCCCTCCACTGAAAATCTATCGGCGCGACTTCGTGCCGCTGCAGGGGCGTGAATAAAGTGTCACGCCATTAAACGGCATGACAGAAAAGTCACGCCAAAAATCGGCGTGACTGAAAAATTCACGCCAATTTTTGGCGTGACTTTTCTCAGAAAACGCGTTGTCATTCATGCCAAATGAGGGCGTGACTCACGTGTCACGCCGTTTTTCGGCGTGAATTTCGTGTCACGCCAATTTTTGGCGTGACTTTTAGTCACGCCATAATTTGGCCATGTGTCCGACCATTACGTTTTCAGTGTCTAAGTGTGTGGACAAAATAAAGTTGACAAGTACACTTCCATTGCATACACCTTGAGAAGAATGGGCTACCACACGTTAATGCAGTTGATAGGCGGTCTCGGGACTTGTCTTGGGATCCAATGAACTCACACTCACTCACTCACACAGCTAGGTATTCCTGAGAGAAGCAGAAAGACTCTAAAACAAAAAGTAGTAGCTGATGTAATTCGCTGGGGTAGAGATCTCTACGTCGAACACGTTTCTGGGCATAGACAGTACCAAAACAATGTGACCCTCTAAGTTTTTCAGTGAGTGCCAACATGCATAACTACTTAGTTTGCTCTATGTAAATTCTCTTATTCTTGCTAGTGCACACTCGAGTGAGCCAGTTTCGCTTGATTTTAAACGTGAACTGATAACGCTTGAAAACAGAGGGTACGCTTTAGTTATACCCGTGCCATCACGTGACAGTTGGTAAGTCCCAGTCCACGAGTGGGGCATCCGATTTTCTCCCCTGTGGTGTATTCGGTTATTTTCCGCGCCGACCCTACATCATTATCACCAGCGCGGTTAGGCCTCAGCGAGGCCTCAGCAGAACTCTAGCGTTCGAGTAAGCAACTACAAAACACACGGGACGGCACGAAAAGTAAGATTCTCAGCCGAAACCAATCCCGAGGGGGGAACAGGAACAAGTTCCTTTTATCACTGTACAAAATTTTAACACATTCCATATCCAGGTGGCAGAGACCGCCAAAAAACTCCTGTAAGGAGGTAAAATGTAAGGCAAATAACCTGGAAATCTGGCACCCAGCAAACTCCCACAATCATCGTGCAGATTTTACAGTGGTCGACCAACCTTATATTTGTAAGATTATCAATATCACGCGAGGAACGCCGTAAAAGTGTTTTGAGGAACTCCTGCAATGACTCAAACAACCTCAGAACGTGACGCTTCTGCATGACTCGACCGCCCATATAAGGACAGCGTGCCCCGCGTTCGTTATACCCACGACACCATGACATCCAGAAGTTGCGCACTTTTCGTCTTCGTTGTCGCGCTCTGTGCCGTGGTAGGTTACGCATTGCACGGTAAAGACGGTAACTGGTTGTCCCAGGAGTACCCTGGAAATCGCCAATGTCTTTACCATAGGCTTCCTGGCAAAACCCGGTGCCGTGTTTAGCGTGTGGAATGTAGCTGCAAATCTAAGTGTGGAGAGTGCACTCTACAAAAAATGTCCTGTCAACGCCGTTAATTTATTACCAATGTTTGCTGTTATGCAATTCACGGCGTTTGCTGTGAACTAGTTCACGGCGTTCACTGTGATCTCGGTTACAGTGTTCACTGTGATCTGGCCACAGTAAACGCCGTGAATTGGAGCCTGATTTGCAGTACTTCGGTGCTTAGCGGCGTCAAACTCACAGTGTTTACTGGGGACCAGATCACAGTGAACACCGCGAACAAGATCACTGTGAATCCCGTGAGCAGATCACAGTAAACGCTGTGAATTGACCTACAGTGAAAACTGGTAATAAATTAACGGCATTTACAGGACATTTTTGGTAGAGTGTGTGAGGCACCAATGTCTTACACCTGGAAGTGAGAGACACGCGGGGACACGGCATGTCCCTGTGTACCACACTTTTTGTCTGTGCTGACTCAGTGGGGCCATTTCATGGCACCGGCCATTGCAGGTGTAGGAGAGAGGCGAGGCATTAAGGTTCATACCAGTGAATGCCCTGCTCTCCCAAACTTTGGTTTGCAGTGCAGTAGGCTCACTCCAAGGGCCGAACAACTTCGATAAATTTTGTATATCGTTGTTTCAAAGTCGCGGTTGTTTCACGTTTCATCGTTCTTTAAACGTCATTTCAAGGATATTCTTACGCTATTTCACGTTATTTCGCGATACTTCACGTTCTTTCGATGTTATTTCACTGAAAATTTACACCGAAATTCAAGTTGTTTCCCCCTTTGGCTCACTCTCACTCTTCAAAAAATGATACCCATTTTTTTCTCAGGTGATTTTTTTTGTCTTTTCACAAAATATTGACATGGTTCAATATGAACGCTGAAAATTGCCCTTGCTCTCCCTGAGGGTCCTCTCACCGTAGTAGGTGGTTTGGCGTATCAAAAAATGTTTCTCTTGCAGACAGAAGCGGCCCGGCGTCCCGCAGCGCTTCCGAAGCCCCAAAGCAAGGTCGTACACCCGACGCCAGCCCAGACTCACCAGTTCGTGACCGAGTGCCTCAAGATCGCCAAGAAGGGTTACACCCCCGGAAGTCAGCCGCACAGTGACCTGCACGACTGCCACGAGGAATACTACGACCATGAAGAACTGGGTCTCTACTTGATCAACATGAGGAAGTGCCTAGAATCTTCCGCCTATTACAAGTTGAGTCGCTGCATCAATGCACGTGTCGCAAGTCTGGGATAAGGAGTGCCGAGCTTCAAGCCAATTTCACGGGGAGTTGTCGAAATAAAACTTGCCGGAAGGCACCGTAAGGGAAAATCTGACCCCGTCTCGTTACTACGATTCCATGAAGGAAGGCACCTTATTAGCAACCTTTATTAGTACGGTAATAACAACCTCCTGGGGACACACCGCTATGGTGACGTCCCCTACTTTTGTAAGCCTCGTGAAAATTTGGACTGGTTGAAGAAGTGGCCCCAATCCCAGGGGCGCAAAATGCTGTCTTCTCACTTACACGAGTACCAGGCACACAGTGTCTGACTGATTGTTCCTGGTACTGGCGTCACCGTGACGCACAAACGAAAGAGGAAGTGTCAACCTGCCACCTGCCAGACATCAGAAAGAAGAGTCAACCTGTCAGGCGCACAGTTGTAGGCGTAGGCATTTAGGCGAGGCTTCTGTGCTCGACATGCCAGACTAGAATTGTTTGGTTAGCAACTGACTGGTTGACTCTTGCTGGTGTGTGTTTCACAGGTTGACACTACCTGAAGGGGCAACCACTTGCGAGATCCTGTGTACACTTGACTGGCCGATATCTGGCGCGATCGTTTGAAATATCCCCTTACGAAGCCCGTCGAAAGTTTACGAAATCCCGTCGTAGGTTTTCGAAGCGCGTCGTAAATTTACGAAACCCTTCTTAAAATTTACAACAAGCTTCTTTAATTAACGATTTGCCCGCCTAAATAAATTTACAATGAACCTTCCTCAATTTTCGACGAACTTCCGTTCACTTACAAAACCTCAAGTAGAAAAGAAAAATTAACAGTGCACCTTCCGACATTCTGAACAACGCTCGGAAAATGTTCCGTCGTAAATTCACAACATATTGCTTACAGTGCACCACATTCTGTGTGCCTGGAGGTCGACGCACTTAGGTTTGTCGAGTGCAGTACCATGAGATGCCGACAGGGATGCTGGTCCTGCCGAAGGTACTGCGTCTCGAGCCACAGGAGGGGCAGCAGGGCGATGCCCGAAACGGAGCCGAATGACACAACGCTGGTGAACCTCGTGACCAGCGACATGCGCCGTTGCGTGAACACGTGCATACGGTCGGTGACGAGACGCCAAGTGGACCAGTAAACCACCAGCGTCACCAGAACGGCGTACAGCAGCGAAGACTTCAGCGGGTGGAAGCTGAAGCGCACTGTAAACAGGCGTGCGGCTTAAAACGCATTCCAAGTGACTGCCGGGCACGTGCCCAGCATTTCCCTTCAGTTCAGGGGCCCTGAACTGCAAAAACTTCTTTTGTTGTGATTTTTAAGTTAATTTGCCGTTAAATGTGATACATATTGCTATTTATGTATTCTAGCAAACACTTTTGAATTAAAAATGCTTTCGAACCAAAAAAAATTGGTTTTTTAAATATATATTTCCTTTCTGCCGCCAATCCTTTCTTTTTGGGGGGCCACTGGCCAAATTTCCCGACGGGGCCAAATGACCCCAGTTTGGACCTGCTTCAGGGGAGGTTTAACCGCATAATATGCCGCAGACTACACTCTAAATTGCATGCCCTGAAACTGAGTGACTTTTTTGCCCACCCAACTTTTTCAGGCGCCTTATGTCGCCCAGTTTCTGAGCATGCCAATTTGGAGTGTACTTAGTGGACCGTTACTGTTTGGATGAATTGATTTTTTTTACCTTAAAGAAGAAAGAAGTGCGACAAAAAAACTACCTTCTGGGGCACCGGTTCCGCCACTGCAAGCCACTAAACCCTGAGAGCACGCACTTCACTTACTTGGCCCCAGCCTCACTGGAAGTAGACCGCACAGCGCCGAAGCGATGCCAATGGGCCTGAGGTCGTCGAATAAACCGTGACCGCCAAAAACGTCCCTGTCGCTTGCAGCGTGTGCGCGAGGGACACATGGAGAGACATCGCTTGACGTAGGTGATCGAGTTTGCATGGTTGGTTCGCTGCACAGGGTAAACAAACTCAACAAACTGAAGTGTGTACGCAGTATGCGTCTACACACTTGCAAACTGTGGGTTTGTGGAGTAAACGCGAAATCAAACGCCCTCTAAGATGGTCACGAACCAAGAACACGGGCAAGATCTGAAAGCAGAGGACCTTGATGAATCTTCTGTACTATCGAACTTTTGCTCGACCTACTGGCACCCCGACCAACGCAATGTGACCTCACGTAAGACTCGGGCACCATTGGGCGCGCGGCAGTGCCGACTGAATGCCCGAAGCGCTGACGGTGGTGCGGGCCGACCTTCGCCTGTCATAATGGTCTCGGATGACTACGTCCACCCCTTATCTTGATTGCGTAAGGGTATCATGCGACCCCGAGCGAGTGCAGTTGCTCTGGAGGCAATTTGCGCCCATATAAAGTGGGGCATTGTAGGGCGATTGTGCATATTTTTCTTGCTTCTGATGTTAATTACGAAAGTCGGTTGAATTCATAGTAAAATTTTGAGTTATATTGAGAAAATTGATAAAGTTTTTAAATCTAAATCAAACTAAATTGAAGGCCGGAAGATTTTGCCGAATTGAATGAGTGCACCTTCGTGTACGAATCAACCTACTATCAGGCGTTTTGGGAATGTCACAGGGAGGGGGGGGGTCCATTCGCCCCCCCTCCCCCTTTTTAGACCGCGCCTGTTGTTTGTAGCATTATCTTTGTAATTATAGAGGACGACAGGTGCAAGCACATTTGAGTACTGACTACTCGGAGAACTGAAGTCACTTAAAAAGAGCAACCGCCTCGCGCACGACGTAGAAGAGGAGACCACGCTTATCAGTCAACTTCGCAGCACATCATGGCTGCTCGCTGGGCTGTCTTCGCGAGTGTCGGTAAAATCATTTTCTGCGTCAGTGATAATTCTGCATTCAGAAAAGAAGTTTCTGGCAAGAAAGGGAAGACTTGGCCGGGCACCTGTTCAGATCTGAACCAAACTCGGTTTGTGGGTGCCTTTGGCTAATACGAACTGCCGTGACCGGGTTTGGTAGGCATTCAAAACCCATAAACGGGCATGGGCGTTCATGAGGGTTTGTGACATGTGCCCAGAGCGACCAGACAAATGCGCTCTTTGGGTTAGAAGTTTGTACCGAGTCCGTGCGGCGTTTCGTGTAGCCGTGGACGGCAAATCACTAAGTTTGACAAGGAAACACAATATTCCCCCCTCCAACTAGCAAACGACTGAAAATAGGGCATATCACGATCAGCAATCTTCCTCGGAAACAAATTTTACAGTCACACGCGCCTTTTGTAATGATCAAAGATTCCTATTAAAATGTCATGAGAATTATTTCTGGAGCATTTTTGTACTTGCTTCTGAGGTTAATTACGAAAGTCAGTTAAATTCATAGTAAAATTTTGAATTATATTGAGAAAATTGATAAAGTTTTTAAATCTAAATCAAACTAAATCGAATGCCGGAAGATTTTGCCGAATTGAATGAGGGCACCTTCGTGTACGAATCAACCTTTGATATATACATATCTTAGAAGGTGTTATATAAGCACTTTTTTGTTGTTTTGGTCCAAAATAATTCTACTCGGAAACTTTGCATTCTTGCTTGGTTTCCGGGTCGAAGCATATGTGGCCAAATTAGATGCATTTCATACACCACTACATCGATTTGCATGATGCAGGCTCCGTGATCTGTTCCACTACGCCTGGCAACATTTAACCAGGGCCCGAATGAGAACTCGTAGCTTCATTTTATTTCCACTACTTGGTGTACCCTGGTCACTCGCGCACTGCTATTAACACAATTGTTTTTGTCGCGGCAGTCATCTGGATGGTACTTGCTGCCAGAGGTCAATGGGAGGAGTCGAAAATCATTGGCGGTACCGCTGTCAGCATTAACAAGTCACCTTTCTTGGTAAGACTGCACTATTGTCAATGAAAGAACAATTTTCAGTAGGCGTCGTACAACATGTGGGAAGATAGTTATCGCCGCACTGTGTGTCACTTTATGACAAAAACGTGGACGATTTCATCACTTTCAAATTATGACAATCTCATCACAAATTGATGACATTTTCATCAAAGCTCATATACTTATTGCATGAGCGTGACAACAATGTCATCAATTGTTTTGATGACATTGTTGTAAGGAAAATTAGCCTTGAAACTATCATCAAGTGATGAATCAAATTTTCTCAGTGCGTCGGGTCTGCTTGAAGATTGAACATGACCCATGACATGAAGTGCGTAGAGCTTGTTTCAAGCGTACGGAGGGTTGTACGTACTGCGATTTACTTTTGCCCGTGCTGATCTGGAGTTGTTCGGTATTTTCAGTAAAGCAGTCAATGCCACTGCACTCGCTGTCGTCCCCTTCACTGCTTTTGCCTTTCATCCACTCATAGTGCCGAACTGCAGTATCGACATCTACGTGAAGTTACATATTTAAGCGTAGCCTGTCTAAACTAAAGTTGGTTCTCAATTTCTTTGAGTTTAGGCCGCCCTCGAGAAACGCGACACCTCTTCAGCTCCATTCCTCCAAAATTGCGGCTGTGTCATCATCGATAGGCTGTATATAATCTCAGCAGCCCACTGTTTTGCCGAGTAAGTGGTGATAAATGAAGAGTCGGGATCTTCGGCAGTAACTTAATGACTTTTGTGGTTTATTGACTCCTGTTTTGACCTCGAGAAAGAGGATGGCATATCGTGAAACGGGGTAACTTCGGACACTTTTGATAGGTTTTTTTTTGAAATTGTGAAAGTTGTGGTGCTGTCATGGACTTGAGGGTTAAAATTTATCATATACCCACCTTTAGCTTCGATTTGGCGCTTATTTCAAATATCTGCACCTCACAGTTTTTACAGTGGAGGGTCCGAAGCAGTGTCCGAAATTACCCCGTGTTTTGGGGTAATTTCGGACACCCCTGGTAAAAACGACTTTTCGTTCTGATTTTGGTCCCAAAATCGATCACTGTCTCTTTCTAAAGTGCTAATATGATTATATGAGAAATTCGTAAGGGTTTAGATGTAAAGATATGGTAGGGGTGGTCATTCATACATAGTTTGAAGTCATGTTCTGCACTCATATGTAGTTCGATTTCAGGAATAGTGGGTGGAACTGGTAGAGCCATTTAGAACGCTTCTATTTTTTAATTTTTGACCGATTAGCTTTCATAGGCAACTCGGGCCATAAATTTTTACGGGAAAGTGAATCTGAAATCTTCCTCTACAAGATTACAGACAATCACATACATGTATACGAAGGGCTATACTCTGACCAGAAAACGAAGAGCCCTGGGTTTTCGCGGTCGAGGGCTACCTGCAATGCTATCCAAGGCGGTAGATGCCATAAACCGCGAGAACTCAGGGCTCTTCGTTTTCTGGTCAGAGTATAGTAGTCGTGTCGTATGTACGGTTAGGAAGGATACAGGGGCTCAGTGGAAAGCTTTGCATTTCAATTGTAGTAAACCGGCGAGCTATGCAGCCATTCGCCAAGACTAACTTTCATGTCACATGAAATAAAATTAATCACAAAACAGTCGTTGACACTAAGGTAGGATATGCACATAAAACTAAGTATAAAGATGTAGCTTTGCCCCATTTATATGAAATTCGAAGTTTATAAAGCAACCGATATAACAATTGGGGATTATCGTTGTTATTGGATTATCTTCAACTTCCAGAAGAGCTTCCACCACTCAAACCCTGCGAAATAGAAAGTGTACCCACTCTCCCTGGCGTGACGTTTGTATGTCCGAAATTACCCCGTGAAGTAACAATTTTTTAGTTTTGAGCCCATATAAACCATACTATTTGACCCAGGTGATTGAAAATTTGACACAGTATGCTCTTAACGTGATCGAATCGACAAACAATCACCTCATGAATCGGCCATGAACAGTTTCGGCTTGCCAGTCAAAGTTTTTAAGCATAAAGCGAACTAAGGTAAAAATGGTTAAATACAAAAACCACTCTTTCCCCTGAAGTTTGCCCCTGATTTGGCCTCCGGGTGATTGATCAGATGGTTTTAAGTGTGGCCGATGCGATGCGCGCAACGGGAGAAGCCTCCAAGTTGGCCGTTAGATGGTAGCATCATCGCCATGCTTCCGGGCAGAGTTGTCCGAAATTACACCGATCTAGAGTATAAAAGCGATTTCCATGTTTCAATGTTTTTACGTTCACTCACAGAGTCGCTTCTTTTAGTCCGTGGAAAAGACATTTTATCGATAGCACCTTTGATTTTTGAGCAACAGTAATATGTACTCTTCACTTTTGTTCTTATAATCTGCATTTTTGTTAGAACTTATTGACAAAAAAATTAAGTAATTTTGTGATTTTATGCAGTAAATTGTTAATATCTTAGAAGAAAGTACTGAATACTACTATTGTAGGCTGTACTAAGTAGTAACCTGTTTACTGAAGATAAAGTCAATAAGAGGCTGAGAATGTAGAGAACTTGGCCTTACAGAATGAAGTTGTAAAGACTAATGATGCCGGTAAAAGTGCACTGATATTCAACGAATGTGACGTCACATTCGCTAAAATGTGAATTTTGTCACGTTCGTCTGAATGTGATGTCACATTCGTTTGAATGTTGATCCACGCTTAAACGAATGTGACACCCGCATCAGATGGTTGCATGATGGCCGTGTCACGTTAAAACGAATGTGACATCGCATCCAAACGAACGTGACAAAATTCACATTCTTACCTATGTGATGTCACATTCGTTGGTGCAGGGTGTCACTGCCAATGGTTTTTCTCGTCCCAATTGTTTATCCCACTTTAACTTTTGGTATGTTATGCAGGCTTGCTGATGACCTGACCATATCTTACCCCGCTGCGTCCCTTTTCCGCATACGCGCCGGATCGTCTCTGTTGGAGAGAGGGGGCACCCTCCACTCAGTAGCTAAATACTGGGTGCATCCTAAATTCAAGGTACACAATAAACAAGGACTCTTTCAAGTGACAATCAAAAATCCAGCCACACATTAATACATCGTGCCATAGATCATGGTAGAGACCCGAACAGAGGCCAAGATCAGGGACCGGATTTGATGACTCTGTTCTTCCCACGTGCAGGGAATCAAAGGAACCCAAGGCACAGCCTTGGATTACGACATCGCTGTCGCTCGTCTGAAGACACCTATCGTCTTCGGGAAGACGGTGGCCAAGGCCAATCTCATCGGCATGGGACAGCACCTCAAGAAGGGTACCAAGGTCATCACTGCGGGCTGGGGAGTAACGCAGGTACTGGTGGAGCAGAAGTTCTCAGTACACGGTAAAAAATTTTACCGTTAACGGTTCCTGATTTTCCCAGGAACTCCCTGGAAATCGCCTTTGTCTCTGCCACAGGGTTCCTGGGAAAACCCGGTACCGTTTTTAGCGTGTAACTCAACTTTTGTACCGACCGCGAAGGCTCGATCATTGGTCAACCGGACCACTCTCTTCAAACTCAACAGCGTATCCAGTACACTTTCTTTAGCTTTGACGCGCAACTTCTTCGGGCAACGCTCCCTGATGCTGCCATTGCGGCTGTTGAGAACGAGAGAGAAAGACGCCGCCGAATGTGTCTTGCAGTGGGGAATGCCTTTGGTTCTGCTTTGGGTGGCTTCGAGTGCGTTCGGATTCTTAGACTTGAGTTCTATTCCGCGTGCGTGGTTTTCTGACCACTCGGATGGTTTTGTTTCAATGAGACTCGATCCTAAACAAAAACTACAGACTGAAATGAGTGAAATGACACGCGGCATGATAAGAGAGACCCAAAATAGAAAGTATTGTAGTAATATTGGTTTTATCGGTATTATTGATGTCGTGTTTGGAGTCTTATTGAAGTCAGAAGCCCCTTGGGTCCAGTAAGGTCGCAATTGTGCCAAGGCTTTTGGAAAACATTCAGTTAGGGTTCGGGCCATGGCCAAGCCCATGGAGTTAGAGAAAGACTCGGTAAAGCTCCCACAATAGGGTATTTTAACGAATCCCTGGCCCGGAAGGCAAAGAACAAAAGTAAGAACAAAAACCGCTTCTGCGCATGCGCAGACGCTGCCTCAGAGTGGAGGGGGGACGTCTGCGCATGCGCAGAAGAGGTTTTTGTTCTTACTTTTGTTCTTTGCCTTCCGGGCCAGGGATTCGTTAAAATACCCTATTGTTGGTATCGGTTTTGAGCGTGCTCTGCAAACTCCACCCACACTGTACTCTATTCTGTACGCTCTGTTGGCGTGCACTTGTGAGTACACCAGAGAGCTCTCTTCAGCGTTTACTCAGGAGTCCCCCGAGCACGTGCTTCGCTGCATCTATTGATTGCCAGGCGTGCTGAGGTGTGCCCTGATGTAAGCTATCCCTCATTGAAGTCCACTCTCGTTGGAGTGTACTCCTGAGCAGTCTCGTACGAGTGAATTTGTGAGTTCGAGTACACGCTGAATAGAGTGTACTGAGTATACACTGGTGACACACTGCAAGAAAAAGTGTCGATAGTACAACAAAAGTACGACAAAAACTGTACAATAAAAGTACAACAGGGATTGTAGAAAGTACAACGAGAATTGTACAAACCACAACCAGCCCTGGATTGCCCAGCACTCGTCATGCCGGTTCCGTTGTACTTTGTACAACAATTGTTGTACTTGAAAAGTACACTAAATTCCTGATAAAAAATTTGCCAGAAATTTGTGTACTTTTGTTGTGGTTATTTTCTGCAGTGCACAAAGGCATTAAAATTATGCCCTTTAAGGGCGTGCAACGATTTACGCCCCAGGAGCGGTCAATAGTTTTATCTGAGGAGGCCTTCGCAGTCTGGGCTTTTCCGCCCAAAAACCCCGTCGCAGCGAACGTGTTAAAGGGCGTAAATTGTATTCCTCTGTAACGCCAGTGGAGTTCGCAGTGTGCATGTGCATGCTGACTTAACGGAGGATGAACTCCGACATACCTAATTATTACTGAATTTTGAAAAGGTTAATGGGCAGAACGCCGCGCCATCCGCGCTCCTTCGACGAGCCGTCTTCAGCATCGTGGAACAGCCCGAGTGTGATCGGCAGTACCTCAAGCAAGCCAATGCAAGAGTGTCACAGCGCTGCATTTGCACCTATGCGGCAAGCAAGGGCAACTGCCTGGCAAGTCACCTTTTTCATACATCTGTCCCCGGACCCACACTGCAAGAAAAAGTGTGGATAGTACAACAAAAGTACAACAAAAACTGTGCAATAAAAGTACAACAGGGATTGTAGAAAGTACAACGAGAATTGTACAAACCACAACGAGCCCTGGACTGCACAGCACTCGTCATGCCGGTTCCATTGTACTTTGTACAACAATTGTTGTACTTGAAAAGTACACTTAATTCCTGATAAAAAAAATTTGCAGGAAATTTCTGTACTTTTGTTGTGGTTATTTCCTGCAGTGCAGAATTGACCACAGACTTGAGGAAAACATGACAAGAGAACCGCAGCCTTTGAAAGCATTAGCAAATTTTTCAAAAGTAAATAGATTGGAATTTCCCTTTTTTTAAATAGTTTAAATACTTTAGCGCTGTTTGGAATCGAAAAAGGGGGGGGGGGAGCACTAGACCGAAAACAATTCGGGTTTTTGGGAACCCCTAAAAAAAACCAACTTTGTATTGTTTGCAGGGAGACTCTGGTGGTGCCGTGTACAACAGGACGGGCAATGTCGTGGTCGGCATCGTCTCATGGGGCGCATGCGTTCAGGTGCCGAACGTCGTTACTGACCTTGGCAACGTGGAAATTCGCAACTTCATAAGGAACCAAAGTAAATTAAAAGTGTAAGAATTCCTTGTCTCTCCGACGAGCGAAGCTACCGGAAATGGATAACAAGTCGGCAGCTTGGGCCGCCGTCGGCATTAATTAAATCCTCACATACATTTGGCCCTGTGTGTTAAGATAATAATAAAATTGAAATCAGACTAAAGTCTGTCTCGTCATTCCGATAACAAAATCCCCTGGATGCGTTGCCAGTTTCGCCACACATTGCTAAGACCGAGGCTTTTCCATTTTGCAAAAGTTAGATGGCGCATTTCGTAGCATTCTCTCTGCCGATTCCGAATATTTTCTGTGATTTGCAAACGAAGAAAAACTAAGGGCGCTACAGGCCTTGAAAATTCGATTTTTTTTCGCAATTTTTTAAAACTTTGAAGGCTGGTAGCGCCCTCAGTTTTACTCCTTTCTCAAAACCAAGTACATATTCGGAATCAGCAGAAAAATAGCTACAAAATGCGCCATCTTACTTTTGAGATTTCGAAAAAAGTGTACTTTCCACCACCCCTATTGAGTACACGCTCGTGGGAATGTGCCCGTGAGCACACGCTGAAGAAAGTGTACTCGTCAGGGCACGCTTTAGAGAGTGTACTCGTGAGTACACGCTAAAGAGAGTGTACTGAGTACACTGTTGCGTTTGCAGAGTACCCACTCCAAATCCCCCTTAAGGTGATCTTTGAACCTTCTTTGACGACACAATTGTCGCAAAAAAAGGCCATGAAGAAAGCCTTGCCTTTAAAGACGCAATTAACTGAAGTATCGCCAAAATCTTGGCGATTTCAAAAGAATCCTGTGCACACCAGAGAGGTGCTTCGACAGACGAGTGTAAACAAACTTTGGCCCAAATTTTTCTGTCACGGACACTGACTTATGTGACGCGTAAGTTGTTTCGCCAAAAAAGGTAGGAGTATTACATTTGTACTTGAAATGTGCATCCACTAAAGTGCAGATCGATACCCTTTGAGAAAAATGTGAACTTGAAACTCTGCTTGAAATTAATGTTACCAAATGGGTCAATTTCCGATGATTTCGGTGGGGTTTGTGTCAAGCACTTAGTTTCGGTATAAATTTTTGGAATTTTTTTTATTGATCATGACAGAACACAGTAAATGTGTAACTAGTTTTCAGGACGACAGAAGTTACATTGTCAACTAATAAGCAGATAAATAAGATGAAACATCGTGCAGAACTACTCGATGATCTTGCAAGTCAACTTTTCAGAAAATCAAAGAAAATAAAAATTACCGTCACCATATGAACTGCGCAGTGCGCCTTATACAACAATCGTAGCGTGAATGAATGGTATTCTCAGTTAGGACACAACATTAAAGACGAAACGCATCGATTGATACAAAGACCAGTCCGAGCCGGAATCCAAATCGGCAACCCTAATCCGAGTCGGAAAGCATGCAAGCGAAGTCATCGAAATGCGTGGAGTCCGGGAATCCACCGCCGCAGCCTCCGTCGGAGTCAACGTCGCCGGAGTCTCCGTCATCCGAATCCGGGTCGGGGACAGGGTCCTCCTCGTCGCACTCCGAGCGGGCGCGGCACATGGCCTCCTGGCAGCGCTCGGGCAGCCAGTCCCAGCACGTGTCATGTTCCGTGTACGCCTTGCTGACCTTGGCGTCCAGCTGCAGGGTGCTGCGTTGCTCTCGCAGCCTGGCCAGCGCCTCGCGGCCCTGCGGCGTCACCTGCAGAGATGTTAGGGTGGAAAACGAGGGGGCAACCACACTCTTAGCACATTACTGCCTCTTTTCTCATTAATTACGTATTCGTAAGAGCAACTATAGTACTTAGTATTTTCCAAGTAAGTATGACCAATTTCCTTTGAAACATTATGTACAAAACGTAATTCACTGGTCGCCGACAAATGATCCAGGAAGCGGAAGAAGGGTACAAGTCGAGATGAAACCGTGCACCTTGCAAGGCCTAAACCTTGCAGGTGGGAGAACATTTTCTGGAATGTCATCTAAAAACAGATGCAAGAGGATGGGACTTGTCTCACCATACTTATTTTGGGACCAAATTTCCGCTCATGTTTACTTTATAGACTGATAAGAGATAACTGAATCAACTCGACTTAACCCCTTCTTCCGCTTCCTAGATCAAATGTGACGTCGTATGCGTTCGTATGTGAATTTTGTCACGTTCGTTTGAATGCTAGGTCACATCCGTTTGAATGTTGATCCACGTTGAAACGAATGAGACACTACCCTACTTAAACGGCCGAGTCACACACAAATGATTGTGACGTCATATTCAGAACGTACGTGACAAAATTCACATTTCAACGAATAAGACGTCACATTCGTTGGCTACCAGTGTTGTCAGTACATTATTTAATATTCCTTAAGTACGCAGCTATTTAAAAAAGGAAAAGTACGTATAATGGTTGCATACGTTACTTGCGTAAGAACTGATAAAATGAGCAAAAAGTCAGTAACTTGCTGAGAGTGCACTCGCGAAATCCTGTGATCACTTGATTGACCGAAATCTTGAGTGAAATACCTTCAAAATCTAGTGAAATCTCCTCGCGGAATCCCATCAAAATTTAGTGAAGTAAATTAGTCTGTGAAGATTGCAGCGGGTGCATTTAAGAGGCCTAACAGCGCTGATGATGGTTGCTGGCAGTATTTTTTTCTCCAGGGTCCATATAGAAACACGGTTCACTGCAAAGCCTAGTAAGAGACAGTCTCGCACTATTTAGTGCGAACCACTATGTCCCACTCTTACAAGCGTGAACCACGGTTGACCCACGCCTGCTAGTGTGAGACAAGCTTAGCTCAGGGGTCAGCACGCTTGTAAGCGTGAGATATAGTGGTTCGCACTAAATACTGTGAGACTGTCTCACACAGATTTGGAATTATACTTACGCCGCATGAGTTAAGCCTGAGGTGAGTTAGTTTGGGCAGCGCGCCCTGAGCTATGCCATCGAGTACCATGCTGGGAACCCTCGCCACGGACAGCGTCAGCGTCTCCAGGTTGGCCAACCCACCCAAGATCACGTGCAAGTCTCGAGGGACGTCCACATGCACGGTGACGAAGTTCATACGTCCAGAGCTGCGAAATAGGATAGCCAGCTCGCGCAGCGCGACACAGCTAGTGCCTACAACCTACACAACAGCAATGATACGAAATAATTAGTTACTCGTCACATGACAACTCGGTTTTACAATGTGGCAGTTACCTTCAATAGCCCTCTGTGACCATGGTAGCCCATCTGCAGATTTAAAGTTGTCAGGTTCCTTATAACAGGTGACGATGTGAAGGCCCTCTTAATCTTGGCATGATTTTCATCGCCGAAATCCTTCATGCTGAACGATCGCAGATGAGGGAAGGAGTTGATAATGCTTAATGGTGGCATCAGAGACATTTTCACCAAACCTGCAATTTGAAGTCCGGAATAAAAGTCTGAGGTCTTTACAATTATCTGAAAATGGGGTAACCTGAGTGAGACAAAGTTGAAACCTCATGTTTCTCACTTGGAAAGACTAATGAGCATTATTTACTTGATACATGGACATGCAGTCAAACAGGAAAAGTTATGACGTACTGATTAAGATAAGTATCAAGTGTCTCATGTCACCGCTGCTGCCTCAAGCTACGTTCACGGTAGCCGATACAAGCGTCAGTAAGGTCGATACTAACAATGAGTCAACCAGGTAAACCGAGGGGGTGTGCACTCTCAAAAGCTGTAACCCGACTCTAACGCCTCATAATTATCAGAATTTAGCTAAAAAGAGCTTAAATCATCTTGAAAATAGGTATAAGGAGAATTTCTGTTGAAACGCATTATAAATATTTCGGACGAAATGACCCGACTGTTACGCGAGTGCAACCCTACAAGTAAACTCTTGCAATGAGCTAACCAGGTTGACTCTCATGAGCCAACCATGTTAACTCTTGTATTTCCAAAATCGCAATGAAGAATCGCTTTAAGGTAATACGAAAAAAATTAAAGCATTGTAGAATTCCACGATGAAATGCTTCGTATTTTGGAGCAAAATCCTTTGAAATACGAGACACTTCTGCACAATACGATGCAATTGCACAATGCCTTATATTCTTCATTGGCTGAGCGATAGCGAAGCCCGTTACTCCAGTGCGGTTGAAAAGTTTTGTCTGTCTGTCTGTCTGTCTGTGTGTCCGTGTGTGTGTGTGTGTACACTACTCCTCCTGAAAGGCTCGGCCGATCTGGCTGAGGTTTTGCAGGCTTATTAGGTATGTTCTTGGCTCGGCACACGCGAAATTTCACTGTCCTAGCTCAACCGGTTCAGTTTTCATAGCCGAAAAACACCTAAAAACGGCGAAAAATCGAGTTTTTTTTGCAGGTAGATCACCTCTGTCTTAAAGAACCCAGCCTCGACAAGTTAAAAAGTTACAAGGGTCAAGATCGTGTTATCTGTAGATTAAGCAACTCTTTCTAGAATTAAGGGGGGTCTGGGGGGCGGAGCCCCACAGCATGCAACACGTAAGAAGTAACCGACGATGGACAAGCCAATGCCTGCCGAAGGCAGGCTAGCGCCGCAGGCCAAGGTAGGTACGCCAGGCGCGGATTGGAGGATCAGGCCGCGAGACATCGCGAAGCCTGTTACGACAAGACGCGGTCTGGCGTAAACCTACCTTGTAGTAATGAAGCAAAAACACCGTGGGCTTAGCAGAGTGTCAGAGCTTGCAGTAGACCCAGACGTTCATCCTGACTTACCATTGCACTTCTTGAGCTCCTTCCACAGTGGCGACCTTTCATCACAATACGCCCAGCGATTCTTGTACTCCGACACGGTGAAGGACTGCAACGTGCTGCGGTTGGCGCGAACGAAGTCCACGGCCACCTCTTTGCTCACCGTGTTGCCCAGGCCCAAAGACTTGACCACCTTGGTGCATCCCGCGTACGCCTTCACCAGCTTGCCCTCGATGTAGAGCTCACGCACTGCAAAAGGGAAGGATGAATGAAGAACCGTCGCACAAAATGTTTCGTACAATTTTGTATTTGACCTGACACGATTTAGAGTATGCGGTCTATATCATGCCAAATGGTACGCAATATCGCAAAAATTCGTCGAAAATTGCATACAAACTCATACGAAAAGGACGTAACTGCAAATTTGTGTGACAATAAAATAAAATTGTACAAAGGAATGAAGTGTGAACCCCTTCTAAGCTTCTACACGCCAATATGATAGCCAAACCAGAAAAAGCACTGAAAATGAACGAGTCACACCATCGCCCTTTAATTGGGTAGTCCAACTTAGTTGACAAATTTTGAGTAGCTAAAAATTCATCACTAGAAATTTGGTAACATGCGTTTCGCCGACGCTGTTGGCCACACTGAGAAAACCTTACAAACTGTTTTGGACCTTACAAAGAAAAGAAGTTTGAATAACAAAGTATTTTGAGCATACATAAGCTTACAAAGAAAATACTTCGTAATTTACAAATTATTTCTTCGTATAACAACGTATATTAGTTTGTTATCTATCTGTATGCTTAAAATACTTCGTAAGGATTTAAGAGTGCAGGTTGTGAGGTTCACGATGACGTCCTTTTGGGGTCCACCATGTTGACCCCTGTGTCGTCAAGGTCGGGAGAGGGGGGAGAGATACTTTAGAGATTACAACGTTTGGCCGACAGCGTCACCCAAATTTAGGCGATGAGTGTTTGACTGCCCATACATTACAAGCCTAACTGTCTGCTTACGCTTGCAGGTACATACTTACAAATGCGTACTTGGCTAAGGACACACTTCAAAATGCCAATGCTTACCATGGAGTTATAAGGCGCCAAGCATGCGTTTGTGACTGCGTAAGCGTCAGTGCGTACACTCTAAATATGGGGTGCCCAGAAACTGGGCGCCTTTGTCGCCCGCCCCACTTTTTAGGGTGCCAAATGTCGCCCAATTCCTGGGCACCTTTGTCACCCAGTCTCGGGGTGGAGAAACCATTAAGAAACCTGCCTTCACCCATGGCTCAGCAGCGACTGAGGTGCCGAAGGTGCCCAGAATCTAGGCACCTTGGTCGCCCAGGATCTAGACACCTGGGCATGCTCTACCATGGGACAGGGCCGGTTACTGTATGATTTGTCCAGCCCGAGACTGGGCGACATTTCGAGGGGTCCTAAGATCTTATCTGCGCGTTGCCCCCAAGACAATCTTATCTTAAACGCATGCGGATTTCACCCAGTTTGACCAGTTTGGGACACGTACGAGAGTAAGCGGAATATATTTTTACATGTACTTTTGGTTTCTTTGATCTTTCATCTCCACATTTCAGTGAATTTTATCACAAATGATTTTGATTTGTAGCTGTATTAAATGATCAAACTGAGTAAAATTCACATGCGTTTAAGATAAGATTGTCTTGGGGGGAACGCGCAGATAAGATCTTTTGAATAGGACCTCTCGATTTGGCACCCTAAAAAGTGGGGCGGGCGACAAAGGCGCCCAGTTGCTGGGCACCCCATATTTAGAGTGTACTCGGCCAAGTATGCGTGTGTAAGTGTGTACTTGCAAATGCTCATTGGTAAATGTGTGCTGAGTAGCCAGTTGGGTTCGCAGTGTAGTTTAGTCACCTCTAACTCGTCACCCAAAATTCGGCGACGATGAGTGCGTCACAGACAGAGCGAAGGGTGTGACTCTTTCGCTCCCAGTGGCAGGCGGACCGTTGAAATAATGCAGTTAGGTGCAAGGGAGCTTACCGTTTGGCATCTGGTCTATGAGACGGAGAGTGTCCATCTCGTGCAAGCAGTCGAGCTTCACCACTTCCAGGCTTTGGCTGTAGTGGCGGAGGGTGTGGAACAGGCGCTTCTTGTCCCAATCTTCAACCATCTCGCCCGACGCACATTCGTACTGAAGCTCGAAAACCTGAGCAGACAAAGCGACCACCATTGCACATGATTAAAGCTTCATCTTCCTATTTCATATCGTTTCATTGCGACCTAAACCAGAATTTACTATTTTGAAGTGAATTGCAAGAACGCCCACCCACACCAAATTGATCCAGGAAGCGGAAGAAGGGGATCATTCGACTTATCTCCAATTTGAGTTTTTATTCTGTTATTGTGCCTTAGAATGGTTTCCACCATTGTACCAAATTATTTGGCTGTATTCCTAGCAAGTAAGAAAATAGACTTGGAAAAAAAGATATAACTCAACTTGATCCCCCCTTTTACACTCTCAATCGAAGGGAAAATAGAAACAACTCAACCGAAATCGACATGACTTAACACATTGTCCATAGGAGGTAACTTGTATTTCTAAGCATCTATTGTAAAAAGAATCAAGTCAACTTAACCCTCCTTCATCTTAAGAACTGAAAAGGATAAAAGACCCAAGTCAAAAAACAACACCACGGTAACTAACACTTTGTGTTGACTATAGTTCCACTTCTGATGTTTATCTGAAAATTTCACTTGTGCTTCTTGAACTTATGATCACCTAAACATCCATTCGTTTAGAATGAGTTCTCGCTCGGGTAACAGTTCTTTGCTTCCCCTGAAAAAATGGGCCAAACGAAGTTATCCCAATCTTCCGCTTCGTGGATGAAATGTCATGAGACAATCCCATGAACGACGCAATTTCAAACACATCCTTCGGTGGGTGATACAATTTTGTCCCCCCATGGGTAACGCAAATTGTCCAATGCCTTTAGCAATGAGCTATTTCATTTTAAAACTCGTATCACCTGCACAGTGAAAGCTAGACAAAGGATCGCTTTGTATTGCGAAGAAAATAAAGGCATTGCACAATCTACGAAGAAATGCTTCGGATTATGAAGCAAAATCCTTCGTAATACGAAGCATTTCTTCAAAATACGAGGCGATTCTACACTGCCTTCATTTTCTTTGCAGTTATGAAGCAAATGCTTCGTAGGCTTTTAGAGTGCGGATGGCACAAAATCTGAACTGCACCACCGACGGACGTGCTTCAAAATGCATCATTTATGGGAGAAATAAAAAAAGTCCCACACTCTCAAAACCTTACGAAGTATTTTGAGCATACGTATAACAAACTTAAATACTTTGTTATACGAAGAAATGGTTCGTAAATTACGAAGTATTTTCTTTGTAAGCTTATGTATGCTCAAAATACTTTGTTATACAAACTACTTTCCTTTGTAAGGTCCACAATAGTTTGTAAGGTTTTCTCAGTGCATGACAGTGTGGATCGAGTTGCGGATGACTTCAACTCGCCTTGACTTTGTTGGTGTAGCGCAACAGGTTGACGGCTGGCCACCTGTAGGGTACTTCCATGGTGTGCAGTGCAGGCGCGATCTTGAGCACGCCGTACTGGAAGAGGCGAGTGCCTTCGGAGCGCGAGCTGTAGCTCGTGCTGCTCGCGCAGAAGTGCACGCTCGCCCAGGCGCGCGCGTCCCTGCACACGGAGCGCAGCGCGCGGCACACCTGTCCCAGACGCACCAGGTCGTCGGCGCGCAGGAAGCCGCACAGGTGGACCAGCAAGTTGTCACCCAGCGCCAGCAGCGGCGAGTCCTGCGAGAAAACAAGCAGAAAAACTTTGACGCACGGGACGCGGCACGCGGAAATCACTGTGAATTTCGGTGTACAAATCCAATGAATTACAGTCAAATTTCGATGAATTTCAGTCGGATTTCGGTCAAAAATCGATGAATTTCAGTCGAATTCCGGTCAAAATTCGATGAATTTAAGTCGAATTTCGGTCAAAATTCGGTGAATTTCGGTCAAAATTCGATGGATTTCGGTCAAAATTTGATGAACCAAATTTGATGAATTTCCGTCAAATCTCGATGAATTTCAATGAAATTCCGATACATTTTGAAGAATTTCAGCGAATTAATGAATTTTGGTGTCCAAATTAGGCTGAAGTTATTTCCACTTCGAACGGGGTGCTGAAAACACCGCATGGCCTGGGACAACACTGAGGTAGGACCACAACCAAGGTTAAAATTTAACTGTGGGTCACGAATCATTTGAGGGGCATTTTGCTTGCCGGGCCGCTACAAATCCATGAATGAGTGAATCGATTTCAAATTCGGTATGGGTCTTCCCTCAACGTTCCTTGGTCACCTGAAACACGAGGATGTCTGAGCAACGACCACAACGCCACCTATCGGCCAGCTATAGCGACACTTTGTCGTTGAAGAACAAAATTCTTGTTATCACCATTAACAATACAATGTATGTGGAAACAACATCTTTTGCCATTATCGGCTCAATTTAAGTATATTATGAATAATCATCTATTTCATTCTTCTTAGTCGTAGGGAAATTACTATTATTTCAAGTAGAACCATGAATAATAAAGTTGGCGACAAAAGTACTCAATGAATACTTGTCGCAGACATAACAAAATCTGTACAGACTCACAATACTTGTCGATGACTAATAACATTTGTACGTAGTCATCAACTTGTTTTCGACGGTGGACTGTTGATGTGTTATTACAAGTTTGTCGTTGTGAAAATCTTGTCACTAAACAAATTAGCAATAAATGTGTTGGTAAGTTGCAACAAAATTTTTATCAGTGTGCTGTGCTGCAAAACGTATTCAAGGGATCATATTTAGAAGTCTCAAAGCTGCTTTGGCTACTTGTTCAAACCTAACATTTTAGAATAGGCATTTTTCTAAAACGTGACCCCCAATTGATGTGTTACCTGGACGACAGCCGGCCCGGCGGCTTGCTGCTGCTCCTGGCGGCCAACGCGCTCCTGCTCGGCCTGTCGCTGGCGCACGTTCCAGGCGCAGACCACGTCGTGCTTCTCAGAGTTGTACGGCGACTTGATGTGGTCCTGCGAGCAGTAGAACTCGTCGCCGCAAGTAGGGCACGCCAGCACGGCCGCAGCGCCGCACGCCACACACGTCTGCCCCTGCGAAGAGGAAAGCCGACAATGATACTCTTCCTCTGCACACACCAAATATTAATTTGCAATTTAGTACGAGGCGTCAGAACTTTTGGTGCACACAAATTTTTCGTACAAATTTTTTTTACTAAAATCTGCACAAATTGCGCCCGTTTATGCGTAAAAGCGCGTACAAATTTGTACGAAAAGTTCGTGTGCACAAAAAACTGTGATGTCTCGTACAAAATTTGTACACACTAAATTCTTATGGACTTTTTAAATGCATAATGATGCATTTTTATGCAAAGTAATGCATGCGCAGAAACGTCCATATGTTATGTATAATATTATGCATCACTGAACATTTTGTGCATCTTCCTGCATAAAATGTACAGTGATCATCTAGTGTGCACGGCACAAACCTGTTTTTCTCAGGGACTCCCCAGAAATCAGAAATGCATTTACTGAAGCTCTGTGAAAACCAGGAGCAGTTTTTGACCGTGTGTTGTAAATGCGCGAACAAAAATCATGCTGAAATGCGTACATGATGCTAAAAGATGAAACGAGTGTGTGGGATAGATCGGTTACTAGAGAAACTCAGACGGAAACTGCCCGTGACTTAGAAATTTGAGTGCAGGCCGATTTTAATGGTGGGGCAGTTTCACCTTCTTTTAAAGACACTTAAGTGCTCCGGTGACGACCGTGTCGGTAGCAAATCCATAAGATCATAAAAATAAAAGATTGTGCGCACTCACATTTCCTTTCGAAGCCCGCATTCCTTAAATATTGGTGTTTGTTACGAAATGCCCCACACTGGTAGAACAAAGGCATTAAAATTGTGCCCTTTAAGGGCGTAAACGATTTACGCCCTCAAAGGGCATAATTCGTTAATGCCTTTGGGAAGGGCATTTTGCTTGAAATTCCTATACCATTTACGCCCTTCCCAAGGGCATAAAACGATTTATGCCCTTGGGAAGGGCGTAAAAGAGTATTAATGCCCTAAAGGACGTAATTTTTATGCCTTCGTTTTATCAGTGCACCCTCCTTTACAGGCGGCTGAAGCGCCGAATATAGACGAACTATGAAGATTTCAGATCAGGGGTTGCCAAATTTCGGCACTCACAGCCAAGTTCGAGGCGACCAAAACTTGCCGCCTGATTTGCAGTATCAACTATAAGGGCTCTTACCTGTATTGCCGGTGGTGCTTGAGCCTGATCCATCATGTAAACTGATATGCTCCACAAAATCAAAGTGACGTCCGCAAAGGAAGTTATAAAGTGTCCAACTCTGAAAGAACATAAATCCGTATGACGAACATGCTATCCATAAGGACAGTCGTTGAAAAATAGAAACATAACATTAAGGCCCAAGATTCTTGACAGTGTCCCCCAAAATATAAATGCTTGAGAATACTGAACAATATCGGACAAACGTTGCCGAGAGAAGATGCTTATGAGCCACTCGTAGCCAACCAATGTGAATTTCGTCACGTTTTGAAAACGATGTCACATTCGTTGGAACGTGACATAGGGTGTCACATTCCTTGGAACGTGGATCAAACTTCAAACAAACGTGTCAAGTTTCACGTTCAAACAAATGTGACGTCACATTCGTTGGCTACCAGTGCGATACTAAGGTCGGCGTACGTCGCACGTATACGCTACAACAGGTCTCGCGTAACAGTCTTCGCGATGATCCGCTTGATTCAATCAGACCATCTAAGAGAAGCAAATGGGTAGTTAAGCGAATCCTGGACCGGAAGAAACTATCTTCCAAAGTAACCGTTCGCAGCGCTTTGGGTTTTTTGATTTTTGCTTTCTATGAAAACCCTACAGCCGCAGACTGGATCGGAAAGCGCCATTAGTTCCAAAGGTTATTAGGGTTTAGAGGTTATTAGGTCTTTACTGAAATTTCCGCGATGAACCAAAAAGTTACGGATGTGATTTTTTATTTTAGGCCAATGGACATGCAAACTAACTGAAAGCCGGATTTACAATATATGATAGATAAGCTGTAATTTCTGTTTGGGAAATGCGTTTGAATTTGTTCGTAAAGGTAAAATTTTGGATTTTTTGGTGTTTTGTTTTAGAAGAAATTCCTGTTCATGTTGGAATTTTGGAAATCCGGACTTTGCTACGAGATAGGCAAATCACTAAAGAACTTGTAAAACGTCAAGTCTTGACAACTTTGGTTCTTTCGCAAGGAGATTATTAGGTAAACGACTAAATTTGTTACGAAACTTCCTAACTCAAAAAATGGGGTTGAGTCCTCACTGGGTTTGCTTTGTAAGAACCTGAAACCTTAATTAAAACATATGCCACAATCTGTTTTGAAAATGATATTTCACATTTTGTCACTTTACAGTAACCTTTAACGAATCCCTGGACCGGAAGTAAACGAACAATACTGAGAACTGTAACCGCTTCGCAATGCGCGGTCAAGTAGGTAATATACTTTATTTCTTCTACTTCGGTCTCTTGAAATACCCTACGCTGCAATTTAGAGGGGAGGGGGGCTTCCCAAGAAGGGGCTACCTAACGCTCACTACGTGAATTTAAGAACACGAATACACCGTAATTTGGTGAATGTGACACGTCGCAATGATGAGGAGTGAACCGTATCATTTTCAATAGACCCTTTCAGTCACCGCCGTGTGGCACGGCGGGACACGTGTGGAGCATAAAAGTAATCGAAACGTCCAGCAGCGGTTACGGTTAACTATCAAAAGCTGAACCCTGATTGGTCACAAGCGTAGGCCTGGACGAAGTTCAAAACAGTCGTCGCTGTGGCGCGCACAATCTATTGAAGACAACCGTTTGCAACCTCAGAATCTAGTGATGACAAGATATGCGTAACGTATGTCGAAATAAGAACATACGCAATACGTCAAAATTCGTTGTACTTTACGCTGCATCATGCGTAATACGATGAAATCAGGCATACATGATGTGGACATTTGTGCACATTGCGTGTGTGCAAATTTAGGCATACCTTACAATGTCAAATCATCGTAGCATGAAAGAAAGGTTCGGAAGGAATTGAGCGTGCAGTCGTAAGAACGAGGGTCAACAGTCAAACAAATGTGACATCACATTTAAAAGGAAACGGACATTAAACATATCCCAACTTTAACGAGTCATTGTTTAGAACCTTACAAATTCATAAAGTAAACGTAACGTGTACGCTGAATCTGACTGATCAGATAATAGATCTGAAGCAAGACCTAAAGCCACTTCTCCGTTTGAGCAGACGCAAGTTTCGGATGGGTTTAACTGTTTCCCGCAACTTCCGGTCTAAAGACGAGTCTAAAGATTCGTAACACTACCCTAGTATCTCGTTGAAACCACAACCCGGCCCCTACTCCCTGCGGCGTACTCCTCACTGCCAAGTACCACACTTCGGCATTCTTTTCCGAATATGGTTTCAACGAATCCCTGCACCGGAAGTCTAGGAACAAATGTACGAACTATAACCGCTCTTGGGCATGCGCAGACGCTGCCTCACAGTGGAGGGGGGACGTCACAGCACGTGCAACAGCGGTGTTAGCTCTTACTTGGAATAGGGTATTTTAACGAATCCCTGGACCGGAAGTCCAAGAAGAAAAGTAAGATCCACAACGGCGCCTGCGCATACGTAGAGGTCCCCCCTCCGGCAGCGTCTGCGCATGCGCAGAAGCCGCTTTGGTTCTTACTTTTGTTCTTGGACTTCCGGTCCAGGGATTCGTAAAATATCCTGTTCTTATCCGCCGATTCGTTAATACACACACTTCGACACATTGGACCTCTTTTGTCCCGTGGATGATGCAATTTTAAGCATATCCGGCGGTGGTAGACTTTTAATCCCGCATGGCGGCACATGTTGCACTGCAGGAAATAACCACAACAAAAGTACACAAATTTCTGGCAAATTTTTTATCAGGAATTTAGTGTACTTTTCGAGTACAACAATTGTTGTACAAAGTACAATGGAACCGACATGACGAGTGCTGTGCAGTCCAGGGCTCGTTGTGGTTTGTACAATTCTCGTTGTACTTTCTACAAGGTAGGTTTACGCCAGACCGCGTCTTGTAACAGGCTTCGCGATGTCTCGCTGCCTGTTCCTCCAATCCGCGCCTGGCGTACCTACCTTGGCCTGCGGCGCTAGCCTGCCTTCGGCAGTCAATGGCTTGTCCGTCGTCGTTCACTTCGAACTTGTTTTCATTCTGGGGCCAGACCCCCCTTTATTCTAGATAGAGTTGCTTCATCTCCAGATAACACGATCTTGACCCTTGTAACTTTCTGGGGCTGGGGGGCTCCGCCCCCAGACCCCCTTTTTTCACGGCAGAAGTGATCTGCTTGCAGAAAACTCGATTTTTCGCCGTTTTTCATGTGTTTTTCGGCTTTAAAAACTGAACCAGTTGAGCTAGGATAGTGAAATTTTGCGTGTGCCGAGCCAAGGACATACCCAAAAAGTGTGCAAAATCTCATCGAGATCGGCCGAGCCGTTCAGGAGGAGTAGTGCGGACACACACGCACACACGCGCACACGCACACACGCACACAGACAGGAAAAATTTTTCAACCCCACCTGAGTAACAGGCTTCGCTATCCCTCAGCCAATGAGTAACAGGCTTCGCTATCGCTCAGCCAACAATCCCTGTTGTACTTTTATTGTACAGTTTTTGTTGTACTTTTGTTGTACTATCCACACTTTTTCTTGCAGTGTGTCCAACGCCTGATGCAAATACAACTTTCATTAGACAGTCCCGCCTGGCGGACACACAATTGCATCGCCGTCCGATGTGCTGAAAATTGCATCATTCATAGGACGAAAAAAATCCCATAACATTGAGTGTACTCAATGAATGCTGCAATTTTCAAAACGTATACGCGTTAAACGTTACCTAGATCACTAGAAATTGAAACAAGCATGTGACGCATATCTTGCCCTAAGTGATTACTTAGAATATACGAGTGGAACAAATGACCTTGAGCAACAAGATCAATCAATAACATTGAATTTCAATAATGAAGCCAGACAGAAGGTCATATCGCACTCCCTCCATACCACTGTGGTGATAGTGACAGTGCCACATCGATAGGATAATGAAAGTCTGAGCTCATATGTAGATATCTATAATGAACATACTAGAGAACAGATTAGTCAAATGAAAGCCAAGTCGCCCTTTCCAGGGAGGATAACTTAGAAGTCAATGAAGGATTAGATAAATGCTATTACACTAGCGCTGGCATCCACTTGAATGAGGTAGGCAAAGATGTGATTTGTAGTAAAATACTGGAGATTAAACAATGTCCAGAAGGAGAAGTGGATCTGAAGTAGCGCACCTCTGCAGCTGGCCCACAGTGGGCGGAAAGACCACTTTTGACGGGAAAAAGTCGGGTTCCGCAACCATTATGTAGATTCCAATAAATGTACTTTCCTAGCTCAAAAAAAGTGTGCCGAATCCAAATCTGCCTTTGTTTTTCTCATGCGCCTTTTCGTTTTTCTCATAGAAGGCTTGAAAGTCGCATGTATCTGTTCGCTAAGAAATAACGCAACAAAAAGCGCATAAATCGCTGCGTTTACTGAGTCAGTTTTAGATCTAATTTTTCAACCCAGATGTTTTAAGAAAGAGCAATTCACGAGGATTCCAAAACTGTCCTCGAATTGTAATTTCGAGTATATTTGACAAAACTACGGCCGTTTGAAATTGCATGTCACAAAAACACAAAATTCCAAAGTTCCCTTGGGCGGCATAAAAAGCCTCAACTTGCCCCGCGCTCGCTCTAGGTTCATTTGGGGCCGCAAAGAGTGCTCTTTCGGAGGGAAAAAGAATAGACTATTCTAGTCGTGGCTGAGTGAAGAACAAGAAGAATCACAAAAGTGTACTTTTTTGCACTTTTACTTCAAATGTTTAAGTCCCCTTGCTTGGTAGAAGTTCATTCAAATATTTTCTAGTAAATGCAACATATTTCATCAAATATTTTCACTTTAAATGCTCTAAATGGCGTCTTTTGTGATTCTTCTTGTTCTTCACTCAGCCACGACTAGAATAGTCTATTAGCTGCCCATAGCTGCCCTTCCGAAGTTTATGGCTCGATTTGTGTGAACGTGCGTACAAAAAAACGGGTCCCGACGCATGTCAATCGCATAGGTCGTCTCAGGGCATGCCCCTTCCGCCCCCGGGCCCCCTCCCTTTCCCCTCCCCCCCCCGTTCACTCCCAGTTCCGCCCTCCCCCCCCCTTGTACAATGATTTTTCAGTGTTGTCGACTTAGGACAGCAAATATGGATATATTCGGAATCGGGGCGACACAACTGGACCAAGACGCGTTCGGAGTCGATCATTGCTAAAGCTTAGCCTGAAAGTGTCGTTGCCTTGTATTAGAAGTAGAAGAAGTAACGCAATAAAAATGTTGCCACAATGGGGGGCCTACGCTGTTGATTTAGTAAACTATACAGTAAATTAATACTATCCGTCCATAGAAAAATCGAAAAAGGGCCCAGATTTAGAATCAGGATGATGTTGATGCCCCCCTTAAAACCTTAAAAAATTTAAAAGTCCCCCACCTTGGATCACTGAATCTGCCCCTGCAAAGTTCAAAAACATGGCTGATTTAGGATCGTGACCCTTGAAAACTGATATGGGAAGTTTTGACCCGGTATGCTCGACAAAAAAAATTTTCCCCCCCTTGTATCACTGGATCTGCCCCAGAAAAATTCAAGACATGGCCAGATTTGGAATCGCGACCCCCAAAACCCAGAGTACGGATTTAAAGCGCGGATTGCTCTAAATTTAAAATCTCCCCCCCTATTATCTCCGGATCCCCCCCCGAAAAGTTCAAAATATGATCAGATTTAGAATCAGCGCCCCCAAAAACATAAAATACGGATGAAGATTTTTTTGGGCAAGTAATTCAGTTGCAATGACTTTTTCCCGTCAAAAGTGGTCTTTCCGCCCACTGTGTGGCCTGACGGGGCGTGGAGAATGTAGAAAAACTGAGAAGAGGGACAAAAATGTTAAAAGTGTAAGAAATGTAATATGAGTGAAATTTAGTTAATGCATTTAATATTCAACCCTTTTAAGGGGGAGTACGGCCCCCTTTTTGAATTTTGAAACCCCCTGTTTAACGAAAAAAATAAAATTTTCCGGGAAAAGGGGGAATTTTAAAAAAAATTTTTTTAAATTTTCCAAAAAAATATTTGTTTTGCATTTTAGGATGTTTTTTTTTTATTCCCAAAAAGGGCAATTTGGTTTCCGGGCCATTCGCCTTTTAACTTTTTAAACTAAAATGCTTGGCATAAAGCCCCAAAAAACCCGGGTTTTAAATTTTGGGGAAAAAATGGTTTTTTCCTCTTAATTTAAAAACGCAATAGTTTTTTTCCCAATTTGAAAAAAGGGGGATTTTTTGGGCAAACGCTTTTCGGCATTTTCCTGGAAAAATTAAAAAAGGCGCCCAAGGGCGGTGAACCCGCAATTTTTGCCACTGATGAAAAAAAACTTAATTCTGTCTTTTTTTTTGAAAAGTTTTAAAAATTTTTTTTCAAATGGCCGGTTTGCCTCTCATTCAAATTATTTTAAAACGTTTCGGGGTTAAAATCTCAAAAAAAGTGAAAGACCACTGCCCCCCAACGGAAATCAACCAAAAAAATTTTAGTTAAACTTTTGAAAGGTTCAACTGAAAAAATCTGAAATTAACAGATAGTTAATTTTGCACACGAGTTTTTTTTCGATTTGACCCTGGGCTTTTTCTCAGTTATTTAATAAAAAAATATTTTTGGGCTTGATAAGTTTCGTACTTTTTTGATTTTATCGGGTGTTTTAAAAAGCCCTTTTAACCGAAACAAAAGTTTTGATTTCAAAATTTTCAAACTGCCTTCAAGCCCAATTTTGAAGCAAATTTTCGGCAAGGAAATTTTGAAAGAAAAGGTTTTCGGAGGGGGCCCTTGCCAAAAAAAAAGTTTTTTTCAGCTTCATTTTGGAATAACGTGGGTTTTTGGGGGAGAATAACCATTTTGTATTTCGCGGAAGGCCTAGTTCGCCTTGGAGAGCTCTTAAAAAACCCTTCACAGTCGCTGTGTTTCGGTCATACGCTGCAACCCCCGTGAAGCCTGAGGAGGAAATAAAATACGTCACTCCCTGCTCAAACAAAT